TTCTGAAGCAGATTGCTCTCCTTTTTCCGGTGGTTGTGAAGCAGTCTTCTCTTCTTCTTTCGGTGGTTGTGATGACGGGCTGATCGATGGCAATGGCTCACCAAAAAGTATTCCTTCTTCTTCATCATCATCTTCGTCACTATCTCCAGATCCTGACATCAAAGGTGGAACATCCTTGAGTCCAGCTGGTGCTGATTTTTCCGTTTCTTTGGACGGATTTTCATCTTCGTCACTATCTCCAGATCCTGACATCAAAGGTGGAATATCCTTGAGTCCCGCTGGTGCTGATTTTTCCGTTTCTTTGGACGGATTTTCATCTTCGTCACTATCTCCAGATCCTGACATCAAAGGTGGAATATCCTTGAGTCCCGCTGGTGCTGATTTTTCCATTTCTTTGGACGGATTTTCATCTACAGACCCTCCTGAAGACATACTTGCTGCAAAGATATTTTTTACCAAAGCCAATAGAGCGAATATGACAGTTATGCTCCTCATGAAATGCTGAACGTCATCTCTTTTTATAGTTTTACAAGTTATTGAGTATATTATAATTGGTCCAGTACCGAAATAGAAATATATGATCGGATTAATTATAGCACAGATACCGTATAAAGTGTTGAGCAGACCAATTATTTTCTTTCTCCAATCTCCTTAATTACTTAATTTTAGGATTTGATTGGTTAATGATTTCGTTACCACGTGATTTTCTGATTGTTTTGATATTCCAAAATTGATCAAGAATCATCTGCGGCAGGTGATAATCCTTTTGTTAAATTGCCAATTAGTTGCTGTGATTACTTTTTTGTGCTGCGAAAGATTCTCCTTTTGCCGGCACAAAAAGACAAGAACCTTTGCATCATGACAGTGCGTGATAGCAAAACATGCTTGTTTTATTTCCTAAGAACAAGTTTTTGGTGGTATCCTGAAGAAAATGGAAAATGAGCAAATAAACTAAAACGTTTTGGTGCCCGTGAGCATTAAATTATTTTCAAATTCGTTAAAATTTTAGTTGCTGATACATATCAGGATATATAATTGTACATTAATGATATTTATTATCAATCAGCATACATGTGATATCGGGAAACGTTTTTCATTGATCAGCAAGTAAATGAAAGATACAACTGAAAAAGTTTGTGATAACGGCTCAACAAACAATCACAAGCGGATTATTCAAAAAGCACTGTTCTGAAATGATCGTTTTATTCGAAAAACAACAAAAATGTAAGCTATGCGACAAATCTGAATGACTTTTTGAACGAATTTTTTAATTATTGGCCATACTTCTCGTGCAATGGTTTAATTAAACCAGGCAGTCGTGCCAACTAGCGGAGTTCCTTGTGCAATAAATAAAGACTGGCACTGATACAAATCATGTAGGCCAACACAACGTAGGGCTTAAAAGTTTCAAAAATGTTCAAGAGCCCAAAATATGCTGAAAACGGAAGCGTAGCAATGTTGAACGGCACCGGACCATTCCATTCAATGTAGAACGTCCCGAGTATATAAAAAGCGGATATACACAGCGTGTACAGTCCGAGCCAATGGTATCGTAATTTATAAAACGACCAAACGTCATCAAAACTTTTCGGCAAGTTCCGGTAGTTTATCGCGAGATTGATTATCGGTGAGAGAACCAAACTAGCAATGTTCACCCTTTTTAAATAGGGAAATGGCCCTATCACCTTCACAACTCTCGACTGCAGTACAATGTTGGCGATGAAGAACGAGTTGGAGAGTAGGACACAAACAAACCCTTTGATCATGTTCTTCGATGACTCGTTGTGATTGTACTTGTTAACGAAGAAACAGGATGTCACGAGCACGATGAATGCAAGAATCTTGAGCAGCGATATCTCAGGATTCCGGTTGAACAGCACCTTTGCGGTGATTATCATCATGGGATACATAAGCTGGGCAATAAATACAACGAAGTAGCTTGCGGACTCTGAGTAGCCATAGATTAAAAAGGCGTTGCCCAATATATCCGTAATGGCACATATGATGTAGTTATAAAATGGAACTTTTCCTTTCTTATGCTGCATCTTGTCCAGTCGAATGATAATGGTGCTGAACAGAAATATTGCCAGTATTCTCGCGCTGTCCTGAAGGAATATCCAGAATGGCCCCATTTTCTGCATTTTCTCGCTGCTTTTACTCACCAGTGCGATACAAACCGCCAACAGCTGGCCCAACACGATTTGTTTGATTTTCATCAAAACGGGGGTAACCGTGCACAAATCAAAGTTAGGAACAAGAAAGGGCCGATAGCTAGCAGAAATATCCACAGGGAACTAAAAGACTTGTGTGAGCACAACAAACGCGCAGAATAACAAATCTGTTCTTGAATAATAAAAATAATAAATTAAAACTTTTACTTTAGATAAACCGGTGTAATCAATCATCATCAGACGAATCAAAACGGTCCATATCACGTAGTAGAGATAGATTATCATCGATTTTGTTTATGAATTTGCCATAAATTCTATGAACCTGCGAATATCCCTCAATCACTTCTCTGAGTTGTTGCAGAACCGCGTCAATCGATGATTTTATTTGGTTAATCATCTTTTTATTGCAGCTGAGCAATATTTCTGATTCTTGATGCTCCTCAATGGACTTATTGATTAGCAGTGCAACATTCCTGAACAACGGAAAAATAAAATCCGGGCCATTTGCTTGGTACCGCACTTTTGTGCAGCCTTCCAATCTCTTATTCATGTCAGAAATACGAGTGGTTACTAGGTGCATGTATGCAGCTGCATCCGCGACGGGCTGCGTTGTTTTGATTGAACCGTATCTCTCGGTATCGTTGATTTTCGTGTCCTTTAGCTTCTCGTTATCACTCAGGAATTCAACAAGTTGGCCCTTCAGACACTCACAGTCACTTTCAAAAAGAAGGCATTGCTTTGCATACATCTCGTGCATACCGGCAATGTTATCTTTGCAGGCCAACAGATCTTCGTATTGTGCATTCGCACACTCATCATCACCTCCTTGTGTATATACGGGAAAATTTCCTATTGTTCTGCAAAACTCGCTCAGCAAATATTCTAAATAAGAATCGAACGGAGTCCAGCACAAGCAGATCAAATCACCAAGTTCAAATTTATAAATAGACGAATCTAAAGAACGAAAGCGGAATTTCGACCGGTCTAACCGTATTTGTTCTAACCATTCCGTAAATATAATGCTTGACTCACTTTCTCGGGTAACATAGGTTAAGCTTTCACTCGCTGTTTCTTCATTGTTTCGATCAAACGAGTCCATATTGCCTGGTTCGCAAGAATATTCACTTTCATCAGAAAGACTCGAATCACCGTCTTTATATTCCGTAATTTTCTTCAATTTACGGTCAACTTGGTCAATACTTTTCGCGTGATCACGAATGTCTTCCGCGCTATGCACCATGTTAGACGATTTGGTGAATGTATTCTGCATACTTTTCACATAACTCTCTGATTCTGTAGCAAGCAGATCAGGACTACTCGAATGCTTCGCATTGTTGCGCTTTAGGAGCGTTTTGCTGCACACTAGTGTGCTACATCCCATCCCTTTGTGAGAACTGCCAGTTTGATCTGTTGGTGGATTAAAGTAAGCATAGTAGATCGATGCACTGCTCGATGAGTTATGTTCTTCACTTCTTCGCAGCCTTTGGTTCACCATAGTTGATTCAACGCTAGGATTTGGTGTTACCGTTTGTAAATTCTTATGTTTGGGCACAGCGCCTCTGCTTTCAGGACATTCTGAAGATGACGTGTTGCATAGCAAGGCTGACGAAGACATATACGGTACATTTTTGCTTGCAGATGAGCTCTCTCTACTAGCTAGATAAGATTGCACCATCCTAGACCCCAAATACCTCCTTTCAATACTTAGCATGCCAAAAACATTGTCGGCTCTGCTTGCTAACTGCCTAAAAAATCCTCTAGTGCTATTGTTTGTATCCATGGTTCTTTCGGAGTGCCGATCCGGCACGCTGCTCTCGAATCCTTCTCTTAAGTTTGCACCATCTCGTCTGTTCCTCGGCTGAAGCACTTTCAACCGCTCAAAAACTTGCGCAATATCACTTGTTGCAATTACAACAATACAAAATGCGCATATTCTCATATATGGATCTGCCAATCGTTTTCTTTTATATTGTATGATTTACTTGAATGACACTTATTTCAAACTCATGAAAAAGGAATGTTTTGCAAATAAGTGCTGCCTTTTTGACATGTGCAGCAAAAATATTATATTACATATGATCAGAAAGAATTATCAACGGCATCATTGATCCACAGGTCATTCTTAATTACACTTTACAGCGGTACCATAAATATGCTTTTCAATACGTTTGTATTACTGAAAAATATCTTTGGTCATGTTTCCCTATGACCGACCATAGTTTTTTGACATTTGCTGTATGATAGGTATAAAATACCACATTTTACACATCACTTAAAATTTAACAATAATAGACCAACAGATGTGCATTCATTCATGTAGCTCTATTCCTTTAACATGACCGAAATTAGCATTGCCTATAATTTAAGAAATGAAATGCGTCGTTTAAGATGTACATTTTTATTAATTTGACAGGAGCAGATTGTCATTTTAGCTTGCACAGTAATGGTCCATTTATACTGCATTTTAATACCAAAAATCGCGATTGAACCACATTCTACCGGTGCAGGTTGATACATCTGTATTAGAATGTCCGGTCAATTTGAGAAAACGAATGCTGCTACTTAAACGAATTTGTTTGTATTCATAATGGTTTGCGGTGTAGTATGGATCTGCAATAGCATGGAAGCAATTAGATTTACAGTTTACAATCATGTGATTGGTGTGCGCCTCATGATACAATTCTATTTTAATGTAATGCAATGTTTGTGTGGTATAACATTCATGTATTGCTTGTTTCGGCACGTTATATTTCATTTTAGAAGAAATGTCAACCATTTCAAATTTACAATTTTACAAAACATTAAAAACGTATTTTTATGTTCCTGTTGGATGATATATGAATAACTGAGCTATTTCCTTTCATAAAATTGAACGAACCTGAATAGTTATCCAACTAAATTTGTGTTTTTCAAATTGTCACTTTCCGCTTTTGCTATTTTCTATTTTTGTATTATTTGACCAAAGTTTAAAAATCGGTTGCTGCCCAAAACAACACATTTTATATTACTTGTAAAGAACGGCTGAGCGCATACCAAGAAAATGACTTGGTTAGCAGTGTTCATTCATTCAAAAATGCACCATGAAAATTTTTTATTTTATCCAGCTGATCAGCCAGTTGCTGAGTTGCTTTTTACACGTTTTTTATTTCTCAGAATCAATATTTTATTTATGGGCCATGTTGCGTAATTCTCACCTGTAACATTACGTGATTGCTACATTCCTGTTTTAGAATAACTTTACAGATCTTACTCAATCACGAAATATGTTTGCTAACTGCAACAGCAGCTATGAAATGTGCTTGAACGAATTATTCTTTTGAATTACGTTATTGATTGCGAACCGCTACTTGTTGTTGATGTATGGTGTTTAATTGTAGATGATTTTTGGCCCAGCGTCAGGAGCAGAAAAGCAAATTTGTGTGTATGACACGAATACATGGAACATTGCACCGCTTCCATGTAAATAAAAACTGCTTAACACTTATAGCAATTAATACAGATAGTAAAATCTTTAAATAGAAAGGTTTGCTCACCAATAATTATGATTTTGCTTTTACATTCAATCTTTAGGGTTTGACCCTTACGAACGTAGAGTTTCTTCATATAGCTTGGGATCAGGGCTGTATTTGATACGATCGCTTTAGATGCAAGTGCATCAAAAGATGTGTTATTGTACAGCAGCCTCCCTGTATTCTAAAAATCGTGTTGCTAAGTCTGGCCGCAGTTTGTGCAGGAATACGGCAAAATATTCTCGTATGATACAAATATCCTTGGAATTCGAATAAAAATGCGCTACATCTACAAATATGGATGTAAGGTTGATTACAAATGTTTACATGGGCAATTCCATGGCACGCTCACACATAAACTCATGTTGGACACCACGTTACTTTCTTAAATTCTCTCTTTTCGAGCTACACTAGACCTGAAAAGAGAATGTACCTCTCTATTTCTTAGATGTAAGCTTGATTGATGTCACGGCGAGGGAACAATACCTTTAAGATTTATAATCGGCTATAACAGGACCACCAAAAAATCATAGGTTCAATATTTCATTTTTAATATTACCCTTTGTATGGTGCAATCATTTTCATCACACTTAGATCCGCTCACCAACATAAAAACTATCAAAGAATATGAAATGGAGAATGAGCAGCTGAAAAACGAAAACTTTGAGCTTAAGTACCAGCTATCATATTACCGTAACAGTGGTGGTGCTGACATGCAGCTCGTGAACAGAGAAGATTTTGAAAGCCTTAAGCGCGAGAATGTGCAGCTAAGGGAGCAAATTAATGCTATGGTTGTGGAGAACAATAAAAGGGTAAAGACCGATGGGGAGAAGGACCGGGAACTCCTTGATCACAAGAATAGGGAACGTGATTATATTGCGAGGGAGAACGAGTACAGAAATGTGATCAGTAGCTACAAAAATATGGAGGCTGATTTTATGGAAAAAGAGAAAAAGTACAGCAAAATGATTTCTGATCTTAGCGCGACTGAAAATAATCTTTGTGATCAAGTTAAAGAGAGCAACAATCTGATTGAGCAGTTGAAAATTCAGAATAAAGCCAATGAAGAAAAAAACAGCTATCTTGAAAAAAAGCTCAAGGATACAATGTGTGTGCTGGAGGCTCTGAGAGAAGATAACAACGATAATATCACAAATATTACTAAAATGAACGAACAGAAGAAGTTTTATGATAATATCGTAAATGAGCAGGCAGAAAGAATAAAAAATTTGGAGGAGAACAACAATTTTCTGGGAAATGAGGTTAAAAATACAGGCACCGCATCGAAATTGAGAGAAGAGGAGAACAAGAGGCTGATAAACGAGAATAAACAGCTTAAGAGTTTGCTGGAGGATGAAAGGAGGAGAACAAACGATAATTTGAAGGAAATAGAGGAGTCCAAGCGGAGATCGGAGCAGAGCAATAGAATGCAAGTGGAAAATATCAACGAGAAGGCGCAACAGCTCGTGTTGGACAATAGGAGGCTTTCAAGTAACTTGAGCGAATTTGAGAGTAAGCTTGAACACACAAGGAACGAGTATGAAAAGATATTGAGGAAATACAACACACTTAAAAATGAGCATGGCGCTGTGATCAACAAGCATAGAGAGGAGCAGTCTAGTATTGATGGATATAGACGAGAAATAACGAAACTTAACAATTCCATCTTTAACCAGAGAATGTTCCTCAATAAAATGAATGAGTTCTTAGATCATGTACGTTTGCAGATTAAAAACATTGGGGGTAAAGTCGCAAAGTTTCAGCTCAACGATAGAAACAAAACAGTTCTTGGAAAGTTAAACATTAGATGCAATGTAGGAATTAATAATTTGCTCAAGAAGCTCTTCAAAGTGATACACGATCTCAGACATAAGAACAGCACGCTCGAAAATGAGGTATCAGATATTTCATCGTTTGTGAAAGAGAACAGGGCGAATAACAGAACTATAAAACTGATAGAAGAGTTCAGCAAAGAATTTGAAGATGCCAGAAATGGGTTGAATGAGTGCAGGGCATATTTGGAAAGAAAAGGCAAAGAGAATAAGCTGTTAAAGAATGAGCTAAGAAAGTTGAGAAAGTGCCACAGATGTGTTTTATGATGTAAATAGAATAGTGACGGTGAAACATATCTGATAACGTATATTGAGTGATTGCTCAGTAAAATAAGTAGTAAATATGACAGCATGTGAGGTTAGATTATTTTAAAAGTTTTGTTTTGTACGATCAGACAGAGTAACAAGTTTTTAGATTTGTACACCTTACAAAAACGGGAGTGTGTGCACAGTGTAATAGGTATATCATTGTATTTACGGTTTGCGAATCATTCAAATTAGTTTTTTGTTACAAAAAACAGATAAAATGATATCTTGTAAACAGAAATGGTTCACATCGTGTTGATAACGAAGTGATACTACGTTTTAGACAGAAAGAGCTCACATTATGCAGGTATAAGAACCCTTTTCACGTACCGCTTCAATTATACTTCCTGAACATACAACCAATGGTACTATTTGCTGTTTATTAGTATAAAAACATTTTTTTTCGTTTTTCGTTCCATGAAATCTTTCACATCTTCGTTAAGTCGCCAGTCAAACAACAAAAATACGATATCATCACCCTCAATCGTGCTATTAATCTCGTTCTTAACACTTTCATAGTCAAAAACAAAATAATAGCTCATGTTCAATTCTATTAGCGTGTTGTATTTTAGTATGCCACCACAAAAATCAAAAATTATTACGGGCACATTGTAATGCTTGAGCATGTTTACCTTTCCTTCCAATGATGAGTTTTGTATTTTTCGTGCTATTATGTGCGTTTGTTGGGCGTATATGGACGTGATTTTGTGCATATTGCAATTTTTATTAGCTAAGGGTTGAAATGACTATTTCCTCAGACATTGTTGTTGTTTATGAAGAGAAGAGGGAAAAGGTACATGGAAAGAAGGATGAAGAGAGGAAAGGGAGGCGTTTTGCACATGATACAAATGTAAGTATGGAATGTGGCTGTCATAAATGCTTAAATAGCGGTTCAGAGGAGAAAATCGAACACTTTCCCGATGAACGTGTCAAGCGAAGGAGAAAGTGGAGTAATTCACCTGTAACTGCTAGAGAAGATGTTTCAAATCTTTCTATCAGTCTCTTAGATCTTCCCTTCAAGATAAGGGAGGATGACGACGAGAAAAACCTGCGGTACTTGAAAAGGTTCGAGGTTGGAGAAGTTAGCAAAATGAGGGATGATGAGCAAGGTGTTAACGAGGATACAGTCATCAAACAAAACGTTGATGTAGAAAGTAACAATATTTTTAGCTGTGATGCAGGATCGGACACTGTTGATCCTGTATTTATACTGTACCACTTCTCAATTCCTGACATTCTAAAGAGGTACGGAAATGATCTCAAGTTGAACTTCAACTTTCATAATGAAAATTCGGTGATAATAAAAGACCTAGAATCTATGGCAGAAAGATCCTTTCCCGTCGTTAATTGCACCACTGAATTGAAAAACATGAGCAACTACAAAACCGAAAAGCTCATATTCCTGTACAATATGAAGAACCTCGAAAAAAATATAAGAAAAAAAGCGAAAGACAGCTATCTGTCCTCACTTGAGAAACGGACACTGTACCAGGATGCCAATGAGTTAACCACGGTAAAACAAGACTTATTCAACTTCCAAATGGAGAACAGTTCCAACTTTATTTGTATAGAAAGCGCAAACGATTTATTAATAGCACTGAAGAATATCATACGCCACAAAGAATCAGTGTTTGTACCGAAAGTAAAGAAATACACGGACAAGAACAAATTCCTAATGAACATGCTTGAATTTATACCCGGTATTTCTAAAAATGTGAGTCGTACGATTGTTGACACGTACAAATCCCTGAGAGATATCGTAGAATGCGAGGATTTTAGTAAATTGAAAGTTTTTGATGATGAAGGCAGCAGTTTTAGACTGATAGGAAAGAAACAAAGTGATTTGATCAGGGATGTTCTCAGCAAAGAACAGCCACTGAGTTGAACAGTTGAATGCTAAATATGTTGTGATCGTTCATCATGTAAAAGTGCGATATGCTGTAATAAAATGGTTTTTAGACTTTTCTTAGACACTACCAAGTGCTAACATACTTTTGCTGCAGCGCAGTACTGGGTTGAATGACTACTCCACGATGGCATGTACACCAACAGTTGATTAAACTCCTTACCCCTCAACCTATCAATATTTCAATCATTTCTTAAAATACCTTTCATCACTCATTGTTACCATCTCTGGTCAAAGCTATCCCACTTATTGGTCATAACACATTATTTCAAGGAGCAGCTGTACGTATCTCTCTTCATTTCCTGAGAACATCGGTTAGAACTAAAGAAGCTTTTCAAATGTGTCTGAGATACCTGAATACGATAGAATATGAGACAAGATGCACGCCACAAACATATAACACAAGAAATACATACTATTCATTCCATTGAACAAGCGTACTTCACAATCAAAGCTTTTTAATTTATATTTTTATCAGTTCAACAGATCGCTTCATGATGATGCCGTTTTATAATCAGCGCAAAAACTGTTCATGGTTACGAATTTAAATATTAAATTTGTGAATGATGAACTGTGCAAGAGCTGAATAGTTAAATCTATTGGTTGTTAAGACAAGCATTGTATAGCAACTGTGCCCCTTTTCTTTGCAAGTACGTTTATTACCACCTCATACCAATCAGCAGTGCTTATTCGAACTGTTTGTGTTTGAATTGTTTTTTTATTTTCTGGTACGCTCGTTCTCCTTTTTTATTACCAACCATTTCATAATGAGTTGCAGCTGCAGAAATGGCAAATTTTACTTAACTCCCTAATCATTTCTGATATTGGCACAAACAACCGCATAATTTCTTGCCCGTTGTCCTTGAATGTGCTCTCACAACGTGTTACAAATTTAATAACCGTTCATTAAACCGATTCGCATGCATCCTATACGGCGTAATTAGCTCTATTAATCATAAATATCGTAGTTACGGGCAGCACCATCATTATAGGCACGTATACACAACAAATATTCCCTTGCTTCTCGAACCGAGAACAACTCCTTTTATGCAACACTCAAAATAACACGTGTTTGAGCAAAAAATTGCATTCTTCACTTTTCAGTTTAGTTCCATATTTTGCCATAAGAAACTTTTATCGGTCTAAATTTGTCCAATGAATATGATCTGCTTGGTGTTATCAGCATCTTATCACGTCTCCTCAGTGCACTAAATTCGATCAATTGTAATAATGGAATAAATTTGGCAGCCCCTTTTTATGGTAGTACGAGCTCGTCCGTCAATTCGAAGGAAGATCCAAAAATCGTCAGTGCTTAATACAGCCATAAGTGACTGGATGAACGCCCACACCTTGAGTCCGATAGCAACAACAGATGCCAATTTTATCGGACCAACTATCGTTGAAATACTGTACACCCTGGTGTACGCTCTGATCCTGGTCATTTTTATATACCTGGTCAAAACATTGGACTTCTCATTCACGATGTGCCTTGCACCGGTGTTCATTTTTTCAAATGCTATGATATTTGTTCTGGTGTACACCTCGTTTTTTAAAGACAGTTACACCAATAGAGCGTATTACAGCTTGGGAATATATCAGACAGTTTATATTTGGGTGTTGTGGGTTCTCAACAGCATTGTGCACTCGTTCATTGCTAATTGTAACGTGCAGCGCTGTTTTACGAGCGTGTTTATAATTATGTATTCGATGCTGACGTGCTTCTTTATTGATAAGCACTTTGAATACAAGTACATCGAACGGGATAGAAAGTCTGTGTTTGTGTTTAGATTGGTTACTTGTGCATGCAGTTTTTTCTTTGGTATTCTATTTTTGGCATTTACCACACTGGTCAATCTATTCAATTTCTATTAAATTTGCAGTTTTATAATAATTTTAAATATCAATCTATTCAATTTCTATTAAATTTGCAGTTTTATAATAATTTTAAATATCAATCTCCGCAATTTTTATCGTTTAAACAATCCCATATTTCAATATTAAATAATGCATCCTCTTAAATAGCAACGTACAACAGGTTCTGTTTCATTGGCATAATTTGTTCAGACCAAGGATAAAAAACACGTTCATCAATGCTAACGTTAAACAAAAGTTCTTTCTACAACAGCAAAGACATCAATATTCGATTGGTTGCTGTAAAGTTGTGGTTAGCCACTTATAAATTGGTAATTTAGCACGATCCTTAGCAATTTACCAGCTAATAATTACATTAAAGATAAAACGTAGATTAATATTCTACATAAAGACTAGCAATCGCATCAAGCACGAGCATTGTTTTATCATTTCTTGGTGCCGACATCTGCACCTATTATAAATGCTGTTTACAGAGGTATTTCTGTTCAATGTTGGAATGAAATGGTATTGATCTCAACAATGAACACTGCATCTCCATGTTAACAATAATTAAATTGTTCTTCAATATTTTCATCTTTCTTTTAAAATATGTTTGCTCATCCCACCACTACACAACAATAATTGCTCATCCCACCACTCCACAACAATAATTGCTCATCTCACCACTCCACAACAATAATTGCTCATCCCACCATCCTACAGCAATAATTGCTCATCCCACCACTCCACCATCCTACAACAATAGCTAAATCTTTATTCAAGCACCACGTGTCCACTACTTCAATCAGAGTAATCTTTTGATAAGTACTTGCTTTGTTAATCGTTTCAATTCCTGGTGATATGGCCCTTGACACTACTACCATGTGGTATTTGTAGCTGAGATAGTAGTGCGGTGAAAAAGTCTTTCTTTTAATGCCGTAGCAAAAGAATAATTCGGTGGATGAAATGGTCTTAATAGCAAGTTCTATACGAATCGTTGGTATTGGTAAGTAACGAGATAAGCATACTCTCTCATAAAAATGACCTGATCTGTACATCAAAGCATTAAATATTTGTTCCAAAGTGCAATCCCTTCTTTATCCGCTAAGCTACCTTAAAGTGCAGTAAACATATCAAAGATACATCCTGCACTACAAAATATCATCTTTTCTTTCTTGCATAACAAGCACCTTCAATTACTAACACATACGTAACTACAACATGCCATTAATATTTTACGGTTCATTCAGCACACACCTAATAATTTTCTTGATGTGTTTTGATCTACCATAATATGTTCAGTCTCTGATGTATGATGGCTCGTTTTCCTATTTTAAAATTTTTGCCCTGCAAAAAATGTCATACCAAGACAATACCGTGACATCAGCGGACCTTCTCTCAAGCGATGTGCCCATGGACAAAGAGGAGGTCAAAAAGCAGTTTCAAGTGTTCTTGTCGAGTTTCTCAATAAATAACCAGTACATATACAGGAACAGAAAAACTGTACAGCTAGCTCATCTGGCAGTGTTTGACCAGGCTTTGTACAACAAATTTCTGGCAAGACCAAGAGAATTTGTTGATCTTGTTGATGGCTACGAGTTTGTAAGCGAAAAATCCTTCGATTTAATACGCAGTTTGGACGCAAGCAAGGCTAACAGGATTGTACGGGTGCGTGGTATCGTAACAAGTGTGAGCAATGTGCATGCAAAGCCTTTAACGCTGTATTTAACATGTAAGAGCTGTTTGGTTGTTAAGGAAGTGGTGGACGTGATACCGCGAAGCTGTCCGAATGGTTGCATGTTTGAGCCATTTATCATAGTGCCGGAGAAAAGCAGGGTGGTGGACACACAATCACTGAAGGTGCAGGAAGACTTTGATGATGTGCCAAGCAACGAAATACCGAGGCATTGTACGGCTGTTGTAAACAATGCGTTGTGTAGCTGTGAGCTGGTGCCTGGCAGCAACATCGTTTTCACAGGGATACTGCTGGTCAAGAGTTCTAGAACAGGTTCCATTCCGTTCATACGAATTATAGGAATTGAAAAGGACGTGGCAAAACAGAAGAGCTTTACAGAAGAGGAAATTCACAGGTTCAAATCGTTCCATTTCTTTGATAACCTGCAGAAGATCATTGCACCGAACATAGCGGGACACGATGATGTTAAGAAAGCGATCGCATGTCTACTGTTTGGTGGTACCAGGCGTGTTAAAAACGGTGTAGCTCTGCGAGGAGACATAAATGTTCTTTTGCTTGGCGATCCCGGTGTTGCCAAGAGTCAAATGCTCAAGTTCACATCTCAGATTGCGCCCATTTCGGTTTATACGTCTGGAAAAGGAAGCAGTGCGGCTGGTCTTACGGCGACCGTGGTGCGTAGCTCGACAGGTGAGTACACGCTCGAGGGTGGTGCGCTGGTTCTGAGTGACATGGGTGTGTGCTGCATCGACGAGTTTGACAAAATGGATGAGTTTGATCGGGTGGCGATTCACGAGGCAATGGAACAGCAGACCGTGTCGATAGCTAAAGCAGGGATCACAACGGTTCTTAATACACGAGCAGCTGTACTCGCAGCAGCAAATCCGAAATTTGGTCGATACGATGATCTGAAAGCACCAGCAGAGAATATCGAGTTCGGGAGCACGATCCTCTCTCGCTTTGATTGCATATTCATACTTAAAGATGAGAAGCGAATGGATCGGGACATTGCACTGGCCAAGCATATTCTTGACGTGAATACAAATGTGAGTATTGATGGCACGCAGTACGACACAGAATTTATAAAACGATACATAACGTATGCTAAATCGATATCACCTGAGCTGGACGCGCAGGCAAAGCTGAGGATCAAAAACTTCTACATCAAGGCGCGACAGGCCGTGCATTCCCACAGCAAAAAAGAATGTTCTATTCCGATCACGGTTCGTCAGTTGGAGGCCGTAATAAGAATAAGCGAGGCGTTCGCAAGAATGTCCCTGAGTACAAGGGTGTTACCAGAGCATGTAGATGAGGCTATCCACCTTTTCCGCGTGTCCACAATGAATGCGGTCAATGATGGGCATTATCTTGATGGAATGCTCCGTTCTGATGTGATGTCGAAGGTGCGAACCATGGCGGACCGTATCCTGAAAATGCTAAGCATTGGAAACGCGCATAGCATTGCAGCGCTTGCCGAGCATTTTGGCGAGAAGGACGTTGTTGGACAGGCTGTTACTTACTTGGTACGAAAGGATAAATTGGCATTACGAGACAGAGGACGAGTTGTTATTAGGATGCCGTGATTGCTTTATTATTTAGTGGGAAAATGTTCTAGAACAGCAATACGGTTTGCATAAATGGTTAAGCATAATCTACAGTTAAAATAAATTATGGAGTCTTTGAACAGTTTTCTTCCCACAAAAATGCTTTAAATGTTGCCTTCTGGTTGTAAGACCTTCTACAAAATTTATCGCAGGATGGCAACAAATCGTGATTAATGAACATCCCTAATACCAAGTTTGGTCAAATAATGGAAATTATGAATTTACTTCAATCAGGATTACTTACGGTACGCCACGTTGAACACTGCCCACATGTAAAACCATTTATTCTAGTCTTACCAGGTGGTAAAGCACCTCAACCTTGTTATTACCGGGAAACATATCAAAAGCATATGTTCCTACCACGGTAAACCCTGATTTGTACGCCTTTGATTCTTTTCTTGTCAAATCTTTGATATTGCCTATGCTTTGGTTGTAATCGCATGAAATGTAGAACAACTCATCTACGGCAGTGCATTCTCGTAGCTTTTTGATCAAGCGCTTGTTCACGCCTGCACGGGGCGGGTCTAGCACCACGGTGATGTTTTTCTCGGTGCTTACCGTTTCATCTATGCTTGTGGTGTGCACTGCAACTGAATTAGTTGTGCCCGCACTACCATCGATCATTCTTACCGCACTCTTATTCGCAATTTTCTTGCCATTGCTGGGAATATCGATCGCATCTGCCAGATCCTGTCCGTTTACTGCACCACCCATCTCATTTTCATCCTTCCCGTTACTTTTTTCTACTTCTTTACCGTTTACGCCCGTATCACAGGCACCACCCACCTCATTTTCATCCTTCCCTTCCAAAATCCTACGGGCTATTTCCGAAATACTCACCGTATTAACATCCACCCCCATAATCCTGCAATTCTCCACCCCGTTAAAATTCCTATTTACGCCAAAATCCTTCACGCACTCAGGATTGTTTTCAATGCCTATCACCTCTTCAAAATCACTACACAGCATCATTCCAAGTACCAAGGAACCACAGCACAGATCTATCAGGTACGGGTTATTCTTCTTCTCCATTTTTATCCGTTTGATCATGGCCTGCAACATTTCAATGTTAGTTTGGAAGAACGAGAAAAATGAAATTTTGAATTTCAGGTTATGAATGTGCTGGAAGAGATGCGATGCTCCCTTCACGAGAAATGATGGGCCGGGTGAAATGCCTTCGAATTTGGTGCGGTTGAATGCAAATGACACGTTAGCGAACGGCAGACCTGTAAGAAACTCGTAGAGTTTTAGCACGTGCTCATCAGGGCACGGTTTAAAAAGCGTGAAGAAACGCTCAGTGCTAACGTCCAGCTGATTGGCACTGCTTTCCGCATTTTCTCGCCGTTCACTGCACACCTGTTCTTCTCTTCTCTCGTTAGACCCATCAATATCCACCAGCACCAAATGTTCGTTGCCATTTACCACCCTGACCTTCATCATTCTGAGATATCCCGTCCCTTTTTCCCTATCATACACCATCCATCCGTGTTTATCCACCATTTCATTGACCAAGTCAATTTGTTGCCTCAATTCACCGATGAACTCTACGTTCGTGCACTCGTAGCACAAATTTTTGTTGTCCCGGAAGGACTGCCCCCTAAAACCAACACGCGGTCTTCCCTCAGCGTTGAACCCAAAAACGAACTCAAAATTGTTACGCTGCGTGTTCACGGGCGAGACCAATTCTTTGGCAGGCGGAAGTGCGTTCTTCTCCAAAAAGCTGTTCAAGTTACTCAGTTTCATAGACCGCTGGATCTCCTTGGTATGTCTCCAAAGAGGAGTGACGATGTCTCTGATGTCTTCTATGATGATTGATGGCCTTGTTTTTCTCTGCCGTTCTTCTATTTGTTTCAGCGTTATGACGTTCTTTCCAATTTTGATCTCCTTTTTACACAGGAACGCAAATATTTTCACGTCTAACTCATCATTTTGTCCATTTCCACAACCACCAATACGCTCAACCACAACACTTTGCACGTCATTTATTTGTTTATTGTTGCTGGAATCGTTCTCCGTATTACCTACCAGCACGCTACTTCTTTCCATATCCTGAATATTATCCTTGTTTGTCAAAATGACACCGTTCGAATTGTCATCCTCTAGCGCATTGTTCGCATCTTTGTGTGCCCAGTCCTCTCTTGATTCCGATTCATCTCCAACTTTACAAACATCTTGCACTCCTTCCGCAAGAAGATGATCGTGCTCGTTGCCAGCATCATAAGCCTGCCCATCCTTGCCCCGTATCTCTTCGCTCAATTCCTCTTTATTGCGTATTCTCAAGTAACCAACTGCTTTTCCCGGTTTGAACGCCAATTTCAAGTATTTTCTACCAATTCCCAAATCATTCGTTATAGAATCAAACAATAGCCGATATGATGCGTAACGAGGGATATTCTTTACGAGCAGCAGCATTTGGGGTGTTCAAATTTGATCGATTAAATTTTGTAGATGAAATATATTCTAGGGTGATAACCGTGCATGTGTTAGGAACTACCAAATCATGTGGTCTTTGATATGTTTAAATGAACGGGCTTGTGCTTTTCTTCATGGTGCCACGCTAAATTACGTATTACCGAAATATCTTTGGATAAAATGAAAGTTTTCCTCAGTGGTATATATGGAATATAGATGCGCCTTGAAGAAGTAGCACGGTCAATTGATGAGAAAGTATGAGCAGCAGGCATATTTCGTCTATAAACGACCGTTGTACCTGCAGTACGTGCTGTAGTTCTTGTTAAAGAAGCGGTTCGGGATAAGTTTTGTATTTGGTTGCTGGAATCATCACAATTTATGACGAATTTACGGAGAAAGATATAAAACTGTTCCATTACCTCAATAGTTGAGGAATGGCAATCAAAAGCACTCACAATACCGAAATGGAAATGGAAGATGCGAAGATTTGTGTTTCTTCATGTGTGTAAAAGCAAAGAAGAGGTCCGCAATTTAGCTGGTGGTTTCTTCAACAGCACTTTAAGATCCTTTGTTTGAGGAAGGAAGAGCGAGATCTTACCTGCGGGATGGATTAACATGATAAGTAAATATTGGAGATGATTTACATGTGATTTGTGCAGTATGATGTTCTATTTTTAACGACCATTTTTATTCAAATTACCTGCAAAGGTACGGTTTATGAAATGATCTGCAGCAACACTTCGTTAGTTATGGGATGTAAAGAATTGTACTGTGCCACCACGTTCGTATTAGTACCACGTGATGAGCGTACTTTCGTTTTGCAACAAAAATTGTTTTATCCATCATTTCCCGCTTTTTTCCAAAGGTATTTTATTTATCACCTGGTACCACATCGTCTGGACCAACTCACTTTTTAAGCACATACCGCCTAAGATAGTAACTTTTTCCTGTGTTACCATGTTCGTTTAAAATAGCAAAAGCGTGTAGCGCTGCTCTTTTCCGCAAAACCACCAAAATTTCCCTGCCCATGTCAATTGCAAAGAACAGGTTCGAAAAGCTTTTCAATTTCTACTTTCCACATCTTTCATATCATTTGCACCAATCGACCGAGCCTATAAACTGTAAACTAACATTCCTGGACCTGGAGGTGGAAATAGACGACAAGTACGAAAACTATGATAAGTGCGAAACTGCCATCTTCGAGCTAGGAGAAAAAATATTGAGCAAGTACATTGAGGACTTAAGCCAACACCAGGAGGAAAATGCATCGAACAGTATCGGTGCGGGGAAAAAGACGAATATTGACAAAACGGGCGAAAACACCGAGAAGATGCGGACTGATAGATCGAATATTGGTGGTGATGAAAGTGCAGAGGTTGTTAAGAAAATGGAAAATGCCATTAAGAAACGAAACAGCAAGCCGGTTGAGAGTACCGTGCAAACGGATGGTCCAATGATAAGTCAATGCCCAGATTTTTATGCCAAGCAGGTGCATACTTTGTGTATCTGCTACTCTTTGCCTTTTCCGGAGTATCATTTTTTGAAGGAAGACGGGTTGTACAGGTGCTATACGTTGTATGGTAGCAAAAATTATGAATCAGAGTATTTTTATGAGAAAAATGACGCGAAAGAATTTGTGTGCAAAGCTATTGCGGATAATATCAAGAGTGGCGTGCTTAACGACGAAAATTGAAATATGAAAATAGGAGCCGTTGATAACGGTGGATTGGTGCTTTTTTGTTATTTATGTCACAGAGTCGTAACGAGGAGCGGTGACTCAGGCATTGTTACTGAACCGTGGTAGTTTTTACGTTGATAGATGAGAAGAATCAAAAATATTGTACGGTACATCAGCGCCTCTAAACCAGAGCTGTTTAAAATTACTGTTGATACGAAAATAAATTTTAATCAAGTTAAATATTTCACGACATTACGGCAAAAATAACAATACAATCTGTTTTTTCAGTACATATATCCTTAATCTCAGCTTTGCTGTGCCTAATTATGAGTGGAAAGCTGCCGGATTGGCTCTTCTGCTGCTATAAGACGTATTATTTTTTCACTATCGTGTAAATTCGTTACTACCGTTGTTCAGGGATGATGTCTTTGTGTGATGTGGGAAGACAGCGGTTCAAGGGGTTCACAATGATCATTTTTGGTTGATCTTTTACTCCGGTATTCACAGAATAAATCCGTGTACCACGTGTTTGATGGAAAGATTTCCGCCAGTACACTGTGATGGTCTATTTCAATCTATCCATTGAACCATCTGCACCTCATCGCATGTTAAAAAGCTTTGATCCTACACTGAAATATTCTTCGTAGAGAAAGTCTGAACGGTAAATAAAAGGGAAAAGATAGCTTGCTTAAGAAACTTTTATTTTACTAGTAAGCTGACCAACACCAGCCGATTTAGCACTCATCCGATTGTTAATGTGCACTTCTTTCCAATTTTGATTCTCTCAAGCACAAGTACATCTAAGGTACCAGGTATGGTGAATGACGTATTGATCGACGAATCAAGGATGCTCATTCCTGTCACATTATTTGGTAAAACAACGCCGAATCCTATAATACACTGGTAAAAGTGCAGATGTACGTTCTTATCACCGAGAAAACTCATATCGAAAGCACAGTTTACCTCTTTGAACTGTAGGATGAGTTTACTCACAAAGCGTGATTCAAGAAATGTGCATTTCAAAGCATCAACAACCTCTTCTGAGGGCATGTCACTGATCCAACCACCAGGATTTTCAAAATTTGTGTTGCCTTGGAATGCATCAGAAAAGTCGATTTCCACCGCCAATCTAACATTCCTTGGTAGAATGTCGTAACAAAAAGCGTGCAAGTACTCATGGTTTTCGACCAAAAAATTGCTACTCATTTTCACTAAGCGAGGTGCAAACAGAACACCTATGTTTTGTAAGGTGGTATACACGGGCAATCGTGTATCATATTTCTCAGTTTCCGAAACAAGAGCTACATTATTTGATTCATCTGTCACGATAAAATACACCACATCACGTATTTCCGTGACTAAATCACAGTAGTTTAGATCAAAACTAATCATTGGGTCAATTCCATCCTCGTGTGTGGCAGAAAGCGTGTTCAGGTAGAGCGTCTTAATACGATCACTTAGATTGCTATCATCCATCAGCTGCTGGCATATCTGGCGCAAAACCAATGACTTACTATTTAGAAACGGTAGGACATTCTTCACAATATCAAAAATTTCTGTGTCAGAGAACCGAACCTCACTGTGTAAAGATAATCCTGTTATCTTCGTATACAGTGTTTTCGTGATCGGGACATCAAGCCTCATGTATGCTTTCAATTTGTCCGTATTCTGTTCGCTATTTTGATCAGCGATTTCTTGGCATTCCTGAACGGTCGAAGTCTTGCATTCAGCCGTACTTCCCTTCAAATTCTGTGGTGAATCACTCAGCGTGTCGATCCCTTCAATTCTGAACCCGCATAAAAATGCTTTTTCTGACACAGACACATCCTTGACAATGCTGCTGAAATGCATATCGTCCGCATTCTCACAAACCAAAATATCACGTATGCTGTCCTGTGCTTCATTCTTAAAACACAGTATCCATCTCGAGGTTACACCATAAATGTTCATAAAAAATTTTATACTCTCACTTTTATACTTTTTTCCTCAAATGTAAATTTATATTTGACGTATTCAATCAATTGGTACCGATCATAGGTCTGTTATCCTTTAGTGCTTCCTTAAATGTATAACATTGTTAATTAATAGTAATAAATGCTTAATTATTGTCTATATGAAGTATTGCTGTCATTTTCAGATCAACTATCTCATATTATACTTTTTGAAAGACATTAAAATGTTAATTCCATCATGAAGCACTTATCAGAACTGTAGGTGCATTTTGATCTTTACAGCGTTTGCTCATCCAAATTTGAAACTTCGTTATAATAACACAGCATCATGCCCGGGAAGAACAGGCTTTGAGCTGTAAGGATAATAATCCACAGATAGATAAAATTTAAATAACAATGTTCAAGTTGATCTAGCAATCAGAAATTGGAGCGCAAAAATGTTTAGAAATAAAAAATTATAAATACTGGAACTAGGAGTGTATTTGGAACCTGATGGTACTTGATGGATGAACAAGTTTGAAGTAGCATCACTTCTGCATCATATCGGTATCATTACACCAACTGTACGCTATCACCATTAAAAATGTACACCTAATGACTGTCACAAAGAATGAAGGTCTTCTATCAAGCAATCGTTATCTACCTATAAAACGAATGTGTGTAAATTTAAAAAGATACAAATGCAAAAACACGCATAGCGTGATGCAAATGGAGTGGTTAGTCATGTATGGTGGCCAAGCATAATATTTCTTTTGCTATTTGCTTACCAAATGATGACATATTACCAATGCAGTGCTGAGATATTTGGCATATCAGTGATTTAATTACCTCCTAAGCACTTATATTTGGCATATCAGTGATTTAATTACCTCCTAAGCACTTATATTTGGTGTATATCTTGATCAACAACAATTCCATATCATGTCATTCGCATAAGAACGAAATAATCGTAAAATGATAGTTCCTACCAAAAGGGGCGAAATAACGATTGATGCCCTTAATTGAGTGAATGACTGAATGGTAATAAATGAACGGTTTGTTAAATGTTTATATGCATTACCTGCATTTTGGTAAGAGAGCGACCAAGAATAGAAGCAATTACTTGATGCTATGAACGATAAATGTGGTTCTATTGCTGTTCTTAGGCTTGTGCTATTTAGGTACAGAAATATTTCAAAACGATAACAACGCAACACAAAGGAACAAATAATTCGAATAATACATGAGAATAGGAAAGTAACAAAGTTTGAATACCTATGGAACGGTTTGCTTGCTTTAATATGCCATGTTTTATTTTTTTCATTTGTTTTTAAGCATCTTAGATTAATAAATCACTTCGCATCGGTAATTATGCCCTTAAAATACTGTTTGAAGCGAATAATTGAGAGCGTATCAGAAAAAAGGCTTAATAAACATCTTAAACTATTCATTTGAGCAAAAGTATGAAACGAAAAAATTTTATTTCTTTGAAGGGTTAAATAATTTATTTTAGAGAACTAACTAATTATCTTTCAAGTTGCCTTTTTGCTGCATGACGATTTCTACCTCTCCGTTTTTATGGTAGCTGTTAAGAACTAGCAATTTGGTTGCGAACCTACAACATGCATTTGTTGAATATGCTGCTTATGGCTTGCTAAAATAAATTTATTGGAATGCTTTTATTTCTCAAAATTTTTGTCTTAATTAGCTATAATTGAGATGATTTTAGAATAAGAGAATATGTTTGTTGTGGACCGTCTCTTTTCGTTTTTAATGAGTACATGTTTAAAAAATACAATGTATAGTTAAATTTATGTGGGTAATTAAATGTAACATATCTATGAAATGTTTTGTGAACAAGTCTGGGAATATACGCTCAAACGATGATATTTTTGGTAACAAGATACAAAAAGTTAATTTTTCCGTTACATTTTATGAATGTGGCTTTTATTCATACCGTAGCATGTCTCATGCCATTATCCTGTATATCATATAACGAAAACATTTGATTTCTATATGTTCATTACATTTAAGATTCCAATAATATTATTTTTATCGAAACTCAGAACAAGAGGTAAAATCTATATTTGCTTTATAATAGAAATATTTATAAAGAGTGGTGTAACTTAATATCATCGTATTCCCACCGTTACATCTGGTACCTATACATTCGCATTATTGTAGCAGCATTCTCCAAATTTTTGATCCTCCTAATAGTTCTGTTTTTGCCCTGAAGGAACAGTTCCAGTAAAAGTGTTGAATAAGCGTGTAATAGTGCATACCATAAATTCCAACATAATGCATTGTTTGATTCTAAGTTTATGATCGTAGAACGCATTTGATCTTTAATCAATTAGAAATTTTATACTCCTATTCCCTAAAAAGTAAAAATGTTCATTTTACTTATTGAGAATATTACAGATAAGCAGATAAAGTGTTGGACCCCATGCAGTTTTCGCACACCGTTTTGTTGATCATCGGAATTGCTTTCGGTATACAAATCGATACGTACTCGAATGACAATACTACAAACGGAAATGAAGGCACATGTGACGATAGGTACGTGCTTATACAAATGAATCCTTTTACACCAACAGAAAACATGGCAGATGCTGAAATGGTCAACGCTTTATCAGAATTTATTAACAGTCCATCCGTAGAAGATGATAAAGGAAATTATTTTCTTCGATTGCAGGCGTTCAGGGAGCACTACACGAAGAAAACAGCCATAGTATTTCAACACAAAAATTTTGAGCTGTACCTATCGGATACTAACGATGATATCTCTCATCAAGATAGATATGCACTCATCCCTGTGGAAATGAATAGATTTGATAATATTAACACAATTGCTTGTTTTCTAAAACTCAACTGGTTAGCAATCGTTGTGCACGACCCCACTAGACTAACTCTTAACTATGATATAAATGAAATAACCAGTTTACCTAGTTCTGTATCCAAAATTCGCATACAGAAATGTTCATTGGGAAGTTGCAGCCCGTTCGCAACGGGAGTTCCTTTAATGGATAGAGTTATCAAAGCAAAAACGTTCGAAGAGGTGGAAATAGTTGGCTTTGAAATCCATTTCAGCACAATTTATGAACTGAGCAAACTAAATTTGAACAAATTGCGCTTGGTTGGATGTAGGATAATATACGCACCACCAGCAAATTTATCAAAGGCACTTTTTGACAGGTTTGCCGAATCATACAAGTCCATCAGCTTTGAAAATGTGGAATTCGTTGACAAATCATATCTTATCCTCGTTGAGAACTGGTCACCTTCGTCTGAGGGTAAGTCACTGGTTGATTGTAGAAATCTATTGGAGCTGCGTTTACCGTCATTGAATGATTCTCTTCTTATAAACTTCATCAATCAGTCCTCTCTTCCAAATTTAAAGAAACTAAAAGTGGCACCGGGAGACAATTCTAACGCCAAATTAGCAATTTTTGATGATAATATGCAACTTGAATACCTATCTGTGATGATTGACGATACAAGACAGGCTATTGAATTTCTAGAAAGCGTTCATATGTGGTGCATTACACATCTCGTTTTAACTTTTCTACCTGCGACCAAAACAACCTTTACGAAATACGAATTGAGATTTGATATGATGTCCCTCCGGAAACTCGAGATATATGCGCCGGACGTGCCTATGAATTGTGGCTTTATCGAGATATTCGATAAAGAACTTATGCCGAATCTGTCATCGCTAAAAATTACGTGCTTTTCCATGGATATTGGTTTAATAAGAAGGATCAGCAAACTTGAATCGCTTCAACTTTTCTTTTTTTCACAACAATGTAACCTCGTGCATTTTTTTGAGGAGTTTGCAGCACAAAGTTGTTCCAAGGAATCACTTCAAACGATTTCTATCGATTCCAAACTATCAAGAAAAACACTGAAATTGCTTTCATGTTATAACAAATTGAATGAACTAGCTCTGTCACAAAAAAGTGTAAAATCACTCATTGATGATTATTCAGGTCACTCCGGCATACGACAGCTCATTTTAGAAAATGGAATACGAAGATTATTTGGACTTTATGAGTTGGTGAACTTTCCAAGCGTGAAAATACTAAGGCTAACAGAGTTCACAGATATCTCTATCCTATACCGATTCGTGAAAGCAAACTCGTCGAAAGTGTTTTACAACATTGAAAAAATAGCAATGGAGTACGATACAAGTCCGTTGAACACACATATGAATCAGAGCTTGGAGTTTCTTCAGCTGATGGTTTGCCCGCCCGAGATCATAGGATGCGGACTTAAAGGACTCGTTCAAAGACTCTTTTCCACGTACAAACAATTAAGATCGTTTGTCATTGAATTGCCTCTCGGTCATTTCTGCACTGAAGAGATCAGCAAATTTAAAAAATATTTTTCTGATCAAACATTCCATCTGGAAGTAAAATGTCGATGGAGGGATGACGTTAATGAAAAAGACGCTCTCATTTGGGAATTTTCTAGTTAAAGCACGATTATTTACACACATCGCACGGATTGGAGCGTATCAGCGGTATATAATTAGTTTAATGTGTATTACATGCTAGAAAACGTTATCTAAGCATTAAATTAAAATCATTTCGCCACTGCAGTTATATTCCCTAACCATGCCATCCAAGCCTGATCAATATGGCAGTGAAATTCTCATCAATTTATTTTTATGAAATAAACTATCCCGTCAACTAACGATAAGCATAGTAATTCTTATCTATGATTATTTAAAAGGATAAACCGCAAAAATTACAATTTTTATGATAACCCTATCAGGAAATACAAGGCTGTCTTTTCCTTGAAAAGGCATTTATACCGGTTAATTTTGCCATAATACTTCTAGGAAGATACATATTTAATTTGAGAATGTATCACTTGTTAAGACACTCATATAACCGCTATGCTATTTCTAACCATGATTCGTATGTTTATCATATTCGTTGCACTATTCTGCAACTGTACATAAAAACGTTATGATAATCTTGCAATTCCTGTTGGAAACTCGTTCATAATATACGAAAATGTGTAAAGCATTCTGCTTCCTTTATCATGATGGTGGCTTATTCCACGCATGTTAGCCAATCTATAGGTTTACGTCCAATGTCTCATGAGGATGATGCGAACTTTGGATTTGAAAAATGCTGACCGGTAGGATGCGATGCACAAGATTTTGCTTTCCTATGACAAGAGAAGAGAAGCAAAGCGTTAAATGTGTTTATTTAATTCCACAGAGTCGCAATGATGTTTTCATGTCTTTAAACGAATAAACACAAGAAAGTAAAAAACAAACAGCTTAATGGTAAATTATGGTGGGGATAGATGCTGAGATGTGTTCTGGCAGAGTGTAGTGTTTGTGAGGAGAGCTTTAAATAAAAAGGAAATTTACTTAGTGGATCATAAAAAGCAATTTTTGCTTATTATGGCGTTCAGCCTCAAAGCTTGGTGATTATCTGTCTTCAGAGATAGCCAAAATTGCGAAAATACGAGTCCAAAATCGGACAAATGTAATACTTGAAATACCATCGATATCGCCATCGTATTATTCTCACCCGGTTCCCTTCTACGGTGTGGGTGGTACAAACAAATTTACGAATAAGTAAACAGTAATTTGCAAAATTAAAAATTGAGTATTTTGCAGTGCGTTCAAACAAGTCCTCTCATTTACGATAGCCCGTCGAAACACACGTGTATAGTAAACAGAAACGCTGCTGTTTATGGAACATTTTGTATGATTGCTTTATTTATCACCGTTCTATCTGCACAATCTGACGAAGATCAGAATTAACACCAAGAACAGGGCTGTTGCACCCAAAGCCAGTGCAACAATCCATCCAGCTTTTGTACCTCCCGTCGATTTCATTTCTCTGCTTAGCTTGAATTTACCAGAACTTTTATCGAATTGAAACGCTTCACTGTGGAAGATTTCGTTGCCTTCTCTTATCTGTATCGAATACGTCTTTCCCTTTTGCATGAGAATATCATCGTCCAAAGGAACATGCAGTCTATTTCGAGTCTCTTCAAAGTCTGAGTCTATGTCCATAACCTTTATAATGGTGTACGACTCGTCATCATCCGGTGTCTCTGACCCCATTATACTTATTTGAGAGGGATTAACGTCCCGAGTAAAGAATAATATGGCCTCGTAGCTGTCTGATTTCCTGTTCTTGTCGAATGCAATATTCTGTATTGGATTGTCTTTTGGCACTTCGTCGCCTTCACACAGTATGAGCGGCAAAAAATGAATAAAAAACATTGTTTGTGTGTGAATTTTTACTTTTAAATCTTGCTTATGATTCATTTATCTGAAAATATAATTGCTATCAATCATTTCGAAAAGATCAGTTTTAGTTTATCAGCTGTGAAGCAACAAACAGCATTTTAACTCACTGCAAAATGCGCTGTCTTGCTTATTTAACCGTTTTCATCGTTGTAAATATTGTTGTGGTCGTTGCTTTTGTATGATTTTCCATTTTCTAGGTGCGTAAATCGGTTCATGGACGAAAGAAACAAAGCAGAAATTTATTGATCAACAAGTAGACTCTCAGAAATTGACCTTTCATGCTACAAACACCCATAATGAAGTGTTTTTGAATACAAAACTACATGTTCGTGTTATTTGAACATTATTGTTTTATTATATTACTTAGTATGGTTTAATGCTGTCATGTCATTCCAATCAATTTACAATTTTCATAATTTCGAATTTTGAGAATCTGTCACTCCCACATTGCATTTTTCTATTAATTCGTCTTTTCATACGTTTTTACGTGGATACGGCTCGTAATTTTAATTAACGGGTATTGTTTACGTCACTGCCAGTTGATATGATCAAAAAACAGATTGGAAGTCTCGAATTTATTTAAAGATTCATTTTCATGTTGGTATGCTGCTCCTTCTTCTACTACAAGCTTTACAATGTTCAGTAGAGATAAAAAATATCGATGCAGATGAAGCTGTCCTGTATATCAACAAGCGGATAGAGATACGCCAGGTGTACTTAGTGTACAACGTTGTTAAAAGAATGACAGAGGCAATAGAACGATATGAGCCGGTAGATGATGTGCAAAGAGACCTGGACGACCCTCAAGAAATATTCGAGGTTAGTTTGCCATCAAATAAACCGACTAACTATTACTATGGGTTTGAAGTGGTCGATATTGATGGTAATAGCTTCTACACGGAAAGATACTACTTCGCTAATGACCATATTTTTTACAGCTCGAAAGCTGCGGTCCCGACAAATGAAATAGCAGATGTAGAAGAAGATGAGGAGGACGAATACGAGGAAAAAGATAAAAAGTGGTGCATATGGTCGATCATTGGAATGGGATTGTTGATTATTTTCATACCTGTAGCTGTTATCTCTGCTGCTGTGTTCGTGTACAAAAGAATTACCACTTCGAAAAATAAATTGAGCAGCCAAACAGCAAGGTAGATTGGCCGCTATACATCTAATAAATAAAGAACCTTCATGTATTCCTCCATATTTACGTTTTAAAAGGAATTTATTAATCTTGGTCATACATTTCTGCTATTTTGCAAATCAATTTTATTTGCCATGCTTTCTACCCAGGGCACACCACACACATTTTAATGTTCCTATTAGTAAAGGATACACCGCACAAACTTAAATAAACCGCCTTCCTCTGGTAGCACTCATAAATGAATGCACGAAAAGTCCCGTGAAATAAATAATTTTCTTCATCAAATGTTACTCATTTATATCCTGTATGAATTAAATAACACGCTGAATGAATATTTCATAAGTAGATGTACACGATCAGTTTTTTGCTTACTACGCATATTTAGGCATTCAAATATTTAATTAATAATTATGACATTTAGTTGATTAATTCCACCCTGCAATTCCTTTCAAGGCCATGTACCTGATGCATTTGTTTTGCTAACAATTTTTATTTGTTGCGTTAATATAAAAGATGAGGTGGCTATAGCAATAGTTTTTGTTCCTGACTTTTCCTTGTGTGTTCACTGTTCAATTCCCTTTAAATTTTACGATATGAACGGTATTTCCATACTCAGAACATACCAAGGTATGGGAGCATTTGTCAATGTGCTGTGAAATAGAAACGAACGTTTTTTGAGACCTCATCAGAGTCACACTATCCCAATAGTTGTTCAATCACTGTTTTATTCAATTATCTACGATAAAGACATCTCATAAACCGGTATAAGAGTAAAATGTATGGCTCATAGATATGTACATTCGTACTATGATCAAAGTGTGGACATAGATTACAAATGGCCAATTAGTCTGTGATTAATTATTGTCTACTCATCAATCGGATCCGGTAATGAGAACAGTAAACTTAAAGAAGTGCGGTTTGTGCACAAAATTTGTTACCTGAAATGGGTGCTTTGTCCAATGTTGATACGAAAAAATAGCAAAATCAACAACATCAGCCAATAAAACGCCGTTTTAGTGCATTCCGGTTCCACAAATCAGACTGGTTAAAAAGATTTGATACTCGTACAAAAGATAGACGCTGATCTATGGCAATAATGCTACGTGATTGGCGTGTAAAAAACTTGTTTAGCCATCAAACCAAATGGCATTTACAGCTCAATACTCGGTTATCAAGGACAAAAATATCCATTGCTCTCCTTTTTGACTGTGCACTGCTTTTTGCCAGCTCTGACCAATAAGCATTTCGGACAAGAACATCAACGAACATAAAAATTTTTAATGCCTGAATTACGCGGCACCCCTTATGGGCAACATATTTTCACGAAAGCTGTCGTTACGCGAACAGTTATTTAACCTTGATGAACGAATTGAAAAGCGGTCGCAGAAGATAAACCACCTAAGAAAACAGAAGTCGTACTATTCATTTGTAATTGGAGTGATTTATTTGCTGCTCGTGCCGTTTACTGCTGTGCTTCTCCATTATTATGAATTTTCGTTTCTATTTCTAGGGCTGCCCATTGTATCGTTTGTCCTGACTCAAACGACTTTGTACCTTGTCTTCTCCAAATTTATAGATTATAACGAAAATTTGCTGAAAAAGATGAAGAAAACGCAGATTGAGCAGATAGAGCAGCTGAAAAGAGATGTGGATTACATAGAAACATTGAAGATCGTGCAAAAGTATGACAAATCGGCGAAAAAAAAACCGACCAGCACCGAATCAATAATATCAACACGAAGCATGGCGGACAAACTAACAGATATCATACTCGGCGATAATCCACAGCAAATGTGTGCTCTCATCTGCGAGAAGTGTTTTGCCCACAATGGATTGGTCTTCCCTAACCAGTTCTTTGACCGAAAGTTTAAATGCATATCGTGCGGAATATTGAACATCACAAAATGTAAAGAAGAACTCCTAGAAAAGAAAGAAAATGATGTGAGTGATAGTAATTTGGATGAATCTATAAGGAATTGAACATAACACATGTTCTAATACTCTATTTTTATTTTACAGGTGCATTTGTTACTCAAAAGCTCGGAATAATGCCGTATATTTCATTAAAGAACGTATTTTGTATGTCATGTCACGTTGAATGTTCTGATTGTTCCTATTATCGTAGATTTATTTCTCTGCCTACACATTCAACACTACCCAAGCAGGTAAGCTTTTCCAGTCTGCTAGGACCGAGCGCAGACCTAGCCTTTGGTCTATGGTATTAGTTCTGAAGACAGTACATAGAGTTCTTTATAGATCTGTTTTTCTGTCACGACTGTTCATTGCATATAAAAAATTAGATAAAAGCCTTCTGAACCGGTAGTGCCACGATACGGGATATGAGCGTTTCACAAAAAAGTGTAATTAAATTATTGTTTATCACACAGTGATGTATTGGTGCTGTTAAACGTGGCTGTTAGGAAAGTATCTACCATTCAGGAAGTAGGATCTCCATGCAATTGAAAATACGCCATGCACTATTTTACCACAACACAACAGCTCGTTCCAGCATACTTCGATGTATTCCAATTTTTTTAATTTCTTGCTCAATAATCACAATTCGTGCTTTAGAAGTATTTGAAGAAGCAGCAAACCGCAACTGCACCATAATAAACGCGATGTAGTGTTTAACATCTATGAATCGTTGAAACTACGGCGTTTATTGCTAGATATTAGCGTTTTCATCTATGAGCAATTCACGGTATGGATGTTTAGACCCTATGAAAAGAAGTAATTGGTACGAAACAAACAGCCGTACTTTAAATAGAAAATGGCAGGTAAAGCATTTGATATGGCACCAATCTAAACATCTTTCTCATTCCTGCAGCTAGAGATAAGTCTTTGCATTGTATACTACCTCTGTTTTGATTCTTAGCACTAGTAATCCGTGCTGCTTTGCACCACGTGCGATGTTGAAGAACTTGGGCGAAAAACTCTGCAGGCATCAAACGTAATGCTGGCGTACAAACTGGAGCAGCCCCTATGCCTGTTATTAATAATTACCTTTGGTTCGAATAAACTCAAACAAAGCCTGCAAATTGATGTAAAACGGCTTTGAAACTTTATTTCTATCGGATTGACATGATTAATGTATTTAGTACCGTTCCATTGAACCAGAATTCAATGAACGGATAGAACGTGGGAGCGATTGTGTTCACGTCTATGATTCAATAAGTCGCGCTAAATGTGTTTATTTATGACTGTTTTGTACAGTTCATGGGATTAGCGCAATATGCAGATGGTGTGATGCAACATTTCCACCACTTGCTCGTCATTCTACAGCAGTTGTATTTCATCTGCAGTTCGACTTTGTATCTCAGCTACACCAACGAGAATATCATTTAAAATTTCGTTGTTAGCAGATGTTTTACCGTAATTCCATATTTTATATTTATTGGTATGTCCTGCAATTGTTGCTATGAGTAGATGGTTGAGAGCGTGTTATTTTACCTGTTCGCTAACTCCAAACTGCTACATGGTGCGAGGTGTGTAAAAGGATGTAATGCGGTGCAAAGGTTTGCTCTCCTCCTGCAATAAAACGGTACACCGGTAATGAAATGTAAATTAATAGAACTGTGATTAGGTATGTGCGATTTGCAATGCCTCTTCGGCCTAGGTACCGGGTAAAGATGGTGAATGTGATACTTTGATAGCAGACCCGCACGTCTGATAATCCACATGCAAGTAAATAGAATGGTTCTATCCTCAATCATTATTTTGAACAATTATTTGTCCACTGTCTAATCATTTCGTCATTAATTCCCGTCATGTAATAAATAATGAATTTACCTACTGCTCGTCATACTATCCACTTCTCACCATGAAACACTATTTTAGTGTTACAGGCTCAGCGGTATCATTTGCGCACGTGAGACAGGAAATAACCAATTAATAGTTCGGTATTTGAAGTGGGTTGATACCTGATTCGACAATAACAGTTTCATCACAGCTGTTTGTACGCAAAGGAAGTGTAGAAAACCGTTTATTGCACGTGTTACGCATGGTTTACGACGAGTAGTTAATGATGATGCGAATTAATAGATGTGATGCCTGTTTTACCGTAAGGACCACAAGCTACAGCAAAATACCGTAAATCGTCTTAATCCCAAAGAACACAGCAATCCATTCATTACTATTCTTAAACTCTGTTAACAAGCTGGTTGTCCCATCCTCATACGCGTTGCTCAGTAGCAACCGTCGCAATCACGACCGAAACAGTTTTTACTTGAAGGTAAAACATGTGTTAAGTGTTTTCTCATTTAAAGTTTAACACAATTATGATAATACATGTTCTTTGTTACTCTGATTCTTCTACGATCAATTTATATACAAGCAGCACCTGTTTACACGTACGATCCGAACAAAGGGCATCCACCAATGTACACGCAAGCAGATCCGCAGACAGGATGCTACTACACTAATACACAGAATGGTCTCGTGCAGGTGTGTCCCAGGCCGGCAAACCAGCAGCCCACTACGTTACCAACACGAGAAGTAATAGCATCATTTCCTGTGATGAAGAGCGTTGTAAAGACAACTTCTAGGGTTGTATCTCCCAAGGAATCTCCCATAGACTCGCTGATGCAGAGCAATCCGGAACTGGGCGACCAAATCAAGAGGATATTCGAGTACCAGGGCATTGCCGAGCCGTGGGACAGAATAAAGGACTTCTTTGATAACAGACAGCGTCTAATGCCAGACCCGTGCATGCTGTACAAGACGATGCGCGACATTCTGAAAGTGTTTGAAAGCCTGAAAGAAATGATCTCTGACGAGCTCAGGAAGATACAGGTATATGTGGAACGAGCCAAGATGTACTTGAAGGAAGATCATGTAAAACTAAAGGATCTGCTTTCCAGGATGTCTTTAGATCTTGTGAAGATGAAGTCTACGAAGGATAAGAAGAACCAAAACGACTACGCCAATAATTTTAATAAGATAAATGCTGAGACACAGCAGGTGATCACGTCGTATAATCGGTTGAAAGAGTGGTTGTTCAAGACACTGACATATTTCAAACAGCTCTTTTAATTAAAGAAAAATTAAATATTCAGGCTATTGACGTATTCAATGGTTGCAGTACAAGTGTGCTGAGATAAGTTGATTTAAAGGAACATGCCGGCAGCAGTTCCACGGCCACGAAACAGCACGGTATGTTCTCATCGGGCCATGTCAACACGTAATGCATGGTGCACGAGGTGGAAATTGATCTGCCCATTGTTCAAATGGTGTCTTGTGAAGATCCTAAAACACTGCGTGTTACCTGTAAAAATATTTGTTGAGCGAGTACTCCTGTGGTAGATGCGCAGCCACAGATTTGGTGATGCTCTAAACAAATAAGCCCCACTTCAAAAACAAAGACCAATAACACCGAATTCGTGGTAGAAGCACGATAAGTACAGCATAGTTAAAGACTGGTCAAAATATTTTTAATAATTGCTTGAGCCCGTGTCTAAAGATGCAGCAAACGAATCATCCAAATTTATAAGACATGTTCTTCTTTTTAAGTTCACCAAATGTACAAAAAGGCACGTTTCTGCAATTCTGTCCGGTTTGGGAGAGAGTTCCTCTCGTGTTGCTTGCGTTTTAGAGCACTTTCTTCGTTCAAGCGGGGTACAAATCCTTTAACAAATGCAGAATTGGTGAACACAAAGATGAAAGAACATGTTACGTGTTATCATCCTTTGCACGAGCATATAAAGCACGTGCGAACCAGCAAAGCTAATTTACCTGAAAAACGTTCCTAAGGCGCTGAGTTGGTACATTTTATCACAGAAACAGTTCAAAGATCCTAGGAAACACAGAAATGGTAAACCATAAAATCGTGTCTTGTTAGGACCCGTTGCTGCGCGTTCAGACCGCTCACTCTGCACGGTGCTGTTGGTAGAAATGTATCTAAGCATTCCAGCACGTGTATGCTCAGTGACAACAGTCACTCATTTTCTAACAGAGCCATCGTATCCTCTTCAGATTTGGTTGATGAGCAATACGAAACGAAAGCTTTTAGATCTTCTGTGACGAACAAAAAGATCTGATCTAAGTAATAATTACATGAGACGAATCGTGATCATAACATTTCCTCAGCTCTCAGACCATGCACTTCTTCTGATTCGTTCAAAATTCGGGCAATTGATCACTTGGTGAGGTCCAGACCAATGAAACGGTCGGATTCGTGCATGCGTTCATGGTGCACACTCCTGCGAAAAAGTGTTTAAGAACGCGCCTCACACTATGAAAGACAAAATCAGTGATACACCAGGCGTATCACACGGTAGATTCTTCCAAATCATATCACCGTGATCGGATCGCTGTTCTTCCCACCTTCACAACAACGCTTCCACGGTTAATTCTCGCATACTGCACCAGAATACGCACAAGTGCGTGCTGCTCAATCGCGGTCACTCCCCGTTAAGGGTTTTCAACCAACTGAAGAAACACCACAGGCCACGGAGAATCCGCATTACCCGCCAGACCCGTCTAAAACCGTTAAAATCATTTCATCCCACGTCAACGCTAAATAAAATCCTTTGTGAGTAACACCAATCAATTTATTCGCTCCACACCAACGTGCATCGTTTTGAAAGCGAACCGTAAAAAATTACGAATTCGCCTCAGCACCACCACACCCATCGCTTCTCTCATGCCCTTTACCTACCGATTTATCCAAAACGGGCAGAAAAATGGAACACCACAAAAAGGACGCGTGATGCCGACCAACCAAAGAAGCGGTCGGTAAAACACTTAAATTACCACACAGCCTGCATAATGCGTTATGCGCCTTAACCGCATGGCTCGCCCTGCCGACCCATCCAGTCCATTGAACTACACCCGGCCAGCCACTCTCACCGATGAACGGGCCATCACAGCATCCTACCCAGCAAATACTTCATCTCGTCATCCTCCTCTCCCTTAACGTAGCATGTGCCCCTCTCTACCAAATTCTTCTTGACCAGCATCCTCACCAAATCCTTAACCTCATCAATCACACACTCATCAAACATCATCACCGCATCATCAACGTCTTTGCATCTCAACAACGTAACTATGCACATCTTCAACAGCTCAACGCTCTGCGCATCAATCCTTTCCTGTCCCAGGATGTCACCGATCTGCCTAACAACAATGTTCTTCACCCTATCATCCAACTCCTCTTCCAGAGCGTTGAAAAGCGCATATCGCGTGAAGTTGTCGGCCTCATCGTAGTGCAGAATGAACAGGCTGCTGTCCTTTTTGGAAAAGGCCCTGTAAAGCAGCGTATTCACGCTTTTTACATCTTTGCCCGTGCACACATAGTAAAACGTAATCAGATCATCGATGCATGCCGAATTGTAAGAGAGCAGCGGCACTATGTGCCTCGAGATATCATCACCAAGGACCATCTTTATCTTCAAAAGCCTGCAGTAACTCGTGCGCGTGTTCTCGTTCATCAGTTCTATGCTTTCATTCAAGTCCACAATATTGCCGTCGTTCTCATAGACCATCTTCTTCGCAAGGATGTTGTAGTACTCGCCCACATACCTGCGCATCTTCATGTTCTGCAGCACAACATGCACATCCTTAACGTTTATCTTGTCCATCACCCTGTCCACCAGCACGAGCACATCGCGATTCTCAAGCGAAACAAGAAAACTCAAATTGCGCTCCACAAAACGGCAAATGCTCATCTCACCACTGTGGTCGAGCAAAAACGCAAAGCCTTCCTTCTTGTTGTTTCCTATCTGCTCGAGAAGATCCTCGTTGAGGAACAGGACGATTACGGCAAAGTCAAATTTTTTAAAAAACTTGAAAAAGTCGTCGCATGGAACGGTGATCATACGCGCAAGCAGCCCATAATCAAATGCGCGCAGCTCGGGCACCTCCACGTCCATGAAAATACCGATCAACAGGTTGTTAACGACGTAGTCCTTGATGAGCGCCTTCTTTATGTAATTCTGCTGCCTGAGCAGCTTATCGTAAACAAAGCGCACGTCCACGTACAGCAATACCTGCAGCACTGAGCGTATTATCTCCGTGTTCTCCGTCCTTATCACAAAAATTATGAAATCGATGATCTTGGTGTTCAAAATTTTGGTGCTATCGTCCGTAATCACGTTCTTAACAACATTTTTGTACTCGAAGTTGTCCTCCCGGTCTGCAGTGCCCGCGCTTTCTTCCTTAGACTTGCTCTTTTCCCTGCTGCGCACGGCCATCGCTCCACCGCTTTCGTCCTCGTCTTCGTTTATCTCATCTTCGGCCACCTCACCTCCTTTCCTTCCTCCGTTCCCACACACGCATCGCTTCACAAAATAAACGAATCCCGTCACAAACTCATATCCACCGTCCTCCCGACCATAAATATCGTACAACGCGCCGATATTCTCGGTAAGTTTCCCAATTATGATCTTACGATCGTCCTTCTCATCGTAGTTGGCCAGTATTCTGCACACCGTGCCTTTCGTTTCGTTCGGAAGAACTGAGAACAGTGCGCCCACCATCAGCTCAATGTTCTTGTTTTCTGCACATTTATCTGCTCTGGTGGCCTTGGCCAAAATCTTGAGCACCTGGTTCATCAGGCGCAGATCGACAGGCAGCATCATCTTGCCCGTGTCCACCGTTTGTTCCATTGCATAGAACGCATCGGCCATAATACCATGCTTTTCCAGAATAGCATACGTCTGCAATGAACTCGAAACGTCGACACATAACGCGTTCAGGTACTTAAGATGATTCTCTGTGAGCTCAAACTTTACGTTTATCAAATCTAGGTCGCTCATCCGCAGTATCTCGTTAATCTCAGCCACGCACGTCATGTAGATCCGTGAGTTGTTCTCAAGGATCTTCCGCTTGAGCCTCATGAACATTTTCAACAAATATTCTCGCTGTATCTCATTCTTGCCGGTATGAAAAGCAGTAATCAGCTCCTCGTCCTCCTTCAGATCCTTCAACACGCACAACAAATGGTTCTTTGGTGTTACGTCCGTCTCAAATATGAGATTCACTCCCATCTTATCAAATGCCACGTTCTCAACGAGTCGGTTCATTTCCGCCTTGACAAAAGGCAAATTCATGTTGTCCCTGAAAACGCCGAATATCACGTTCTGCAAATCGTTGTAATACGACGAGTACTCCATGGCCATATCAACGTTCACGTACTCGTTGAACTTGAGACCCTGTACGATCTGGTGCATCAGCTCGGGTGTTAAGGTAATTTCACCGTCCAATACCAGCTGCCGTATGAACGCCGTCAGCAGAGAACGGACGTACATGTTAGGCTTGTCGGCAAGAACATTGTTTAAGTACACTATGTCCGCACTCGTAAGCTTCTTTCCCGTCCGATAGTCTTCGTATAGCTCTGTGACCTTTTCTAACGAACTCATTCTCTTCGCTTGTAGGGGCAACAAAACAAAAATATTTAGTACAGGACTGATTTGAAGTACATCCCGATGTGTTAAGGAATGTATGCGGTCCATGGGGCGCTTTTTCCAAATTCTTTGCTCGTTTCGAGGTGCCGGGCAGCTTAAATCGTTGTATGAAACAAATTTAATCCTGAGTCAAGGCATGGTGAGACGTAAACCTGCACAACGGAAACATACGACAGGCTCACACAGATCCAGAAAAAGAGTCTACTCGGAAGAGAAAAGCAGATTTGCCAGTATTTCTTATCATAACGAGCAGCAACCCGTCCCAAAACAAAGTTACAAATCGTCTTTATTCACACACAATCAAATATCAAGCTCGTTCTCATTTTGTCCCTTACTCATGCCCACGTCTTCTACCGACACTTTCGTCGCTTCGCTTGTTAATTCGCTCGCCTCTTTATCGACACTCTCCCAGCCCTTCGCCCGGATGTACTCGACCACTCCATCCACATCAATCTTATGCTCGCATTCGCTCGCACACACGTTCTTGTACTTGATCCGCTTCATGAAGACCTTTGCCAACTCCTTGCCCAGGGCATCGGACACTGGCAGTTTCACAATTTTGACGATCAGAGGGAGAGAAAGGGAAAGCAACGCGATGATCTTCTTTATGTTCTTCACAAGAACTGTTCTTTCGTCCTTATCAAGCCTGCTTGCCATCTGATTTATAAGATACTCGTACGGATTGACCGCATCATGCCTTTGTTCGACATCCGCGACCGGCCCAGCATTCGAAATTGGAATGCTGTTAACCATCGTGTCATTGCCATCATTCTTCCCTTCTGTACCACCGTTGTTCGTGTCCTCACCTGTGCAGCGCTCATAATTGATCAAACAGTCCAGGACACCAACCATGAACATCAGCCTGTCATCCTTAACATTAATTCTCTCCATATAGCACTTCTGACCGTCCTTGACAATGTGCTCGAGCCACTCCAGGTTAAAAACTGATTTGCACTTCCCGAAATAAACGAGCAAATTGACATTTCCATTCAAGTAACAGAACATGTCCTCACCGATCTCCTCTCTTCTTATTATCACGTCCTTGTTGATCCATTTCCTCTCTACCCTGTCCACCTCTATCCAATCATTCCTCAAAATGTAATCCGTAAAGTCCCTCAAATTCAGCATGCGGTAGAAAAGGTCGTACATTTCCAATTCTTTTGCAGTATTCAACGTTTCCTCGCTTATCACCATTCCCAGAACATTCTCATCGAGTATGTCAAGTCGAAACACGTTTTTTCTCACCAGAACATTCAGGTTGCACGCAGCATTTTCCTCAATGAAATGGCGGAACACCGCATCTCTGCTGCTTCCTATCACTTTATACAGCGTAGTTTTCATCTTATCGGCCTCGCGACTGCGTTTGAAAAAGAAATTTTCGTTTTTCCCCTTGTACTTGTTCAAAATTGTCAGAGGATATTTCAGAAACACGTACGGGTTCTCCCCATCCTGCCAATTCCTTGCATCCCAGCTGTCATCTGCCTCTATCATCTCCAACCCAGCGTAAAATATCCTGAAAAAGCTGTCCACCCTTTCTCTTCTGATCCTGTCACCGTACCATACACAGTACGCAATCATAGCCATGGCATCTCCACCAAACCTGATTATTCGTATGACATCGTCAGGTGCCATCTTAAACACTCTCTCCTGGCTTTGTGCGCACATATTCCGAATTATTGCCCTCTTACACGGCAGACACACATTCATCCGCTCTATCGTACAAAACGAACTGTGATTTATCATCTGATAGTATGCACGGTACGTTTCCAGATTGTGTATGAAATGACTATCTGTCACCAAAGGATCCCTCCTCACGCTGTCGTACACGTACGAAAGATACCTGTCTGTGAAAAAATAGCTCAGATTGCACTTTCTTGCCCGGTCTATGAAACTGAGCTTCAGCGTTTTTACACGGATCGCAACGTTGTGCAGGTCTGTGTTCAGGCAGAGTATGCAAAATGTGAGGATGTCTACGCTATCGAAATCAAATGCCGTGCTCTTTGTTCCCGTTTTAGCCGTGTCCTTAGCAGCGTGCATTTTGCTATTGTTCATCAAATCCCCGATGTTTTTTTGATCCGCAATTTCGTAAACGCCCTGCACTTCATTGGTCAAAACACCAGGCTTTTCTCCATTTTGTGCATCCCTTCCCACGTTACCACCTTCCATCTTTTTGTCACCATGCTTTTTGTTGCGTGTCCTTCTACCTTTGCTGTCTGCTACACCACCATTTCTCCTGTCATGTTCCGCCTCACTCCCTCCCCCCTCTGTCAGCTCATCCTCGTTGCTTTCTTCCCCGCCAGCACCCCCATCCCCAACAATCCCATTAACACACTTTACATCCGCGCCATCCCCACACACAATATCATCCAGATCCTTTCCATCACTTCCAAACTCATCCTTATTGCACTCATAGTACCTCTCACTGAATGCGCTAAGTATTTTGTTGATTGCCTGGCTCTCCGTCGGCAGATAAAAATTCTTGAGAAACGTTCTGAGTGCGCCCAAAAGGTCCAAATTAGCAAAATCAAACGTTTTAAGGTACTCTTTCAGCACCGGCGAGTTGTTGCTGAGGAACTTGCCGATTGAACGTTTGTTGAGCGGAAAGCTGCGGAGTATCAGGTGCTTGTTATCAAAGTCTAGCACATCTGCGCTTGCATTGAAACGGGCGAACTTCTGTCTTACCACGTCTTTGGCACGTGCATCGTACCTCATAAGTCTTTCACAGCAGTGCTTGATGTGTGAGGACGCGTTTTCGCCGCACTTCTCCTCCTGTTCCACATGCTCAACCATGCCCACAATTTCATTTTCACCAACCATCCTTCCAAACATTTGCATCCCCAAGTCTTCCATCATCGGCTCGCAGTCAAAATACAGGAACAGAAAGAAAACGCTCTCATAGAAAATGTCCTGGGCAGGATTGATCTGGAACAGGTACGGATCAAACACCGTAGCATACACAAAAGATGCAAGGTCCTTGTGATTAAGTGCAAAAAGCGCTCTTTCCGTCGGAACCTCCAAATTGAGACACTCCGGTACGACCACGTACATCTTGTGCTGCAGATAAAGCTGTTTCAGAGGCTTTTTGCCCACAAGGGAAACAAACTTTGGCCTGAGAAAAAACACAAGCTGCTTATTCTTGAAGTGCGAAAGCGCGATGAACAGCTCATAGAAGATTTTCTTTCCCGTCCTGTGCGACAGGCAGGGCTGCGCTCGGTTCAACCGCCCATGATCAGCGCTACCACCCGAAACATTGGTGGTATCATCCACAGCGCTCCTTACCTGTACGCCCAGTCCGTCCATGCCCTCACTAAAGCGTTGTACAACGCTATCCTCCACGTTTTCGCCGTACCGCTCCATTATTTCATACAAAACAGCAAAATGTGCCCTCAACACATCATAAACATGCCTGTCATTCTCATACAACAGTTCTATCACGCATTCACCAACAACATCCAGCTCGTCAAACAGACCTACCACGTTTAAAAGCTCTTCCAGCACGAACTGCATCTCAGAATTTCTAAATTTCCTGACACGCACGAATTCAAGAAAAATATGTTTTATGTGCCGAACCGTAAGCTCCTTTAAGGATATGCGGTGCACTTTCTGTTTGATAGCGATGAGATCGTGGGAAGTGAAAGGATAAGATCGTATTTGTAGGATTGCCTGGAGAATCTTGGTCTTGGTGTGAAGAGCGGTCTGCATGTGATGGGGTAAAAAAAGCGAACGGTTAAATGAGCGTGCATCGGAGAACGATAGCTGTGACCGTGCAGCGAGTGGCGTAGCGGGATGTTCAATGATGTGTGTCCGTTAGGTGTGGTAATGTGCCGTGCTAGCGGCGAAAAAGATGGAGATGTCCTGAAAATCAGAACACCCAAAAAAAGAACGAAAAGCAACGTAGTGATGGATGACAAAGGGTAAATTTGCTTGATACGGCAGTTGCACCTACGCTTCGATAGGTAAAAAGAGGAAGTGCTCATTCAAAGGACAGGGAGGTACCAATGATGAGTATGTTATGAAGTGCTCATTCAAAGGACAGGGAGGTACCAATGATGAGTATGTTATAAAGTGCTCATTCAAAGGACAGGGATGTGTGCAGATAGGAGCAACCAAGGTAACGGGCAAATTTAGTTTTTATAGGAATTTAACTCAAATTGCGCATAAAATGAACACATGCTGGTGACAGGGGTCCTTCTGCTTTATACGCACGCTACCCGATCAAATCGTGTTAAACATTGTTCTGTGAATATGGCAGTAACGTAATTGCATTTAGAAACGAATGAACAACTTTTTGGTAAACAAAAATAGTTTAATTCTCTTTTCAGGGAATGCCTCGCATTTTGGTAGCAAAAACCGTGTGCTGAGCAGAAGTAAACATAAATTACCACCTTATCAATTTGTTTGCAAATTATTTTTATTTCCTCACACAAACAATTTACCTTAACGTAGGGTTCCTTGGCCAGCCGCTCGAATGAAACGAAGAAATAGCGGTGTGAGGCACAGTTTCTTGCCCTTCATACACAATTTATGGCTTGAAGAAGCGTTAAGCTAACGCTCGGACCATGTTCTTTGCTTGATGCGCTGCCAACCGATCTATAAACCAATTTTTGCTTACCCTTGGAATGCAAAACGAATACAAAGAAAACGACGACCACGGCTACATCCTCTCGGAGGTGCATGGCAGAGTGTCGCGCATCCTCAAATCGTCGGAATACAAAGCGTTATTGCAGAGCGATAACATAGACGACGTGATTGTCAAGCTGCAGGGCACGACGTACAGCAAGTACCTGTCGGACAGCATGGAGAAGAGCAAGATGAATCTGATATTATCGCTGGACAGGGCCTTTAAACACGAGTTCAACGAGATATATCGGAGGAGTGATGGGTGCTTGAAGGTTTTGCTCACGTTTTTCCTTGAAAGCTACAAGATAGAGTCGTTTATATACAGGATGTCAAATCCGGAGGAGCCGGAAGAGGAGCTGGGCTTCTTTGTAGAACTGAATGCACTCAAGTTCAGCAACGATATGCGGGAAGTGAAGAAGTTCGTCATCGATGAGACCTTCCTGAGCCGCTACTTCGACAAGATAAACGTTGAGAACAACATTGAAAAGAACAACTTCCAGATAATCAAGAGAATGCTCATGAAATACCACATCGAGGATTTCTACAGCCAAGTGAACGGTGATATGGGATTCATGAAAAGCGTGCTTGAGGTGATGGGCAGCATTCAAATCATAGAAATAGTGCTGAACACCATGCACACGAATATCACGGCCGACAACCGAAAGAAACTTTTCCCGGATGTGAATGATCTTGATACCCGGTCAATCCACAGCTTGGCAGAATGCAACACGATTGATGATCTGAAGGCAATTATCGGTAAGACGGCGTACCGAGAGACACTCGTGGCAAAGGATTTGCTGAACGGACTGCAGTTTTACGTTCTCAAAGTGTATTACCGGTCGTTTTCGGTCTTTAACGACTTGTCGTGCGTGTACTGCTATCTCAAATTGAAGGAACAGGAAATTAAAAATATATGCTGGGTCGTTGAGTTCTTGGGTGGAGATGAAAGAGATGTGATGGAAAACATTTATTGTGTAAGCTGAGACCGGCATATAACACGAATACGTTGCATTTAGATGGTGTAATTAAACGATGGTACGCTCAGTTGCTTGACGAGGCGTTCATATCCTGTCTGGTGGGCGGGCAGGGAATGTGGACGTGTTACTTCTGTCTAAACATCCCACACCTCTTTTTTAAACTGTTTGCTGTTCAAAATCGCACGTGCGGCCGAAAAGACTGGCCCGTTCAATGCAAGGTTTTACGTGTGGTGTGATTTAACACGTTGCCATTGCACAGGCAGAATATTTGGTGCGCATGACATGCGTCCGTGCTGTAAGATCAATGCCAACCACAATTTGTTCGCATCTGATTCTTTCCCCTTTTTTAGTCATCAGTGATCGGCACTACGAGTGAAAACATTGCTTTACAAGGGACAAGCACAGTTCTGTGCAAGTAGATCGAATCATCTCTGCGTTTATCAACGTTGTTCGATGGATCACCGCTAAGGAATACGGAGATGCTCCTTTCATGATCGATTGGTTTGAACACTCTTGATTGGTGGCGAGAACATAAAATGGCATGCATTATCGCGTATTAACCAGAATGCGCCATTCAAACAACGCACCCCGTCCAAATTGTGATTAAATTTCCTTCTACGTGTTATTCCACTTTACGGAAAAAGTGTGTGAATCCATTCACAGTCCCATTTGTAACGCAATGTCCTCGTTTACAAAGGCATAATAAAGCGAGTAAGGATGGCAAATACATTTTTGTACCGTTATGGTACGCTTGATGACACCCTTTCATGGTAAATGGACGTGATAAGTAATATCACGGTGAGCCATCGAATTTGATAATCGATCAATCGTTTAAATCATGATCATGTTGAAATGATAGATAGCGCACCGTAAAAAGCATTGATATGCTGAAGAAGCCCCTACGATTACCAATCGGAGATCGGTAATGTTAAACTGTTCTGCAGAATGTTCTCTGTGTTCAGCACTGCTAATCATGCCGGTGCTCTTTGTCGGTGTGTCAGCTTAAATTGCTAGTTTTTAGAAAAGCGCCATCCGTGTCTGCTCTGTTAAAAGTGCTTGAAAAGCAGGAATTATCTGCTGAGCAGGAAGTTGTGTTTATTTCTTGTGGCGAGCATTCGCACCACAGATGAAGAGGAACTGTCCGCCAGATAAGCACTTGCACCCATTTTGCCAATTACACATGTAAAACTAGCACGTACGTGCCATGGAATCATCCTTTTACATCACAGTACGTTTTGCATATTTGAGCGTGTGAGTCACGAGCAACTCGTTCAACCACCCTTTTGAGATGCCAAATTTCATTCAAATCGTAGATACCATAAATTAAGCCACCATATATGATTAGAAATTGAGCATTCAACAGAGGGTGAGATTGTTGCGTACTATAGGACATGGAACAGTAGCAAAGAAGAAAATACACGAATTTATTGCTATTTCATCGTGCCATTGCACGGGCAGAAAATGCTTACACCTGCGCAAACGAATCAAAGAACAATGCATTGCACGGAATTGGCATCAGTGAATTGCTTTAGTGGTATTCTATTGGCTCTGATTCCTAAAAAATCATTTTTGCACCAAGAATAGGAGAGGATTATTGCGTGTTGTACTAAAATATGTTATTGATCTGCTCTGCTTTCAGTTTTCACACGCTCCCCAGCGGTCATAACACCGCTTTCTAACATATTATCAGCAACGCATCAAACAATCATTCGGTGTCTGACCGACCGTTGTTATCTCCATATCTACTAATATGGAATAAAATCGCGTATCTAATGATTTGCATCTCACAATATCACAGATCACAATGATTAATTAATTACTTTTCTTCCCCTATAAGCTAATTGGAATGCTGTTAATTAAAAGGAGCAGTAGATTCTGATTCAATAATACTTAAAATTGGTTATTGGTCATTACGGTGCATCTGAAAAGTATTTAATGAGATAATTTCTCCCGTGTTGTAAATGAACGACGACGAAAACACCAAAAAAACTAGCCGTCTTATAGGTTTTGTGGCCTTGGGCTTATCCTTCATGCTGTATGCCGTGTTTGTACTGGTTATGTTCTTCATGATGACCGACACGTACATATTCTGGGCATGGTGGTGGGCCCTGGTGATAGTGGCCGGTATCATCGGAACAGCCGTGGTGACATTCCTGCTCAAAGGGCTTATCGGCCTGATAGTAAATGTTCTCCTGTTTCTTGTCATACTCGTGTGCATATTCTTGCAATACTGGTTCAGAACAGAAAGAGTGCTCGTCCTGGGTTCTATGGACGATGCGGTGAAGAAGTTCTCCGCTGCAAGTGCTGAAGAGTTAAGCACAAGCTTCTTTGAAAAGCATCCGCGGCGGGTTATCATCTTTGTTGGCGGTACAGACGGAGGTGGTGCTAAGTCGAAGCCGCCAGCTGAGAGCGGAGAGGAGAACACCCAAGAAGAAGCGGGAGGAGATGATGCTGCGGAAAAGGCTAGTATTAGTGTGGATGACCTGAAGAAGGCAATAAAAACAAATTTGGAGAAAGCCGGTAAGGAAAAGGAAAAGAAAATACATACTATAGAACTTGATGACAAGCTCAAATACGAGACTGGAAAGACGAAAAATGCCAAGAACATTGTCGATGCGGTTTCTAAAACCAAATATGCGTCTCAGATCAAGGAGGGTATGATTGAGTTTCCTAAAAATATGAATTTTGGTGCTGCGTTTGAGGAGGGAGAGGGAGCGAAGAACGGAATAACAGTAGAAAAACTTGCAAGTGACTATAAGATAGAGAAGAAAGAAAAAACAAGTTAGAAAGCAAGTTGCGGTTCTTATATCGTAGGTTAAATAAAAAGTACCATGAAAATATTTGTTGATTTCTTTTGGACAGGACAGCACGCTGCTCAGTGCAGAGACAGAGGAGATATCTGCGCTGTATCCAGAACATATTTTGAATATGAGCTGTAAACGCTTCTTCACAAAATGATACCGTATTTTCACACGTAGCTCAGGGCATGCAACATGTGACACGCTCGAATTACACAAATTGCTAATTACGGCGTATAAAATAATTTTTATTCGTCATGGGAGGAAGAACTCTTCGTATGGCACTGCCACATCCGTTTGAAAACACATCGTAGTTGTAGTGAAGAGCCTCCTTGCTAGAATACGGTAGGTGCTGCCCATAAAGCATCCCATTAATACATGTTTCCTCAAAAGACCATGATATGTGTTTCATTCTCATCGTGAGCTCGTATTTCAGCCATGTATTAACAACGTATTACATAATTTTTCTGTGCTACTCACAGTCACAAAAATGGTAATATCTTCGCCAGATGATAAAGATTGGCAACAGTTCATAGACCCAGCGCACCCGAAATGCTCAGTAAACAAAAATAATCGTGCAAATGAACTTTTAGTGAAAAAAGCTTGGTGAGCAAAATCGGCCGACCAAAACACCCATAATTATTCGTTTTTACATTATTTTTGTTCCTGAAAGACATTTTATCGTTCCACTTTCCAAATCAAGAAAAAGTCATACATTAAAATATGACGTATAAAACATAAACAATCACATTTTTACCATTTGCGCAGGCAATCCACGATGAAGTACCATAATTTGGAACCATATCAAATCACCGTTTATCCAAAAGATATTTAACTGTTGTCCGCATCTTTTTAGCCTCTATTTATCTTCCACCACTTTCGTACACATATATCGCAATTCTGGCATGGCGGTTAAAGCGTACTGTGCGTGGTTCAGAGATAGTGGCTGATGTCCTATCATTGCGGGACATGAAATGATAAATGGGTGTTACACCGGATAAAACGTGTATAGACAGCAAATGTACGTGAGATCTGGATGGAGTGCATCCACTGCATAGCAGGACCGTTTTAAATGCTTTAACCGTTCTATTCGTTGAAGCACTTTCAAACACCGTTAATTTTTGATGTGTGCGATGCGCTATTTATCTTTCAACAATTCTGCGTTGGTAATTGGCGGATAAACGGTAGAAGGATTGATGGTTGATAGAGCGTATTTTTTGGAAGGACAAAAAATATTTCTTTTAGACCGCCCCGTTTCGATGAAATTTCAAACAATGGCGACAGCCCAGTTCTGAAAAGAGAGCTGAATGCTCTACAAAAACGTGCAGGCACGGCAGTGCCTGGACATAAACTGTCCATGCCGAGGTACGGTGACGGGTATCAGAATTGAAACGGGAACGAACGGAAGATTTCGCGTTTTGAGCTGTTTGAAACTCGGATGCATATCACAGATATTACAGTTAACTGTATCAAAATGAGGAACATGCTGCTGTTTTTGGAATATATCACGCTAAATTTTGCAGTAAAATAGGCTAAAACGGGTATAAACAAGGACATCTGCTTTTCACACGCCTGCTGCATTCCAAAAGCACGTTCTAAGCGGAGGTACCGCCCTTATTGTTTGTTTATATGATTCAGAAGAATGATAGATTGATCAGATTAAACACATTTGTTTTATTTTAATGTATAAAAAGACGAGGGTTGCGCAAAATAGAATGTCTACATCTAAAAACATTGACACCGGCAAACGCACGGGAAGAAAGAAGCATATTTCCTATGCTGCACTGATATCCCAGGCGCTTCTCAACAGCGCAAATAATAGACTAACACTCAAGGAAATATACCATTTTATCTCTACAAACTATCCTGAGTACACAATGCACAAGCAGGGGTGGCAGAACAGCATACGCCACAATTTATCGCTCAACAAGGCCTTCTACAAGGAACCTAAGGTTAAGGGCACGCCCGGAAAAGGCTCGTACTGGTCGATCGATCTCAAGGAGGCAGAGGCTATTCTTGACAAGTCAGACAGGTCAATCAGAACGGCATCGCGCATACGACGCGGCTACGGACACACAAACAACTGTCTCAACCGGAAGAGAAGCCCGTTCTTGGAGGATATCCGTATATCAGACGACAAGAAAAAAAGAGCACACAAAACGATTATTTTTAATGGAGACTTGAATCCTTATAACGAGAGCCTTGAGGCATTTTTTGGTCTTCCCAATCACCGCGATAATGAGGAGGGCGAGGATGGTGGAAGAGATAGGACCGACTGGCAGAATTACTGCGGAGTAAACTCCTATTTTAAATTCTAATAAAAGACCTAGATAAACAGCAACAGCACGTTTTTGATGTATTTTATGCCAAGTACAGCATACTTCAGGTATGTGCCCCCTTTTTACTTTTTGCACAGCTTAATCGATAGTATGCTGCAAATATGCCAACTATCCAATAAAGAAATGCAATCTATCAATATCAGTGTTTAATTAAAAATTACCATAAATGTTTTTTAATTACGCCTATCATCGAATAATGACAGACGTGCCGCTATGTAGAGAGGGAAATAAAAAACTGGACGAGCATCCTTACAACTGCGCTTTTGCGGTAAAATGCAAATTCGTACGGAATGGTAACAAATGCGTTGTTCGCAATGGAGCGTCGTAAAAAGAAATAATTTAGGTGTTGTTAGTTTATTTCTTGTTATAAGTAACTTACGTGCTGTGTTGAACGCATTGTTCGTATGCAGGTCTGCATACAGAAACTGCGATGTTATATGCTTGCCAACATTCCCGTTGATGTAGGGCAGTACGTTTGATAAGTTGTACTTAAGACTAACACTTCTGCAGCAGGCGGTGTTCACTATCCACGAATTTCCACAAACCTTGTTCTTGTTCAAATAATTTACGGTAAAAGCCATTTCCGTTCAGTGAACATTCTTTTTACGAATAACTCAGCAACAAGCCCACAACTATCACAATATGATAGGTGTGGGCTTGAACAGTAAGATAATTCCGCACATCTTTATCCTATAACCTGAAATGTGGCACCACCCTTTGCAATGCACTAAACGTTCTACGATTTGAACAAATATAGCAGATTGATGTGCTTTTAGCTTCTTAAGTATTTCAAATGGTACCATGTTGTGAGCTAAAAATGGTCATTTATCGGTACGGCCCATTACCGCGGGATTTACCTGGGCATGCCGTGATATTTAATCACGAAAACTGCGATAAAAATTGATCATAATTAACCATATTGATCAACTGATCAGATTTATTTACTCCGTGATTCATTCGTGTATTGGTGGTGAGTTGATCCAGAAATTTGACCATTCCCTAAATCACAATGTTTCGAGAAAAAGAATGCCCAATAAATTAATGTTCATATTACACATTAGTGCTTCCTTCCTGGCATGCTAATGCCCATCCTGTCTTGTCGTAGATTATTATTTAGTCTTTGCTCATTTAAGACATCATGTCATAAAAACAGGTGCTACGAGAATGAGATGGTAAACCTTGCTGTTTTATCACAGAACTGATCTGATATCACAGTACGGTACATAATGCTTTGTATTGTTGGCACTTGATGCGACTTGCAGGCTGAATGCTCTCCTATGCAAGCTGTCTGGGCTGTGTATGCAGGCTTTAACGTTTGTTTGGCATGTTTGCGTGGTATTTTGGGCTTATCCAGAGCAGAACGCGAGTTGCACCACATAAAATCTCATCCATTTTCTCGATCCCTGCCCAAATGACCAAGAAAATATTTTTTGTCATTCAGGAAGCGCCATTCGCAGGCACAGAAAAACACAGAATAACCCAGAGCAGGCCATCAGCACCGGCTCGCCCAGACATCACGCATCATATTCTTCTTACTATCATAGATTCGCCTTTATACAAGGCCAACAAATGCAAAGTTTACATCAAAACGGTTAACAACATTTTGGTAGAAATAAACGAGGGAACACGAATACCACGGACGATGACAAGGTTTATGGGACTGATGAGGGATGTGCTACGCAAGTTGAGGATAAAAAGTGAGGATAAGACGCTCATGCGTGTAATAAAGAGCAAAATGGACTTTCCGCCTGGAGCAGTTAAAATAGGCATGTCACACGAGGGAGAAAGAATTTGCAACGAGCATTTTGCGGCAGATAATGTGGTTTTGTACGTGAGTGCCAAACAACGGGGAGAGGATAGGTTTGAGGATACAGACATTCGTATGAAGGTCAGTGACTACGAATTGAGTGGTGCTGCAGCCGTCGGAAAGGCCATATACTTTATTGAAGGCATGCTAGACATATTTTAGAAGTAAAGTGTTGCTTATGATTTGTGTAATCTTTTAGGTCTGGCGTGCGATTTGTCCAGGATTTGGTCTAAAACTATTTTGACACATATTGTAGCAGCACATAGTGCGAGTTTTGGCCATTCTCGATTCTTATGCGGAAACATTACCGCATGGTCTACACATGTGCCCAATGTGCTGCTTTACTATTCTTGTAGATCGATAAATGCACACCTCAATCCGTGATGGTCCAGTGGTTAGGATTACGGTCTCTCACACCGTAGGCCCGAGTTCGATTCTCGGTCACGGAATCTTTTTTCATGACCAATCGATGTTCTGTACATATATTTAAACAATTTTCATCACCGTTCACATGCTAGACAAAAACGATATAGTGCAATACGAATGCATACAGGACAAGGGCCCGCTCCGCAAATTTGAAAGAACCGCGTATCCTCGCCTGATCACATACTCGTGCCCAAATAACATCCATGTGCTGATCACTAAAGACAAGAACTACGAGTTTTTGAAACGGAGTGGCCTGGTCCGGAAGAACGAACCTTTTCTGCGAGTTTCAGGTGAGGAGGTATCCCTTCCGTTCAGCTTTAAATTTGTTGAGGCATGTGATGACACGCCGTATTTGGCTATTATCACAAGGCTGAAGGACAGGAAACATTAAATTATAGACGTTTTGTATTTTGCGCCTGGGCTGTTTCAGCGTTGTGGGAACTTTTGATAAATTGCGGAAAAGGAGATCGCCACCAAATTATGATCCCCTGATCACAGAACGGAGCGCCGCCCATATTTTTTCTGAGTCACAATCTTTTTACCAAGAGTACGTTTGTATGTCTTCTCATGCCGCAACGCTTGAAAAGCGTATTTAGTTAAAAGTACCAGCCGTGCTCGTGTATTGAAGTTATTTCCTTTCGCCATATGAAACGGTATCTACGCACCGTGTTGCTGCTTTCATTTTAATATCGCACCGTGTTGCTGCTTTCATTTTAATATCGCACCGTGTTGCTGCTTTCATTTTAATATCGCACCGTGTTGCTGCTTCCATTTTAATATCGCACCGTGTTGCTGCTTTCATTTTAATATCGCACCGTGTTGCTGCTTTCATTTTAATATCACACTGTGTTGCGGTACACATCAATCGTTATGTTATTACTTTCAAGACCCACCATAATTTTTATCCCATGTCCTTTCTTCTTTACATAAACAACCCATTCCAAGAGCACAGGACAAATTTTGTGGATTTTCTCAAGCGCATCACCAAAACTACGCAAATACGGGTGTTTCAGATAGAAAACGACTTTCTTCCCTTCTATTTTTTGATATTCGAATCGAAAAACGATTTGCAGACTGCTCTTAATATTCTTGCTATCATCAAGCGGCAATTCATTGCTAACCTGGAGTTTTGCACTGAAAACAACCTGAAGGTGCAGGGCATGTGTCTGTCCAAAGGGCAGAGCGCCATATTAAAGGAATACGAAGCGTGTGTTAGTGAGAGCGGTGTGCTTGAAAAGTTTAAGGCCGAGCTGAACTGCAGCGAAAGCAGAGATCCGGAGGTAGAAATGTCAGAAATCTACAAAAGACTCCTCGAAAGCTGGACAGAGCAGGAAAAGGAGATTAAAGAAGAATTTTTTAAGAAGTTAAAGGCTTTTGAATCAAAACCAAAAAGGACCGTAGAAAAACACTGAAAATGCCGTCGCCTTTGCAGAATAGGATTTGCTCTTTGGATGAGACGGGTTTGCAAGACTGCAACCGACCAACGAAAAGTGCACATGAAGGTAAAGAAAGAGCTCAAAATAATAGCATTTGTCCCAGCAGACCAGAAAATGGTGTAAAATTAACTAAACATGCTTTTGGTGAAGAGTCCAAAATCACATGTAAGATATTCTTAGACCATTTTCAACGAGGAGATGAAGTAAAACCATGAATTGAGGGCCTCGCTACGGCATTTTGTGAGGTGATACAGCTTTCTGCATGGTATTTATGTGGTCAGCGCGTTCGTGTTATCATTGGTTGGTCCATGTACAGAATAAAGTGCATGCGATAGCCGTTCAAATGAGAAGATGCAGGTCTTCACAGCACCTCCTCGTTCACCGACAGAATGTCCAGCAACAAAACCGTGCGATTACCTCTGTTAACCACAAATATCGCCGAAAAGATGCCAAGATCACAGTAAATTTATTTTTTATTTAAAACGATGAGCGTTTCAAATAATTCTCGATATCTCCCCAAATTCTATCCATCAGCCTCAAATTCTTCGTTTCGTTTCCAACAAGCACATCTTCATACTCGTAATTGGTGTTGCAGATCCGCTGGTCAGCCGTGTGCACGAGGTAAACCGGACAGGACCATCTACGATGCCTGCTGAAGAACGCATCTGGTTGATTAACACCAAAGTTATCGTTTGTACCTGTCTCTTCGTACTTGTCCCTGTACATGTCGAGCAGCGAGTTAATTTGCCACTCACTTCCATCCAGAAACACAGCAACTACGTCTGCATTTATCGCGTTGTGCCATTTGACCAGAAATATAAATTCGGCTGTGCATTTCTCCATTTTTCTCTTCAGCCTGCGCTCATTCACGAGTATAGTTGAGGTGTCCAGTGGCGGGTTTTTGAATGTGCCCGCTGTGAACACGCCAACACAGTTAAAAATGTTTATCTTTGATGCATAGGAGGGAGGCACAAGGATCACATACTCCTTACGTACCACATGGTTTAAAATGAACCTGAAATCGTATCGCAGATCAAACTTGTTCTTGTTGTACTTCTCGAGGGGATGTACGCTCTCTGACAGGTAGTACATCAATTTGCTGTCTACCGCCGGTATATCATTCTCCATGGCAAGCTTGGCATATGTCTCGAACGGGCTCGTCTCGTGCTGCATATAAAACAGAACTTGCAGGAGTGTATAGGTGCTTTGTCCTATCTCTATGTACTTGTTGTCGATTATCCTATTGTTAGATATTATCTTCTTGTCGGATATCACGTAACCGTCTGTGAGCAGCGATCGTAAAACATCCATGTGTCACCGAAAGGGTGTCCGCCTTATTTCGCTATAAAATCGATTTACAGAAAAACGGGATTGGGTGCAACGCTGCTTTCCCTGTGTTTTGCAACCAAAAATATTTGCTAGTCGTATAGAGATGAGCAAATGGACCGATAGGTTGTTTCTGACCAAGAACTGAAGAAACCGGCAATACGAGAGTACAAATGGAAGTAAGCTAACAAAAAAGATAAAGATTAACAAAAAAACCGCAATGCATTCTCGAACCGTGCAATGGTTCGGTATGTGTGAGAAGTAATCTGAGTATTTTACTTGTAATCCGAGATTAAAAGCGCAGAGCAGATAATCACAGCTGCACACATTGAAAATTATTCCGTGTACAAAACGGACTTTCCCTGTTTTATCCCTGCTATGCCACAGGAATGCCTTTGTGCTGTGCAAGGATGTTCATTTTGGATACCACATAGCGGTGGCATTGAAGGTTTCCCTGGTAAATTAAGAGGGATCAACATCCTATAAACTCATCTGCTAAAATAGCAGGTAAACCTAGTATTTGTACGTATACTTCATTTGAACCACTCGTTTACATTGCTGGGACAGTTTTACATGCTATTTTCTTATTTTATGAAAGCTGTTCAACATCGTTCGAATACTTCGTTTTCATCTATCCTTAGCGAGGAATGATCGAGGTACGCAAGTAAATTTACTATTTACTCGTATTTGCTGCTGCATGAGAATAAACAAATAATTTTATTGAAAATATTTATTTCATCAAATGTGAGACCAAGCAACCTAAAATTGTACCTACGTTTGACATCATGCATGCTAAACCGAGCTTACCATACACAAATCACCACGCCTCCTTATTCTTCTACGCCGTCCCGTTCTTCAAAAGGAGGCATACCATATTTGATCTTCAATCTAACACGCTCTTCTGAAAAGCTATCGATAGGAGAAAATCTTGCAGGATGTGAATCTGTCTCTTTCTGATCTAGCGTGTACACTTTCTTCCCGTTTAAAATTCGGTGTTTCAGCATGCGGAGGGGTGGTACTCAAAAATGTATTTTAACAAAAATTCTACCGCGAAATCGCGTCTTTTTTTTAACCCGTACGTGTCCTTGTGTTGTTAAGGATTCATAAATCGTATTAAACATCAATTACTCATGTGCTAAGCCATCGGTACGCACTGTGATAGTTTACGTATTTTAAAGTCTTACAGTAAAGCATTTCTGATCTAGGAGAGCTGCCGCCGAAACTTATGATAAGCCTATGATGCATTCATTCTTCTCTTACACAATTATTGCTTTACTTGCTTTATTTTTGCATTCTTCCCTCACCGTTACAAACCCTACTATGTACAGAGGCGGTATCCTGTAAAATAAAATACGATTCCTTCTCAGAAGATCAATCACCTTCCCCTTGTAAAATATTGAAGCACTGCTTAACTGATCGGTATAACCTGTTCGCAGTTTAAAATATGAGTTAAACAAATGCCTTCCAGACAGTTGTGCGCCATTAAACCTTTTTAGATCTATTTTTGGTATTGTAATGGTGACCGCTGCCGTTTCCTTGTCACGCCATCGCCGGAAGGGGGCGTCCGAGCAATTTTGTGATAAAAATAATCAAACATTGCAGACCAGCATGCCCGACCAAGCCAACACCATGCCACAATATTTCATGTGATGCACACCGCGTTCGTGGCATGCTCTGGTTACGTATAGCATTGTGGTAAAATAATTTATCAACGCGTAAAAATCAATGTGATGCATTCGGACATGGACATAAAGGGCAAATAAAAACAAAAAATTTTGCTTTTGTTTTCGAGTAAATTTTTCTTTTAGAATTACCCAAAGTTTATGACAAGTTTATCATCGAGTGTCTTATCAAGGCTTCAAATGGAAATATTGCGATATTTTGAATGAGTTGTGACGCAATGTTACGATTGCATCGCTGATTGCGTAAAACATGCCAAAAAATGTTTTTAAGCTTCAACTCAGCACTAATGCTAGCATTCACCCTTGAAATATCCTAATGAAATTACGCTGCAGATAAGGGAACAAAATAAGATTGTTTGGAATGACTTAGTGTTTAAATGCGTGTCATATTACTTAGGTGTGCACCAAGAAATCCCGCCATGGGCGTAATTTATCGGACAAAAGCGTTCTTACACCCTAGTATAATCTAAGCAGTAGTTCCGAATCAAATTGTGGGAGAAAATGCATTTTGACATGTCTGTTGAATGTGTGAAATCCTGATAGGGATGATAAATGGCGAGGCTAGCTTTATGTCATTCACGCACTATCAGATATATTCGCGGGTATTTTTCTCATTTTATTGTCATACTTTCCGATTTACTCAACTTAAGATAGATTATAGCGCAATAGCCAAGTGCTTTCAGATGATACAAGAACATTCTTACAGAGTTTCCGGCTTGAAAACGGCTAATTACATTATTTTGTCACAAAGCATGGTTGTTCAAACCACGGACATCAATAAATTTTATTTAAAAGTGAAGAACATAAAGTTTTTCTGCTTCTCTTCTTCCTGGCAGAATTCTATTATTTCTATAAGCTTAAATGTGGGAATCTCATAGGAGTCTAACATCGCAACAGAGTCAATTTCTACGCTCTGCTCTGATCTGTGGTCGTTTTCCTTGTTATCAAGAGTCACTTTGTCTATAATACATGGCATTTTGCGGTTCTTTTGTCTCTTGTTCTGAAACCAGACTTGAATGGATCTATGTGGCAGACCAAGCAGCAGAGCCAGTTCCTCTCTTGTGTTGGTTGATGGAAAATCAGTGAGTTCATATACTTCTTGAAGCACTCTCTTCTGCAAAGAAGTCTTCCGTATTTTTTCTACACTAAACTCTCTTCGCTGGAAATTTCTCAATCTTAAAATGCCAATGATTGAATCGGCTAAAAGCTCCTTCATCTTTGTGGACTTAAAAAATTTCAGATTTGACATTAAATTCACATATAATCAGTTTATATAGTTTTTATTAAATGTGTAAATTACCAATCAGACATGATATGAAAAGATTTAGGAAGCTGTCACAATAAAAAAACAAATCACCGCTTGAAATGGTAGTAAAAATTCGGGGCGAGATGACCCGTATGCTGGAAAAATAATTGATAGCGCACCACGTCAATCGTAAAATGCAAGTGAAAATGAAGCAGTTATGAAGAAATGGAATGTAAATTTGTTGTTTTCATTTTCTGTTTCGGTTTTGAGACCACAATGTTAATTTTTAATTTTCTGGTTTGGGAACAAATAAGCAAATGATCGACTCACCGTATTGCAATGAAAAAGAAGCGTAATAAAAGATTTGCACTCCTATGTCCTTGATATATGTAATACCGCTTTCATACAACTCAATCTTGTCGGAAATAAATGGCACTGAGGAAAAGTTTGCAGAAATAAATTTCAGTCATATTACACATCAGCCAAAATAATAAACATAATTAACTGTAACATGACGTAGATCAATTATTAAGCAAGATCAAAATCTACCGATTGATGTTTGTTTTACGTCACTCTTCATGAAATGAAACACTGTGCCGGTCATCAACTCCGACATTTGAGACCAATTTCTTGTCAAATATATTTACTTTCAAGTGTACTGTCACTTTATTAAGCTTTATTGTCAAAATTGATATTTTTTGACATTTCTACTGACCACTAAACGATGCCATGAATAGCCAAGCTTTTGGAAACCGATCCAGTGTAAATATTTTCAAGTAATAAGTCGGTTTAGTAATACAAATTTTGGTGTATTAGATAGCAATAGGAAACAACAAAAAAATCTAATCAACAAATTGCATTGTTGGTTTCTTTTCGATTTTTATCCGCCTGATTTCATTATAATACACATAAATTAATTATAAATATACTTTTAGCTTATATGTGCACAATTACACTACCCAAGGACCAAGCCTCCAAGTTAACATCCTGCTACTGAAAATTACAATTTTTTATGATACTGTGTATGGTAGGCGCGATCGCAATAATTGGTAAAATTACCCGGATCTTTCAAAACATGGAAAGAGGCTTTTAGCAGAAACTATTCGAAAAATCGGTCAACGATACGCACTGCAACGTGGAAGAAGAACAACCAGTTAAAGCGAACAAGAGAAATTGCCTGCAGGATTATTGAGAATAGCACACAAATTTCATGGAAACACTTGGGAAGGTGACGCATTGTCATTTGTCAATCATTCATTTTTTGCTGTGCGATTTTGACATTAAAAGACACATACGAGAAATCTTACTCATTTTTAGATGGTAATGTGTATAATCACTCACAAATATGTCGTTATAGAGTCAGCTACCAGCGGTTATCTCATAAAAGATTTTTAACGATGATTTACAATTTTCAAAGCACGATTTGCCCAGCAAGTGCATATGTGAAATGTCTGGGCAGCAGACAAGTCGAATTTACACAAAACTAAATTGTGAAGCTAATTTTTTACTCATGGACTCGCAACTCAGACCAAAAATTTTATTTCTACGAACTAGATCATAGAAACAGTTCGGTATCGCATCGTAGATCGCTTTAATATATTCAAATTACAGATTTCTGCGCAAAATAAAACGAAATTATGTATTATTGATTCATTATACTCCTTATTTAGCAGTGTCATTTACCGGTTACAAATCTGGCCAAAAATAATTAAATTTTAAGTAAATAATTTAGTTTTGCAAAACACGACTTGAGCTTTAAAAGTGCCAAAATAATCGAATAAATGATTTTGTGTTGCTGAATGCTTACAGTTACGTTGTATCGTACGATAATTGTATCATAAAAGCGTATCGAGTGCTAGCATTATTCAAGTTATTATCCTATGTCGGTCTTGATTAGAATATTTTAATTAAACCAGTGGATATAAATAGTAAATTTGCTTTGTAAATGTTATTACGATGTGTAAATAGAGAGTTAATTCGAGGACATAATCGTAAATTAGGCGGTTAATTAGTTCGTGCTATCCCAATACCATTTAAAATTCCTAGAAGGGAATTAATAAAGAAGATTACATATGAAAAAAATGAAAAAAATGCAAGACAGATTATGAGCTCTCTCCAACATACAAATTTACAACAACCGGCGAAACATCCAAGGCCACAATAATGGAGATAGTGACCAACTGAAATAGATTTGCGGTACTAACTGAGAAAGTCATGGTGAAAAAAGCACTCTTCGCTCATCTCTTCGACAAGTAAGATCGAGGTAAGTACCAGACATCATAATTAACCGTTTAATCCAAGAGACAAGCTCCCAGATACCGCAATGTGTAATTGAACATCAGAGGGCTAGCATAGAACCAAACATACTCTTATCATAATGCTTCCTGAAAAATAATACAGGGCTGAGTTACTATTAAAGCGTAATCATTGAATTATTAGACTACTACAGGTGTTGTGTAGTAATAATAGCATATAATACTTGAAAAGAACTTATTGCTGACAATCTGTGATTCACATACAGCTCTTCCAACGTACTGTCAAGCCCACCGGATGTAAAGTCGCTCAGTAGAGATTTTTGCAAGCTCGATTTATTAACCTCTTTACAGCTTGACGTGTGGTATTGCAGAACAAGCCGTATATTATCGTAATGTGTTTGTAATGTCGTTATTATCTCATATCAGTCTCTCTTATAGTTTTATTGCATCAGATTTTCGTGTACAAGTCATTAAATATTAAATTTACCAGAGGTGCATAGATCGAAAGTATGATTATTATAAGTTTGACTGGCATAATCTGCAAAGCCTTAATAAAAACAGAAAGTTATGATGTGATGCAGTCATTATTACACCAATTATGGCGATCAATTGCCAAAAATAACCTTAATAACGGTAAATTGTGCAGAATAGAACCAAAAAATTAGTTGTGGTGTTTTTAAATTAATCTATGCGGTTCGTGTGATGGTCGGGAAGACATGTCCTATCGATACGAGTTCTATTATATTTCCCTGTAAATGTATTTCTCGCAGGTTACATCATCGGATAGAAATATGAAACAGTTCATTTAAACAATTTGCTTAACATTTCATTGAACATTCACCATTCATAACTAAAGTCGATCTACATCATGTCTTGCAGAGGTGTATATGCGCGTTTAGATATGCGGAAATATATAAATATGCTTTGATGATAAAAATATATATCGGGTACATTACGTGGAGATAATCAACCCAATCTTAAGCATGCGTTGGTTTAAGTGCACGAGTTGTTTCAATGTTGTAAATAACAGAGATAAACGTGTTGTTACAATTTGTACAAAGTGTTCATATCATCTTTAGCATGAAATAGAACATATTTTGTTCTGCAACTTCCTTTACTAAAATTTAATTCGCCATCAAAATGGTTGTTAGCGTATATCGGCCAAGAAAATGGTGGATCATATGATATAACCTGACTGACTCGCTTGTATTTACCGTGATTTAAAATGCGATCAGTGGAATGACAGAAGATAAATAACCTATAGACAATAATAAAGTGCGTAATTGTTACTTTTGTGATCACAGCATTCATCTTTATGTTGGCATTCTAATCATCCATCAAACATTAGAGTTATTAATCGTGAAGTGGTTGTAGTCTGATTTGCTCAAAATACGATAACTACAAAGCAGATCGACATTGGATAATCTATCCTTCCTCATCAACCGTAATAGTTACACACAATCATACATATAAGCAAACTCTGGCTGTGATCTCTTGAATATTTGTAATTGGCCAGGCAAAATGTTGTTGTAAAACCATAGATGGTATTATTGGCCGGTTTGTCCAAGCAAATCGATCAATCCTTCCAGTAAAATAGAACATTTTATCCTTTAAATTACATAGACAAAAAGAAATACCATCGTCTAGGTCACTTTTCTTGTGAAGCGTTCTAGTTTTTGCTGATAAACAATAGATAGAGAGACATGTTTTGTGGCTAAAGGTTAATTACGCTCGTATCGAAAGATTTGAAAATAGCTAAGAATAGATCAAAATGATAATTGGAAGGGACGAATAAATCGTATTAAATAAACGATAAAGTTTATGTTGCGCACCTTGGATGAAATCAGTGCAGTTTTGAATATGACCCTAAAAGTTAACTGAGGAGTTTAAACATAATTTCGTTCCACATTTTCGGTTTGCAAGTACATAATAGCAAAATTAAATCCACGTTATTATAAGAATGGTCTTATCTAAGACATAATTATCTGTTTTTTGCCTCCATGATTCATGTACTAATAATCGCTCCTATTGCATGTTATAACTAATTTTTGGTACCTTAGTGGTTCATTTCTGCCATGAAACACGGTACGACTAGATTCATAAAAATTGCTAATTAACTTATTTGTCATCTTTCTCTATAAAGGCAAATACCTTACAAATTTTACCAAAAATTGCAAATGTACTCGATCAACATGAATGGAGGCAAAAATTGTACGAGTAGTGCAACGAACTAACGAAAATAAATACTATCAATTTGTGAAATCAATAATATGTCAAGTTCGTGCACCTGACTCAAATTATCGGTACGTATTCGAATGGTATAACAACAAATAAAGCTTTTCTGAAGTGTAAAGGGTTGTGTTTTCAAGTCAGTTTTGCATTTAGTTCAACGCCAATGTCTGACCTCTGATTATTTGTACATATAACGTCAAAAAAAACGCGGTGGTCGCATACAAGATAATGTTTTACAACGTAATTTACAGCAGCTAATTTTTTTTAAATGGTTTAAGGTATACCTGACCAACCAGAAAAATCACGTGGATCAAAACGCGTACAAAACAATTTAATAACCATTAAATGCTTTTTTCATCCTCATCCGATTTATTTTTAATCTGTATTCCACAGCTATTTATGATCTCTACCAACTTGGTGCTCGGCACATCAAACACCTCCTCCTCATTTCCATCCGCGTTTATCTCCTTCTGCACGAATTTGTTATATTCATTCACAAATGCTCTATCGGACGAGTTTTTGCTCGTATCTTTCTTCTTGCAAATTTGCCTTTTGTTCTGGAACCAGACCTGAACTGATCTTTGCGATATTCCCAACAGCAATGCAAGTTCATTACGTGTCTCAGTGGACGGAAAGTTAGTTATGTTGTAGACTGCCTTGAGGACAGACTGTTGTAGCAATGTTTTCTTTACCTTCATGCCATAATACGACTTCCTTCGTCGCAAAGAATTTATTTTTAATAGACCTAGCGCTGCGTCTACTTCGGTCTTGCTGATTTGCATTGCTTTGTGTCCTTGTTCATTTATATGATCAGATTTATGAATGCCAATCAAAATGAAATTAGTTAGTCCAATTTTACCTTTTAGGGAACCGAAACCAAATATTACTTATGTCAAGCCGCTAATATACAGGACTTGCCGACAATATAAAGACAAATTAGCATATCACGGAAATTTGCGGACTAATTGTAATAATGGCGACATGTTCTAATGCCGATTCGTATCACAAAATATTGATTACCCGGTTACTTCATTAAAACGATAAGAAAAACGTGAAGACACGATAAAGATAAAAAAATGAAGTGAGCTCGAACTGTTGTTGTAATTGACAGCAGAGTGACAAGCGGGTGGATGACCGTAACAATGAGGGTGGATAAAAAGCGTCCAGGCAAAACGTATAGCGCGAGGAATACAAATATTTTAATTTATTCCAGCTTTAATTACACTCGAATCATATTACAATTAAATAATTTCGATACTTATTAACAGTAATTAAGGTAAAATTAGCAATAAATCAAATTTACGACTTTTCACATCCAGTAATCTGTATTACGTGTCCATGTGTTTTATCACTTCATTCACATTAAAGTGAGAGCACTGTAAACACGTCAAAAGTCAATAAATTTTCATTTATATTGGACATTATTCAACGAAAGGGTCAAAATATAGGTTATATGCACGAAATACATACATATGATTTTTTTTATCGATTTTACATTCTCATATTGGTTTAACACAGTATAATTCTCTGGAAACTTGTCAAAACTTCAATTATTACTTTATTAACCAAATTATTGTTTGTTACATCAGTGCATATAATCCAGCATGATTAATCACGTTATCGCAATCAGCTCATCGCCCGATCAAAATATAAATATTTAATTCATTGATTTATTAATTATCATGACACTGGCTCAATAAAGGTATATTAATGGCATACTGCCTTTATTAATTCGCATACATCGCCTACATACGTATTAGGAACAATATAACCTCGATTAATGCTCCCTCTGTAAAAATGAATTGCATGTCGTACAATTTGTTCTGAATTAGTTCGCATACTGAGTAATGTAATACTTGAATTTCTTCACAGAAATACGCTATAGAAGGTTGAAGCTTGCATTGGACTACAGTGGCAGGTCTCCGTACTAGGTTGACAAATTTACAAGCAACTTGATAAACATATAATCCGGAATGAAAATTCAGTTAGAAGCCAGTTAGATAAAAGTGCTGTCAATTTGATGAATGCAGGCCTAAGACAGTCATGAAGAATGTGCTTTACAAACCGCTCACTGGCAGAACAACTTAACAGAGGGACAGTTCAAAAGGTGTTTTAAATCTTGTAGACATACCGATCAGTGAACAATAAGATTTTTGAGGTTTTGTAATTCACAGTCTTGGCTGGTACTCAGGAAAAATTTATTTAATGTCGATATAGGACAGCGATTTCAAAAGAAACTTCTTGAAACGGTTAACACTGTTCGTTGTCTATGGTTGTTTAGTGCGGCACGAAAGAACCAAAATTTACAATAAGATATCAAATGAAGTAATACAACCGAAATGATCTGATTTTAGAAATTATGTCGTAAGATTGGCAGAGAAAATGAATATTGCTATGTTATACGAACAAGAGCATAAAATTCAAATGATTAGGAACATGTTACGGATCTTTTGTGATTTACCAAATTATCTGCACCCCAATGCGTACAGTGTTTCCAGCTGATAGGATAAAACTGGGATAAATCCAAATGCGTTTGGAGAAATTCCAATGGAATACGAACAGTCTGAACGTAAGCAACAATCGTATCAGCTAATTTACGTTGAATTGTAGCATAGTTTACGGCTGCTTTGATTCATATTGGTATTTTGTAACAGCTGAGGTTTAATCAGGTTTGACATGGTATGGTAGCATAAAAAGTATTAGCATACTGAGCGACCGGTACCAAATACTGACTCTCATTCCAAAAATAACACTTTATGGGAAATGTCTTATTTATGATTCATTATCAAACTTAAATACATGGTTAAAGCATACATTATGGTGCATTATTAAAAAGCTGATTCCTTCAGCCCGTGTATTTTCTATCACTTTCGTGCCGTCATTGCGAGTTTTTACCCGTTGTACTTTTCAGACGAAAAAAGCGAATATCAGCTGTTCTACACCATTAGGAATGGCACTGAACGAACCGTTGTGCAAAATCATCAATGCTTTAGAATACTGCACATGTACCAGGCAGTTATGTATGTGAGCGTTTTTTCCTCGGTAGGAATTAGTTCTTACGATGTCGCCGTATTTATTTCGATCATTACTCGCGTAATATGCTTTACTCATTTTTGTTGCACCAAACTCATCATCAAGCATATCCTCTGTATTTATATCGAGTCGTTTTGATGCGTCTCTCTCATTCCGTGTTAATGTCTAAATTTCTCATTTTGCTTCACTCCGTCTGTAAAATGTGACAGGATATACCGCACTCAAAATTACTTTATTAATCCGCAGTATTTACAAAGTTTAATAATTTGCCTTTTACGTTTTTGTTGCATGCCAAGAATAACCAAGAACATAATACACATTTGTTTTGTTATTTAATTTCTTATACATCACCAAGCACGTAATGATTTTCATTGACATGTCAAATTCAAAAAAAAATTTTATATTGGTTCCTGCAATCAATTATTTTGGAGTGGAAGATCTGCGCATTGGTCAGATATGCTCTCCAGTTCGGGTGACATACATGGTAGCTGGTCTCATGCATGTCACTCATCGCGTTTGACTGTGCTCAATGGAGGAACAATACGCGATGAAAAAAACTATTTATTGTGCTTTGATCATAAATTAGCACATTTTAATTAAAAACCATTGACGCACATATAACACAACAAAGGACTTGTACAACACGCATCCATTTTTGATTGTTTTGCATTTTCGTAATTACTTCTCTTTTTAGCACCGAACTTGCATTTTTTAACACTTCTACGAAATTTGCAACTAAAACCATACTATGCACACAGCACACTCTGTTTGTATGCGGCAGGTGTTCAGGTACTCTCCGTTCTGGTTCAATCCTGAGGTGAAAAGTTGCTCGGTATGTCACGCCATCCCTCGCACAACTACGCCAATGTTTTGCTTTTTTGGCTTATACCAATGAGAACATTGCCATACCACAACTAACCAATCACAATCGGCTATTTCTTTCCTTTCAGTCCTTACTTAAAGGATTTCTGAGCGTACGATTGGTCCAATACGTATTCGGTACTGTAACAGTTAGAAGAACGCACGCCATTTATCTCATGTTGTACACCGTTCTACGTGCTTATCACTCGATTTATTTTTGTTTTCGTTTTAATCCCAAAATTTTTATAAAAGAAATTTTAAATTCGACCCCCAGTAAAAAGGATGAGCTCAGAAAGTGCGCCAGCAATAGTAATTGATAATGGATCAGGTATGTGTAAGGCAGGGTTTGCAGGTGATGATGCGCCGCGCTCGGTGTTCCCATGCATCGTGGGGACGCCTAGGCACCAGGGTGTGATGGTCGGAATGGGACAGAAGGATTCATATGTCGGTGACGAGGCACAGTCCAAGAGGGGTATCCTGTCACTGAAGTATCCTATAGAACACGGAATTGTTCTGGACTGGAAGGCTATGGAGAAAATATGGCACCACACGTTTTATAACGAGCTCAGAGTTGCACCGGAGGAGCATCCCGTGCTGATGACTGAGGCACCGATCAATCCTAAGGTTAACAGGGAGAGGATGTTGCAGATCGCTTTTGAGACATTCAATGTGCCTTCTTTCTACGTCTCTATCCAGGCCGTGCTTTCTTTATACGCATCGGGCAGAACAACAGGATTGGTTTTGGATTCTGGCGACGGTGTCACGCACATTGTTCCGATCTACGAGGGATACTCGCTGCCACATGCCATGATGAGGCTTGACTTTGCAGGAAGGGATGTAACCGATTATTTCATCAAGCTGCTCAAAGAAAACGGATACTCGCTTGTCACGACGGCTGAGAGAGAAATCGCACGTGACTGCAAGGAGAGTACGTGTTACGTTGCTGTAGACTTTGCAGAGGAGCTGAAAAGATACGAGAATGCTGAGAAAGAGATTGTTAAGACGTATGAGCTGCCTGATGGTAATGTTCTCAAATTAGGAAATCAGGTGTTCCGAGCGCCTGAGATGCTCTTCAACCCTTCATTGTCAGGATTTGAGCTGCCAGGAATCCATGAGACCATTTATAACTCCATTATGAGATGCGACGTTGATATAAGAAAATGCCTGTACAGCAATATCGTGCTCAGCGGTGGAACAACGATGTATCCAGGCATATCAGATCGTTTACAGAAGGAAATTTCGGCGTTGGCGCCTCCATCAATTCAGGTTAAGGTTATTGCACCACCCGAGCGAAAATACAGTGTGTGGATCGGTGGAAGTATCCTGGCCTCGTTGTCGACTTTCCAGACTATGTGGATCACGAAGGATGAGTACGCAGAGATAGGACCCAGCGTGGTGCACAGCAAGTGCTTCTAAATGATTAAATGAAAGTTATTTGAACGTTTTGAGAGTGTTTTAAGTGGTTTTTGTCTAACTAGAGGGCAATATTTCGCCGATATGTTTTATTATGGGGTAAGTTCTATGGTATGACCGTCGGATGGGGACTCACGATTTGCTCGGATTGTGCTACATGTAAAATTTTGGAATAACAAAAAGTTTAATTAGCAGACCAGCGTTATGAGACACAGATCCATGGTCATTCCTAAGCTTAGGAGAGTGTGTTTGAATGGTAATATTGTGAAGTATAAAAATTTTATTGTGGCAAATAGATGAACCACTAGTCGAAAATTGCAGCGGTTCGATTCCGCGATGAATCATCCTTATTCACGAAAAAGTCACATTTTCCTCGTTGATTATGGAAAACCAATTCTAAGAAGCCTTCATCATATAAATGGATTTGCATTGTTTAGATGTGATGGAGAACTTCAGCATTATAATAAATCGCCGAAGCTGATGTGTTATGAGAGGATAGATGAACGTGCTTTTAGTAAAAAAATGGCCGAATAGTTTTGCTTTCGAGTATTTCACTTATATTGAAATATGTTTAAAGTGTTTATTAACTGTTTGCTATCATTCTGTTGTATTTTTGTAGCATTTTCTGTGCATAGGTTCGTTCACAGCTCCTCTTTTGTTTACCTTGACTATCAAATTAAGGATGTGATGACAGTTCGCTGAACTGTCAGAAAGAATCTGTTAGTAGATAACGATATTTGTTGTAAATGTTGTGGGTGTTTACGTTAACAGATCTAAGAACAAGTTTATTCCTTTGTCTTGCGTTTGAACCAAGACATATGTGTTATTTCATAAGCAGTGCACTTAGCCACACAGAAAACAGTCAAAATATCAAGTTATTTGATAAATCCATTTGATTTTGCTTATTTTTGACAACTTAGCAAGTATTTGCTTTAATTCTCGTAACTTTGTTGATTGCTTATGTTTTGTTTTCTCCAGTATGAAATGATTTACCAGTGAAGAAATGGAAGAACATACAGCATAAGATAATACCTTAGAAATGGCAATCTGTCATTTTATAGAGTAGAAATACATGACCAATTGTTAGCAGCTTGCTGTGCTCATTGCACAATCAATAATTTGTTCTGTGAACAAGTCCTGTATGTATTGACCAATACCTACTGTCCAAAATTGTCTGTACTTTGTTTAACCCCAAAACAAAAAGAGCACGATTCGCTGCCATCTGGGATGTATGATTAGGGCCATTCAAGAATCGAAAAGCGGTAACGCGTGTGGAAGGTTGAACAACAATGTGTATTGAGTACGCTGCACCTCGAAGCTGCCTGGAGCTAGCTTTAGACATAGGTTAAAATAACTAACGATAACTAGTGCTTAAACAGGCAGTTTTGTAGTTCTAACAAAGGCTTGTAGAAGTAGATTACTAGTGCCTAACGAAAAATATTATGGCTAAGATATGGCCTGAAGAACATATTTAACAGAATATATGATCACTGGATTAGATTGTCATAAAAATCATGCAAATATGATAGTTTGGTTCCTAGAAATTGAATCAAACACTCTTAATGTGCAACCAGTGTTTGTGCCCTAAAATATGTATTGGATACAAGGATCGATTCGTAAACGTAAAGCCCCTTCAATAACCCTGAGTAAAACAACAAAAATTTTATATTTAATGCATTACGATCGTGATGAGAATAAAAGACTAGAAAATGCTATGTTAATTTGCCAGTCAGAGTGTATCTTGATTTCGAACTGGTAAACTAAGGAAGATGAACCACAAAAAATAGAAATAGGTTTGAATTACTCCTGAAAGTAAAATGTTTAATGCTTAAATTGAAAAAATTGTGCCCCTAACCTCAACCTTAAAAGGTGACACAATCTTGGGATACTAGGCGAATCATTTTTTTGGTGTTTTATTTTCATTATGGCCCGTTCCGCAAGCAATAGTTTAATCCAATTTCATGAACAAAATGCTATTAAGTTTATAAGATAAACGCTACGAAGGTTTATATATGTGAAATGATGGTTTAGCACTTCTGAAAAAAATTTAATATGACTAATAAAATTTGTACCCTCAAAATGTCACTCATCACTGATTACCTCAAGTACTTAGATCGCTGCTTAACGCCCTACCATGTTGTAGTGGAGACCATTACAATCTTGGACGAACAAGGATACAAGCGAATATCACTGCAGGATCTTGATAGTATCGGTCCTGGGAAGTACTACATATTTGTGTTCAACACGGTAATAATACCGATCGTAATACCTGTTGACCCTGTGGGTATCCGTATGGTAGCTACGCACAGTGACAGCCCGGTTCTAAAGCTAAAGCCAAATTTTAGTGATACAGCCGAAAATATGTGCATCGCTCGATTGCGTCCCTACGGGGGTGGATTGTGGCACACATGGTTCGACCGTTCGTTGAGTGTTGGTGGATTGGTTATGCTCAAGAACGGCAGGCGAGTTCTTGTTGATAGGATGTTCGATGTGGTCGTGCCTTCATTGCCACCGCATTTAAATAATTCTAAGGTGTATAACAACGGTTTTTTGTATGACAAGGAGCGTGTTTTGAACGGGTTGGTGATGGTGGATACAAAATTAGATGACAAGGTTTTTACAGGTCAGGGCTTCGATATGGATGACAAGGTTGGAAACAGATGTGATTCTGGGTGTGGAAAATGTGAGAGTAATGATGAACATGATAGATCGCTCAGTAGCAATTCTGTGTTGGTCGAAGAAAATAGTCTGCATGCTAACAGTCAACCAACATGCCAGGACAAAAGTATGCTCGATACAAGGGATAAGAGCGAGAATGACGTGCATTTTAAACTAGAAGATATAATTTCGCACAATCTTTCGCTTTATGACTTAGCACATGCAGAAATACTCAATGAGCAACTCATAATGAGTGCTAGACAGGACAATCTCCTATCAACATTTGTGGGCCTAAAGGCGTTAAACACCGAAGGACGGAGCATCAAGGTGCTCGCAGTATTTGATTTTGAAGAAATAGGCTCAATGCAGCTTGATGGTGCAAGGTGTACATTCCTAAAGGATGTGTATACCCGTCTTCAAAAGAACCTTGCGAACCCTTATGACTCAATGATCATAAGCCTGGATGTCGCTCACACGTACAATTTTAATTACGATGAATTCTACGAGAAGAAGCATCGTATAAAGTTCAACAAAGGTATTGTAGTTAAGCATAGCGCAGCGTATGCTACGGATATGGATGGAACCGCGTTTATAAAGCAGCTGTCGGGTTTTAAGTGTCAAGATTTTTGTCTAAGAAACGACATAAGAGGTGGCGGTACCATAGGAACAATGCTCAGCACACTCTTGGGGACACGATGCATTGATCTTGGATCACCGATAATGGCTATGCACTCGATACGTGAAACGAGCTCTTGCAAGGATGTAACGGACACTTTCCAATTGCTGTACGATTTCTACAAATCATGATAACAAATGATTAAAACAATGCGGTTTACCCGAATATTACTGTTGTTAAAGGATACTTCATTTGATGTTGATCTGAAGATGTATAAGTTCTAACAATGCTGTTTTTAATTCCTGAGCTGTTCCAACGCGTTCAGCTGCTACCTTTTTACTAAAAGTTGTTTGCTTATCTCTTCACACAGCAGCAACACCCAAACAAACGCGTTCAGCTACCACTAACTTATTTATTTATGACCGACTTACGCATCGTAGTTTGGATGCACATACACGTACCCTTCATTCTCGTAGAATACGCCCTCCTTATTGATCAGCCATTCCAGCACATTCTCCGCTCGCTTCTGCTCCTCGCCCAGCATCTCTTCGCTCATTATCTTGTCCTCAATGCTACCTATGTAATAGATCACAAGATCCTCCTTGGTCAGCCGTTCCTTGGTTTTAAGAATATAAACGAAGGTGTTCAAAATGCTCTCCACGTCTTTGTTGTTCAATACCGTATCGTTGATTTGGATGTCCTCCATTTTAATTTCCAGCATACTGCCGGTTATCAGCCGGTACGCTTCCTCAACATACGTACACACAACGTCACTGCAGTAAAGCTTTGCCAGGGCCTCGCTCAGCCGTATCATGCTCTCCAATGTTCGCACCCCGACTGTGTAGTTCTTATGGTTCACCGTGTTCTGCATTCTCAGTTTTTTATACTTCTCTATGATCAGTTTTTCTGCCTCTTCGGTCATCTTCGGCTTTCTGTTCTTCACATGTTCTATATAAACGAGGATTTCATCTTTAGTCATGTCCATCTCCTGGTTGTAAACTTGCTCGATCTCTTTCAGGTCATCAACGTGGTCTAAAGCTTCCCTTTGTTCGTTCAGTGCGTTTTCCTTTTGTCCGTGTTCATCGCCTGCGACCACGTCGAACTGATCAAAACCAAGATGGTTATTGATCACTCTCCTCGCTATCCGCCTGTCATTGCTCTCATCTACTTCGTCTACAATCACGTAGAATAGATCAAACCTGCTCATAACAGCATCGCTCAGGCTCACATTGTATCGTAAGCTTTTTTTTCTGTCATACCGCCCTCCTCTCGGATTGGCTGCCGCCAACACACTTGCACGTGCATTCAGTGTTACGTGTATTCCTGCTTTGTTAATAGTCACTGTCTGCTGTTCCATCGCTTCATGCAGTGCCGTCCTGTCAGTGACGCTCAGCTTATCAAATTCGTCGATGCAGCATATCCCGTTGTCAGCCAGCACCAGTGCACCCGCCTCAACCACATTTTCGTTCTCGTTCCTGGTCACTGCAGCTGTGAGTCCGACCCCGCTTGCCGTTTTACCGGTCGTGTAAATCGCGGGCACCTGTTTCAAAAACTGGCTCTTTGCAGCACCCGGATCACCAAGCAACAAGATATTGATGTTCTTTCGTTTTGTTGAGCTGCCGCCTACCATCATCAGTAAAATAGCATTCTTTATGTTCTTATGGCCGTATATCGATGGAAAAAGCTTCTGCGAAAGGGTCTCATACAAATTGGGGATACTGCTCACCTTCCTCAGAATTTTGTCCTTGTCCAGCTCGTGCTTGCTTTCCTTCTCAACACTCATAGCCTCAAACACGATTTTTAGATGGTCTTCCTCCGCGCTTATCACCGATTCTGTCCGTTTCAGCACCTTTTTCATCCGCAGGTTCTTCTCAATTTTCACCACTCCATTAAAAATAACCACCTCACCAGGTTTTACCTTCTCGGTCAAATCGTCCAACACAACAATCTCTAGTGACCTGGGCAGATACCCCCCAATGATATCGGCATCCACCTCCTGCACGCTTATCCGCTGGTAATCCCTAAAACGAACAGGAATGACCTTGTAATTTTTTCTGTTAGGACACAAATGGTTCACACACTTGAAACTCTGGTAGTTCGTGGTCTCCCTCGTCACAGATTTGCACGATGCACACTTCATCTTTGCGCTCATCAGCTCAGGATATATGGCGGTTGTGCGTGTGACACGTGCCCTAAAGCTTATAAGCCTGTTCATCTGCTTTGTAGAGATCTCTCTGAGCCTGTAAATTACCAGATTACCGTTAAATCTGTACTTTCTATCTATTTTTGAAATATTGTTGATAATGAAGTATGAAAGATCCTTATCGTGCATGCTTAGCGATTTGAGCGATATTACATCCTCAATTGCCGCACCCAAGTATGTTTTTAGTGCTTCTTCGTAGTTTGACTCGTTGTAAATTGACATTTTGTCTAGGGCAAATTATTTGCTCTTGTATTTCACAAAGCCATGAATGAAAGGCCAGTGACCACGGTCGGTCCCAATGGACCAAAAAGTATGTTTTTTAGATATTGCGAAAACAAATAAACGTACTTTTAGCAAAAAATATTGTGCTATTTAGAGAACTACAGGAAGCAAAAATGTTCTGCTGTATGGCGGTCAAAACTGCGCAAAGCGTACGCGAAGGTAATGTAAACTAAACGATGTGCTCGTAACGAAAAAAATATAGAACATTTCACTACGTTTCACTCTACAAAAGAACTAGCTGCTTGTAAAATCACGTACACTACACTATCGTTCGACAGCCATACACTGCTATACTCATCGATTTCGAACGCCGTTTGCACCGAGGTACGTAGATTATCACATTTCTCTCACACAAACTAGTCATTTTCCGACAAAAGGTCAAACCCTCCCCTTTATCGGCCGAGAGCAGCGCACCTCATAATAATACAGTCCACACAAGATAACACTATTCTATCCACGAATGGTGAAATAAATGGGAAACCTGGTCATTCATCGATACGCCGCTCAAAAATCTCGCAATTAAACTGTAGCGCATTATGAAAGTTCCCAATTAGAGGCGAACATCAAATAACACCATGTGTCATAAACCATTGGTCTCATTTCAGATCAAAATATTTAATTTAAGCAAAAAAATTATTTTGTTTAGTAATACTACACACACAGTCTGCTCCGTTTTCTTTTTTTGATAAAACTTGTGAACTGTTCTGCTATAGGAATTGCATTATTTAACATACCAGCCATCAATTTGAAGGCCAATCTTTTCATGTCCACAAAAAACATCATTTACGGCAGAGTGCCTAACACAGCTATAATTAATGCGATATTACCGCTCGTGCATTGCTATAAACAATCTCCTTTGTTGGTCACATCTTCTTTCTTATTAAATGCAAGGGTATTTCCCACATTCACGTATGTTTCTATCTGTGCATTCGAATTAATTTGTATCTCCTTCCTGATATCCAACTCCTTCTCACACAGCAGAACAATCGTACTGCCACCCATTTGGAAATACCCAATCTCCTGCATCACTTCAACCTCTGTGCCAACCGTCACGCTAAGCTTGATTGAGCCTACCATGGTGGCACCAACAGCAACCGCGTATACGTTGCCAAATAACTCGGATTCAATGAGAATAATCACGCGTTTGTTCTGCGTAAACACATTTGATCGCTCAACACTAATGGGATTCACGGTCAGATAGTCCCCGTCAATCTCCTTGATCATTTTCACACACCCTTTTACAGGTGAGTGAAACCTGTGGTAATCTTGTGCTGCCAGTCTACAAATTATCAATGTACCAAGGCTTATCTTGTGTTGCTTTTGGCCATTCATCGCCTCACATCGGTGCTGGCAGCCGCACCTGTACCTCTGTTCAACACCTATATCAGATAATTTTTCATCATCAATGTATTCGTCGCTCGAGTCACCTGAACGACTGAGCTGTTTCTTCATGTCTGCACCCAGCGTATCACTGATGCATGCGCTAAGAACATCTCTTCCATTATTCAGCATATGTTTTGTGCGTGTTGCCTTATTGCTTCCGTTGAGAAACACATCCAAGCAAAACTTTGTGCCTTTAATCCAGAACCTGGTCGACTCCTCAACAGTTTCAAACGCTATGACCCTGCAATCCGATGGCGAGCACAGGGCCAGCGCATTTTCAGCAACACGTGCTCCACGCTTAAATCTCCTGCAGAAAAAATCGTTAAAACAGGCATACTTTTCTTCTTCGATCTCGCTGAGATCGATATCGAAAAAGTTTATGAAGTCTTTGATGTATTTCACCGATTTTTTATCGAAGTACACCCGGCTAGCACGCTCTGTCATCTTTCTGCACATCGTTTTGTAGAATATGTTGGAGGACAATGACTCATTGTATATATAAATCAGAAATATTTTGAAAAATGTCGGCATTTTCTCTTCGATCACCGTCCCATTGAGTGTTTTTACAAATATTTTTGCTGACTGGTAGTTATTTAGAAAAAAACCGGTAAAGATGTTGAAAAAACGCGATTTGTACGCTAATTTGATGTTCTTTAGGTAATTTTCTGCCGTGAACACAACAATATTCATATTGAACGGCAATTTCATGATAACCTTCTTGATCATTCTTGGATGAGAAAAGTGTTTAAAATCAAGAATCATCGCCTCAATGTTCGGATACTCGATAGTTTTGATGTGTTTTTTCATAATCAGTCCGTTTTTGTACGCCAGAACGCTCAAAGGTCCTTTATAGCTTCGCCTAATGAATACTTTGATCTCACCCGATGATCCTATGGTCACCATTGAATCACCGCTGCCAGTTTTGATGTACAGTACAGACGGCTGATCGAATAAAACGCGAAATCGAGCAGAAAATATCACTATCGGAACATCAACATATGACATCTCCAGATTCTTTTCTTCGTTGGTCGTATTTCTGAGGGATCGATATCATTTTTTTTGAAAAAATCGTTATTGTTCGGAAAAATGAAACAAAAATGTTTCACATTTATTCTGAACCAACGTATTTTGGTTATCTGAAAATGGAATATATGATCTGATAATGATAGAACTTGTTTACGTAGAACATAGCGTACTCAACCTTGAAATACAATCGATAAACCGCCAATGAGATAAAATGATTTAGGATTAAATGCCGAAAACTGGGGATAAATCCAGTTCATATAACAATAAAGTTTCAAAGGCATCACAGATCGGTAACAAATTCGGTTGATGAAGATCAGGGCTGTGTTAAAGCATATTAATGTGATAATTAGATTACATAATCGTATAAATGTTTATAGGACCTATGTTTTTGCACTCAGCGTTCTTATATTTCAAGATTAAGCTAGACTATCAGTATCTAAAGAATGCTTGTAAGGAGCTTTGTGTCCAGGCATGGTATATCCATCTAAGTATCTGCCATATATAAGATTCGGTGCAACCCGATTACCAAATTTGATGAAACTAAACCTGCAAATCATGTTCTTCAAATCCTGCTTTGCTGTAGATAGCATTTTTGTCCCATCAAGAGATCAACAAGATTGTTGCTTCGTATCGCTTTGTTCATTAAATGTCGCATATCAATAGCTATTGGCACTATACTTGCTCGATATCGGGTCAAGCACGGCAAACATTCTGGAATTAAAATATCTCCCATGACAACTCGGTAAAAAGGTATTGAGTAGGATTTATAAGTTTTTGTTTCGATCAATTGAAAATATATACACGTACTTTACATGAGGGCTGCAGCCGTGAGTAGAATAATAGTTTAAAAATAGAAGCATTAAGCTGTGCTCTCACTGCTATTCCAAAAATTTATCGTGTTTGTTACATTTTTGAACTATAACAATGATTTACACCTCATAAATGGTGCTACTTCAGCTTTCTGGGAATGGTGCCGCGAAAATTCGGACTTTGACATTTTATGATCAGGGTGCTACACAACTTTTAAGCCGAACAGAATGATGTGTAAACTGGTTTAGAATGTGTTTCTGTAGTTGAAAACACTTAATGGCTCCGATATAGATTACCTACAGAACAAGAATCATTAACAAAATAATGTTAAATATTCTCATTTGGTGCATATTCTTTCTTAAAATAAACGACATATAAAGAACCAGCCAAGCACACTCGATGATGCATGTGAAATTGTGACTGCTCTGAATGCAATCGCTTCCGCCTCAAACTCCTCAACCATGGTATAGCAGCCTGATAGCTGCACTTTCATAACATGAATGGCTGTATGACATCCTCAAGAACGTTTTTCTCCAGCTATAACGTAGATAGTGTGGTAAGTGTTCATGATAATGAATTCATTTTATCTTTTATACGTACCTCTTGATTTGAAATTGATAGGTGGATGTCTAGTTGATCATATAGCGGCATAATTGGATGCAGTTATTCGTATTTTTTCCTAAATGTAAGGATCAAAGCTTTGAAGTGCAAATGAGCAATTGTTTGACCTCGAATTCAGTAAAAGGTAATATCCTAAAAAATATATTTGTGAAAGATGCCTTATATGGTGTTGAAAGCATCAATAAATGATTATTGCACCAAATATTGATTGTCAAATAAATCGAATCACGTATCGCTGTAAAGTGTAGCTAAAATGTTAAGTAAAAACCTTCCTTTCTTAATGATCTCTTATAGGTTCGATTTGACAAAATGAACAATTATCAGCGTATTCGAATTGTAAAGATAGCAATTCTTAGTTAATGAAAGAAGTGATGGCATAACATTAGGTAGAAGGAAGAATAGTTGATTTTTACATAAAGCCTGTTCAACCAAAAATATAGAATTGAGTGTATGTACGTAAACGTGATGTATACGGTATGTGATTGGTTTTTAATCTGTTTGTTCTTTTTCAGAGCATGATTGACTGAACTCTTAAATCAAGAGACAAGTGGTTTAACGGTTCTATCAATAAAAAATGTCATCAACGGATCAGTTTCGAACTAAAACGTATTTTATTTGTTATTGTGTTGCTTTAATTGGCATTTTACTATAAATTAAACGTATTTATGTTATGCTGACTCGTTTCATATTGTCACTTACACGTAGTTTCTTGTTACTACGCCCTAAACATAAAATCGTGGAAATGGCAAAATGGAAAGACTTATGAAGCGAATTGGTGACTATAAAAGCTCTTTAATACCAAAAAGAGTTACAAATCGGGTCATACTCACTATTTTATGGGAATGATAGGTTTATTGATCACTAGAATAATTATTTACGCAGGTAGTTCCTACTTCTCGTTTTAATGAATTGAAAACAATGGCCGCAAAACGGTTCAAGCTAGCTCGCAATATTAAACTTTGCTACGAATTCGAGGATGTAACTTTGTCAAAAGGCTTTTCGCGGTAGAAAAAAGAGGCAAATGGAACCTTGCTAATCGATTTACTCAGTTAGTCCTTTTCCGAAGTTCTGATAATCCCAATAGGCGTAAGCAATAAAAAAGAAGTCGCATACCCAGACTATTCCGTGATAAACACCATAGAAACAAATTAGAAAGGTGACTTACATTTGAACTGACACATTTCTTCCGGTTACAATCACGGCATAGAAGTATATACTTGTGACCAAACTAGAAGCTATAAATTTCGATACAATAGTTATTATACGTATTGAAGCTATTTCATACTTGTATGTCAACTGTATTATAACGGCATTGGCAATGATCAGCCACGAAGATGCATTTCTGATGATAGTATACGCGGTTTCAAGATCACCAACGGCGCTAAACGAAATATATACCGTGAAACTGTAGTATTGCGCAAATGTTGCCACTCTGAATTTCTGTCTCATCTTAAAAATTTCAAAATTAAAAAACTAACTTACCAAGTAAATGTGGTGCCATTCGGGTTTTCTTGAAATAATATCAAGAAAACTCCGGTCCTGCTGATTTGATAACCAAGCAATTGTAAATGATTTCCAGACCAGTCAAGGTAGGGATTGGCAAGATGACAAAAACTTCCGGGTAGCTAATGTTCTCCAATTCATCTAGTATCAGCGTTATTATTAGGAAGAATTCGAGTGACAATATGAGATTGAACACTTTCATCTGGTATATGTTTTTACTCAGCAGTGCATGGCAGATAAAAAACCAACCAAGAATATTTGATGACGCCAAAGTAATGGCAATTGCTCTTAGGATTGCCAGCTCACCTTGGAAGTTCGCAAATGCGTCGTGATAGAAAGCGGCAAAAAATAGCACCTTAATTCCATGTATCACAGTGTAACATATCCTGGTGCGCTGTTCACCCGCTATTATGTGGTACTTTCGATAGTTGTCCATATAATCGAGTTAGTCGTGGTTTATATAGTTAAACTTTAATTTACTGCTGACAGTAGACATCTGGTCAAAAGTGATTTACTTAACAGCGTAATTAAGACAGATTGCTCTATTTGACGAGATGAAAAATTTGGCACTGTCTCAAAATACTGATCTTGTTATTGTTTTGAGCTTCCATTTGTTAAAACATTGGCAGATAATGTCATATGAGTGAAGAATTACTAGAATGGAGCAAGCTAAAACGTTCAGTCTTACAACATAAGAGCAGGTTTATATCATTGGACATTCTAATTTTACGAGAATAACTTCTATCATTTTTTATATTAAGAGGTGTTAAATATGACGCTAAGTCGATTTCTTGATGAATACTACGAATTAAAATTAATTTATAGCATGACATATTTCAAGGAGTAGAAAGTGCAACGAAAAAAGGTTTTACTACCTAAAATGCTTAGCTGGTCGGAATAGGAAACATTCATTGATTCACAATTCATTTGAAACGTAGCTTATTCTTAGAATTTACACTCGAATTGCATGTACATTACAGACTAATAGGTAAAATAAACCTGCGCTGGCAATATCATCCAACAAAAACTATCAATACATCATACAAAACCGAAAAAATTGCATTTTTGATATTTCCTGGGCTAACATGTTGGTTTTTCTTCGATTTCCAAAACATGCTATTTATTGGCACTGCCATTTTTTTACCATTTAATTGATAAATATTTATTGACAATGTTAATTTAAAAAGTCTGTTCGTAATATAAGATGGAATCAATGGCCGAGAGTTCAACATTTTTATTTTACTTTCCTACTGCTACACCTCAAAGCACTCAAATATTCGTTTACATATTGCCGGTTATTTCTACTCCAGAGCATATACAAGGATTGTATTGTATGCACTATGATAACCTGAATCAAAATGGTTTGGTGCAAGTTGATCAACACCACCTTTGCCCTGGCAAGTTTTGTCGAAACATGTTGTAGAAAAATGCCGAGAGCAGCACAGCTTTTGTACACCGTTATTTAGTATCAAAACATAGTATTGATACGTTCAAAACCATAGTTGTTAAAATGGCTTGTAGTAAAAGCGCATTTATCGGATCTGAACGTATTTGGCAAGTGTGCAAAGACCTGAAAATGCGAACTTGCTATCTTGGCGGTAGTTTACCGGTAGAAAAGAAAAATGAGAATATTTCAGGATTATAGATCGTGGTTTCATGAAAAAAGACAATCTTGCTAGCTGAGTGCTATGAATTGTTCAACACCAAACAATAAAACTACGAACAGCGACACGATGTGAAAAACATACAATAAGGAAACACTGATGATAGAATGCTGACTAAAACTTGATTCTGCCATACGAGTGACCATGCACTCAGTACACGTGAAAACATGTATTCTGTGACAAATACAGCACATTCGGAGGTGAACATCAAATAAAATTTATTTAAATACCACGATTTAAAGATCTTCTCTTTCTCTTCTACCTTCTTCTTTCATTTTTTCTTCTTGTTCTTTCTCTTCTTCCTCAGATTTCTCTTCATCCTTCACTTTAACCTCATGATCAACATTTCCAGACTGAAATTTTGACTGCATCGCCGTCAACGCCTCCAAAAGCTGTCGTAGCTCTTCCGTCGGATCAGACTGTTCTTCCTTCTTAATCTCACCCTCCTCACTTGCCTTCTTGTATTTAGCTTTTATTTTCTCATATTCGGTCGTAGCCCTCTTCACGGCATCATCCTTCAGGCTGACCAGGTAGACTACCGACCGCGAGTAATAGTCCTTAGCTGTCTGCACAATGTCGGAAAGACGCTTCCTGTAATCGCATTTCTCCTGTGTTTGTGTGGCACAGTGTAGCGCCAGCAAGAAAAAAAATATGTGCGTCAGCTTCACTTTCATCTCTTTGGTAGGGGGTAAAAAAAGATTTTCTGAAATCTGTTAGAAGAATTTTTTGAGGGGAAAATAATTTTAAAAATGGTCTTCGATGAGCAGCTTGTGGCTGGTTCAAGCTCTTTCATAACATGGTAACAGAGAGTTGAAGTGAAACACACGAATAAGTATTGTGTATCAATTCATCTGGGCCGGCTAATTGGTGCGGAGCTCTAACGAGTAACGAGCCGTTTAATTATCCTTTATTGCGATCAAATGCGGTTGTGCCAGGAAAGAGGTGAAAAAAATAAACGAGCGGGCTGATGCATCTGTCCGACTGACATTCCGTGTTTTTGCATATCTAACATGCCTTCGGCATCGGATTAGTGGAAGGAATTTAGCCGTGTGCACGGTTCTATCAAATATGGAACTGGGATGAAGGAAACGAAATAACCGGTCGGGCTGAAAACATAATACCTGCGTGTATTCAGACATTTGCTGTTTTAATTTTGATTCGAAATCATTTAGCGAATATAAACTGTTCATTTGCCTGAGGCACGAATAAAAATTATCGTTTGTCCCTGTAAAACGTAAGATCATTCGTTTGTCCCTGCAAAACGTAAGATCATGGTTTGAAACCCAATCTCCAAATACTACCAAGCGCCGGCCAAATACATTATTAACATGTAACAGTATATTCTATGCATGCTGTATCATGCCAATAAACATATTTCCATCGCAGAAATTTCTAAAATGTTTTAATCTGTTGATGTTGAAGAGCTAACTGATACCATAAATCAAGTGTTTGCTTGCACCTGATTTACGTTATCAGAGTACTTGTCGTATTGAAATGGTGTTAACACTTGTGATATAGCTTATGTATCTTAATAGTATCCAATTTCTCGTTCATATCATATTCCTTTTGTTACAAAAGCATATTTGTTTATCTTCTCATGCCACAACACCTAAGCAACACGCTGTAATTTCTCTTAAAGTTTTAGCTTCATAATTTTTCTTTTTCTGTTCCCTCCACAGATGAAAATTCAGTACGAAGAGGATTCATCAAATTCGATCGAAATAAACGACCCAGTAAATTACGATTTGGCGCTAGGTATCGCACTCTCGGAAAGTTTACATCGCAATGTAATTTCAACTCCTGTAATCGTTAAGAAAAGGGTTGAAGAGCGGTTAGATAGATTGCTACGTGAGAACTAACGATAAGGTGTTTATAATACGGAAATTGCTAGCAATGTGCTGCGTAGTGTTTATTGTAATCGATCGGTTACGAGCAATATGGAAGATTATCATTTGATGGTGATTTGGACCAAGAAATGAACGAGCATGGTGGACAATAACCGATTGGAGAATCGTATTGAGCAGCTTTGGAGTGAAAAATGTAAAAGTGTTGGTCAAAAAGGCGACATTACTATCCCTCTATCTCAATATTAGTAAAATATCTTTCTCAGGCAGCAATTTACGTGATTCGATCGAATCGCCCAGGACTCCGTTCATTGTACTGCAGCACATTTTCCAAGAAAAAAAATTAGTAAAAAATCCGAATGTTTATAAGCAATGTTACGGTTAGTAAGCAGTGCTGAATCCCTTCTCAACATAGTTCCCTATTCAACACCCATAGATGCTAAATATCCGGTAAAAAACTATTGATCAAAATTTTGAAGTGCAATATTGCACAAACGAGTCTATGATCCGTGATAGTGTTCGTATTATTGATGAAGTTTTTGTATTAAACATGCTGTTTATTAACTTTGATTAAACTACGGTCGCATACGCCAATTGCGATTTATGTACAATGCCTCCTCGTCATTTTTCCAATTATTAAAAGAATCACAATTTAAACTACAATCGTAGTAAACGCTCTGCGACACCATATGATTACTCCATAAGACAGAAGTATAAAACACAACTTCTTTCACGCCAAGTTCAAACATAGTTAGATGTGCATTCCTTAACATATCTCATCCCATGTGTCTTCCGAACTTTCATCTGACAACACACCATCGTGGCCTGAGAATTGGTTTAGAACAAAATCGATCATCCGCTTATAAAACTTGGTTCTCTTTGGTTTGGGCATTGCAGGTTTTTCGCATTTGTCACCAAAAGTTTCACCAGATGTGTTCTCAGAGGATGTTTTGTGTTCTTCATCAAGGATTTTACCAGACATGTCTTCAGAGAACGTTTTCGACTCTTTAGAATAGGTGAAAATTTCTATAAATGGAGATTTATCTGCGTTCTCCTTCCATTTTACATATTTTTTGGTACTATACGTATCTTTAAAACTTGATCTAATCAACGTATTTTGCACATATCTGTACTTATGATTCTTGAACCGTTTCAGTTCAACACCGATCTTCTCTGTGCTATTTTCCGACAGATCAAAAGACTCATGACCAAAATTACTCCGAAAAAATGTCTTGAATTGTTTGCAAAGGCTGAGAGAAGCATGTCCGGAATGCATCGACTCGCTTTGAACGGCAGGTTCTATGCGTGTTGGATTAACTTTCTTCGTTTTCGATACCCAACAAGAATTTTTTGGGTTCTGAACTTGATTATTGTCGAGCTCTTTACCACTACTCGCAGTGTTTATTACATGATAAGTATAAAGGCGCGAAAACGAGCGCAAAGGGTTAGATTCAGCACATGAATTGCCACTATTTCCAATTTCACACTTCTCCTTCTTTCCATCGCTCTGCATCATCTCGTCTAATTCTTCTTCATTTCCTCCGAACGATATGCGTCGAACATGACCCGGAAGTGCGTTCATGTGCACGATCTGCTCAGCAAGCAATATCAAAATGGAGTGCATCGTGTGACGGCGTCCATTCAACTCCTTTATTTATATTTTGATACTGCAGATAAGAGCAAATTGTGCAGTAAAAGGCACATACAACGGTACATACTGAACATGAAAAGAGATAAAAACACAGCATCTTAGTTTTGTAGCCTTCAGGGAATAAATGATACAGCCAATTGGTGTAATGCTCAGTGGAGAAAAGAAAAATAAAATATTTTTAGTGAACCAAACTTTATTTACCGACGAGCAAGCAACAATCAAGACAAAATGCCGAAATCTTCACAAAAGCACGCATTCTCATCAAAATAAATATAATCAGTAAAAAATATTCTTGTGAATGCAATTATCCTTACCACACATCCAAACCTGTCATATCAGTGAATAACAGAACGATCAGCTAGCCATATTTGGTAATGTTCATCTCCAACAATCGTTTTCATGCTAATTACACTGCAAACCATGTGCACATGATAAAACATATTTGAACATTTGTTAATGACACGAATATCACTCCGTTTCAATACTTTTTTTAAAAGATATTCTCACACCTGTCATTAACTGAGTGAGAAAGCGTGTTGTGTTGAACACAAGATTTGTACGGGACTGGAGGTGTTCATGTACCCGGTTCAATTATGAGAATCATTAGAGCGTACATGCTAAAATTAGAACATCACCGAAATGTTCACTGCTAATCGTTTTTATTTCATTTAAATCTGGTAACTGATCGAATTAGCGCTGTCAAACGTTATACATGTCGCCAATTACAAATTTCTTCAATTCCAAAGATATAAATAAAATAATTTTTGTGAATGATATGCGCTCATTTTTATATATTGTGATTTGTTATTGTGGATTGTACAGCAGGATTAAAGCATGTATATCCGGAAAAGGGACAAACAAAAAGCGTGATTCTGTCCGAGAATCGGTAGTGCCGCAGCACGCTAAGGTATACGGCAAGTACTTTTCTGGCAACCGGGGCGAAAGAATGCATCGCATATGCTCATCAGACTCACTCAATAATCCCAATGCATCAGAATCAATGTCTGAGATTGCAGTCCACCCGTGGCGTGCCAATGAAACTACCTCTAGTAACAGAGCATATGGGGCGCAACAGGGAGCATCAGGATCGTATAATACAGCGAGTTCGGGGCGAAATTCGCAATCACGAATACGTTGTGAGGTAGCTACAGCTCGTGAAGGTGATTATGACAATCTTTCGCGCTCAAGACTCTACCAAAGCGCCACTGATAAGAGCATACTATCACGAGTGGATGAAGAACCAGCTCAAAACCTTCGTCAACATGAGCACGAAATACCCGAAGAAGCATCTAATCGTTGTGAAACAGGCAAAAAACGTGATGATATGGGGACAATGTGTAAGAATTGCCACCAGCGTTCAGCTTATTGTACTATATTCACGCAAAAGAAAGGAGAACCGCTGATTGAGACTACCCGACAAAACAAAACGCCCATAAAAAGTACGTGTGATGATGAGTTGCAAACTCTACAGGCACTGCAACGACGTATAGATCAGAAAATGAGAAGTTTAGAAGAAGAGATTAATAGCATACATAGCAAGTTAGATAGACGTAAAAAAAACGATAAACGAATGTAAGGCAAATATTACGTGGCGAAGAACTATTTTGGACGAAACAAATACCAAAATAGTGCAGAATCACGGTATTCATCATAATTATCCGTATGGTGACAAAGCAAGTCAATGCAAATCAAACGAACAAATGCAAATCGATGCCATAACTAGGGATTTGTTTGAATTTTATTCGTTTTTATGTAAAAACCTTGAAAAAAGTAAAGAAATAAGAATGCTTCTTGAAGAACAGTTTGATCGAATAATTCTTGACCATAACACGTCTGTGAACAGTAGAATGCCATATAATAATTCATACTGGGTGTGATTCTTGTGGTTTAATACCAAAACTGTTCGTAACCAATTCAATTAAAGTGAGTGATTTGTTCGGTATGTGAGTGTTTTTCAGGTTTAAGACGGTGTATTAAGTCAAAGGCAACGCGCTTTATAGAAACGGTGCCATATCAAATCATTACTTCGCTGTGTTATAGCAGATAACTAACTTACCGTAGTACCGTTAACGTTTGATCAGGAATAGATCACAGGAACTGCACGAAGTAGAAGGTGTAATCAGCTTTGGTCACATAAACTAAATTTAATGGCAAAATTTCTCACCAGGGCAAAATACGACCTGTTCTGTGACGGCACCTATAATAATTTGTTGTTGTGGTTGGATGAATAAATGAACTGCTTTTGGTAAAAAGGGAATAATCCTGAGGTACAAATCGTTCTTTTGCTGAGCTAATCACTGTGGTCCGTATGAGTAACTACGTACCAATCGTGTTGTTCCATTACTTGGCACGAGTTACAAGCTTAAATGCTGTTCCGATTCCTTTCAATCACAACCTATAAAAACACGCGTATCAATTTCTACTGACCGGTCAAAAATTCAATCTATTTCTATCTTGGCAAGTGTTGTCATTGCTGATGTGCATGATGCTCTCCATAAGATCTAAGCTGATTATTTTCGAACGCTTTTGGATGGCACAACCTCTCGGCCTTCCTTCACGCACTTGGTGCAACGAACCAATGCTTACCAGTTGATTGCAGAATACCAAGGAGCTTGTAAGTGTACCTACTAGGTGTGCATTAAAAACAGCTTTTCGATCCTCGATGTAATTTCCTGAAGTAATTGATATTTATGCTAAATTCAACGGAATACTCATTATTTAGGAGGTGTCAACAATAAAAGTACTGCAAACACGAGCAGCAACACCAAAACTGGATCATTGGTCTGATGAATAAAATATTTGTTAAAAAGAGAACTTTATGTAAAAACTGCTATGTGAATGCTGTGTAACGCGTGAACAAACGAAGAATAGGATACACAACTGAATAAAATAGTCTTTTAGATAAAAATGTTGGTCATTTGCTATGAGTGCGCTATAAAACGGCTCAACTCTCTATGACCGGTCAGGGCAAAAATTTTTTACACATCAAAATTGTAAAAATTTTGCTGTGATTGTATCGGGCATACAACACGGGTTTTACGCGTGTGAATGCCTTTCAAGTGAAAATCTTTTCATGAACATTTTTATTCCTGCACGACACATTGCCGCTTTCTATTGGTTTACTTTGCATTAACGTAATGTTCACGACTTTTATTTGCTCAAGGTTGATGATATTCACAAAAAGACGTTCCTTTGGATGACCGTGAGTGTCGAATGACGAGTGCTGTCGACCAAAATTTTTGTCTTAGAGATCAATAAAATATTACAGGTTGAGGAAATGTGCTGTGTACGTGAAACATGATCTGTACCAGTAAGAGTAAAAATATTTTGGCGCGGTGTTGGAGCGTTCTGCACCCAACGCTCTGCTCTGCTGTAGTCAAAGCGTGCACGCTGAATAGCTTGTGCAGCTGTCACAGGTAATGCTGTAATTTTTCCCAAATCATCCTTTGATTCGTGCCCTTTATCGCATCAGTTCTTCTATAAACGTCTTTATGACATTTTCCCCCTTAAAAGCGGAAAATGAAGATCACCGTCCACGAGGACCATGTGCGCATTCTGAAAGAGCGGGCCGAACAGCAGCGGAAAGACACCGACATCCTTCTGAGGTACACACCCGCACAACTCACCGACATACTTGCAGTCGATCTTTACTTCCTTCTCAACGTGCAAGAATATAGAAGAATTCCTATTCCGTCAAACGTTCTATTTTTGCGCTACAGGGAGCGTATAGTCCGATATCACCCGAACTATCACGACGATCGCGTGTTCATGGCCATACGAAACGGCTACGAAATACTGAAAAGCACCTTTTGGAAGAAAAAGTACGACGACTATTTCGTTGATGAGATTTGCGTGGAGGACAAAAACTACGGCGCAGAGTTCTACGAATTCTTTGGCAGATATTTCGAGAACATGCGAGTTTTTGCGAAGGGTGAGGCGCCTGTGCTCGGCGACCCGGGCACGCCGTTGGAACAGGTCGAAAGATTCTACGCTTTTTGGAAGAATTTTGAGAGCACGAGGAGCTTTGACTTCATTGCGTATCATCCGGAATACGAGAAGATGAGCAGCTTTGAGAGGAGCAATCACGATAGCAAGTACAGAAAGGAGAAGAAGACGCTCTTCAATCAGCATGTGATCGAGGTGCGCAGTAGTGCTGCGGTGTGCCAGCGCAATGATCCGAGAATAAAAAGAGAAAAGGTTTTCGTGGATCCCTCGCTGGTGTGCAACGGCTGGTCCGAGAACGATGTTGTCCTGCTCAAGAGACTCACAAAAAAGTACCGGGCCGGCAACATAGTTGACTGGAAGAGGGTTGTGAGGGATTTCAAAATGGAAAACGGAGCGAGAAAGAGCATGAAGGATCTTCTGGTCAAGAACACGCAGATTGAGAGACTGTGCAAGTGAATAGCGTGCATAGGCGGTCTTTACACTAAATTTCTTTTCTATTTAAGTGTTTGTCGTGCTCAGCACGTTACTTTGTTGTACAATCTGTTCCTTAGGATGTGGTGCAACTCCCTGCTCAACTGTTGTGAGCCTGTCGATTGCTGTTGTGTGTGCGATAGCTGAGGAACCGTACGATCGAAGTAGAGCGCTACTACCAATACGCGATCTCTTGGGCGTTTTTTAATCGTTCATTGCAGCCCGTTTCACTACCTCGTCAGGCCATCGATTTGCAATTTAAATTAAATTTACTTATCACTTCAATTTTTCGTTGCCACCTGTCCGCTGTGGATGTGATAGAATGCACGGAATGTATGATATATCCGGGCCGCTCCTCGCTACATGACGGCTGCATCACCACACGCAATTAAACGGCCCAGTTACTCACACAAAGCCAATTCTTCTGCATTCTAGGTATATTTTATTTGTGGGACATACGATGAGCACTAAGATCCTTGTTACGTTTGTTACTCAGAGCGGGTTAATATATCCGTTGTTCTAATCTTTTTGCAGGTCCTTAATACGCATTATAGACAATCCCATCCGTTGTTCTAATCTTTTTGCAGGTCCTTAATACGCATTATAGACAATCCCATCCGTTGTTCTAATCTTTTTGCAGGTCCTTAATACGCATTATAGACAATCATTGCAACTACCGGGTGTATTAAAGCTCACAAAGCCATTTTTATCTTTTTTGTGCTTCAATGGGGCATTTGTACTATTCGTTTAGCAAATACACGCATGAGAACGCGTATTGGTACCAGATACAGCCTTTTACCGTCTATTATCCGAATAAAAATTTCGCAATCGTTGTGTGTCTGTTCATACCGCAGTTTTCCTCTGTTTATTCCGCTGGTGCCTCTTCTCTATTTGTCAGCTCTCGCCTTACTACTCAATCGTAGCACTCAGTCAAAGTTTACTACTTAAAGCCCTTGGCGTACTTCTTTGTTCACCAAAACTTGTTTATCCATCTCTCCTCAAAGTGCGCCCAGCAACTCGTTAATAACCCAGAAAATAACAAAAATACATTTGTGCACAGCCCACTACAACACACCTGTTGAGCTGTCTTACCGTGCATAGCACCTGAATAACCGGCTGTTTATGAAGATTATCGCTCCTAATTCCTCTAGCTGCGCAGAAAAACCCTTTTTCCGGATTGGAGCACCGTGTTCCCTCCGATCAAAAAATATTCTACTGTAGCCCCTCAACACATGCTCGCAGACTTTCACCAAACAATAAAAAAATCCTTGGCAGAGAAAGACAAGTCCCTGCACCTCAAAAAACTGTTCCTATATCTGGAAAAAGATCCTTTATCCTCATACGAGTTCTGGTCGGTGGATGAAATACCGTTTCTTATACTGCAAGAACTTACGACACCTTTTTCGCAGCTATCGCTGCCCGAGATAGAAAACAAGTCATTTGCCGATGTTATCACGGTCCTAAACATTCTGCAGATCATTGTTACCGATAAGAACGTAAGAGAGGACTTCCTGAACGCACAGTATCCGTTCTACATTTACCCGTACCTGAACACCAACAGCCTAAACAACCAATTCGAAAGTCTGAGAATTGCTGGATTAGGAGTGATCGGCCAGCTGCTAAAGGATGATGATAAGAAGACAGCATTGTACCTCCAGAACACAGAGATAGTGCCGCTCACACTCAAGATCATGGATATTGGCAGTGTAGTATCAAAGAAGATAGCAACGTACATTTTTCTCAAGATAATAGGAAGCGATGAGGGACTGGAATACGCGTGCCAGACATTCGAACGGTTCATTGCAATCAGCGTGATCCTTAACTCGATGGTCATGCAGCTGCTTGAGAACATGGACAAAAACTTGCTCAAGAGCGTGCTGCGCTGCTATGTCAGACTGGTCAACCAGGACAATGTGCGGATAAGCTACGCTTCCAAGCCACCAGAAGCGTTGTACAGCCGGGAGATGGCAAAGATAATTGAGGATGACAAGGACATACGTGAGCTATTCTCTCTCTTCAAAAAAATTATTAATAACTCCCATTAAGAGCAGGCCGCACGGCGTAAATTGTATACAAGGCGTGTGATACCATGCAATTCTTATTAAATCGTGTTTAGTTGCTGACAATTTCACAGTTTGATCGTCATCTTTAGCGATCGCCGCTCAGAACGGCACTGTGTTTGCAGAATGGCACGGTATTACCGCGTTCAAACTGTTTTTTGCTGGAAGTACTTTTATTCACCACCTAAGGACCGATTCATAGCATGGCATGACACAACTAAATCAACACACTCCTATCAACATGTTCTGGACTGAATCGATGTAGATCACATCTCGGTTTGTATCTCTGTGACACCGCCATGCCCAATATAACCAGACCAGCAAAGATAAATGAGCATCAGATCAAAAATTAATACAAGGCACTAATTTTAGGGGCCAATTTCACCTCACTGTCCTTAACAATCATACCATCCAATCCAGATCGCGTTCGTCTAAGTTTCCGTACGGTTACCAATTTATTCAATTCTCGTATGTCATGCACAAAGCTGTTCATTAAATTTATTTCAAAGAGTTTAAACCAAGATTAATTTTAGAATCTGCATAAATGGTGCATACGCTTACAAAATTGGTGGTGGAGACAACGAAAAGGGCAAATCTAAAAACTAAGCTTATTGGTACGATCGTATCTCTGAACACGCAGTACGACAGATCGACGATGATATGTGAGGGGTACATCGACAAGACAAGGCACCTCTCAGGCACATTTCTTGTGGCAGAGAGCACAAGAATTAGGGCGTATAGGGGCAAAGCCTGTCTTTTCTATGATTTGGTGGTCGACGTTGCGGTAAAGTACCAAATACTTGACCATTTCTTCCAGACAAGCCGCTACAAAAAAGTGGCCAGGTACATGGGAATTAGCAGAACCGTGATGCTGCACGGTCCAGCCGGAACCGGTAAAAGTACGCTCTGCAGAGCCGTTGCCGATAAAATAGCAGTGCGCACCAAAAAACGCATAAAGATCGTAGAGGTGCGCTGCACACACTATGTGTCAAAATTTTACGGTGAAAGCGGTCAAAAACTAAGCGAGCTGTTCAAAAATCTGGACAGAAACACCGTGGTGATAATTGATGAAGTGGAGAGTCTGCTCGTGAGCAGAGACAGGATCTGTGCGAGAAACGAGCCGCTAGACAGCATACGCATTGTGAATACGTTTCTTGTCAATTTGGACGTGAGCGGGTGTTTCTTCCTGTGTACCACAAACTTTCTTGAGGTGGTTGACAGGGCGTTCGTTGATAGAATGGATCTGGTGATACGGCTGTGCTATCCCCGCGTGCAGCACATCTATCGGATTATTCTGAATGTTTTGCACGTGCTCATGCTCAGGAATATACTTCAATTTGAAATACTGCCAAATTACAGCCAGGCAGTTAACACAGAAAGCAAAATACTTTTGATCAGTCGGTCCGTAGGAACGGTAAGTGCAAGAAGAATCAAAAAAATGATTTTTAATGCAATGGGCACGGGTGTACGAACTGCTGATGATCTTTTGGACAGACTAGAACGGCTTGTTACGAGGGAGTAACAGCCTGAATGGGTAGCCTTGTTCTATCGAAAGTCTCCTATTGATCAATCACCACTGCTTAAAGGATGAATGGCGGCAGTGTATAATACGCATTGCTCAGGATTGTTGATTTTGAAGGGTCCACAGCAATTGGGCCCGGTTGCCGTACCCAAAGCGCTGCTCGTAATCAACTTATTGGTCCATAGGCATGCGTGGAGGTTGAAACCCTACGTCTTGCCATTACTCGTCCCATGAGGGGGTACTGGCCCTGTAACCGTACCATAGGCTGCACTTTCTATTGCAGCATTATTCCCAGAAAAGTTGTTACGGAGTGCGATGCATACACCAAGAAGTACTTTGAACATTTATAATCTATGAACAGCTCCACCTCATGTTAAATTTCGGCTCCTCGTCATCGATAGGTTGGTGCTCATGCACAGGATACAAAGATTGATCTGTGAACATCCACACGAACATGTTGATAAAAAGATTGGTTATGGAAAGGTGAGCTACGTGTTATCAGCGTTGGTTCTTTCTTATAAAAGTGCTCAGCACTGGAATCGATGTAGGTGAAGGAGGACCCTTCCATGATGCCTTGCCTGTAAATGAGTGTTTACCGGATACATTGCTCTCAAAACAGGTGCAGTGGTGCGGACAAAGATTTGCGGACCGCCTGTGATAGGAGTCGTATGGATCGGAGGCTAGTGGCAGCAATAGGTCCTAGCGGTTCAGAAGAATGTGCTGTATGAGGAGATAAATAAACATACTTTCTGTGAAGAAAACAGTGACAGAAAGAAAAGACGGGATGGTTACACGTTATTTGAATACTCCGTGATCGTTATGACGAATCAGTTTAATTCTGATATATTAATTTTAAATTGAGCTTGGCAGCTGCACGTGGCAGGCCATGCGCACTAAGAAAGGTTTCTAGGGTTGAGGTGCTTTTCTTCCACCATCAAAAGCAATAATGTACGCATCAATCAACGGACTTATTAACGTGCAGTGATTTGAGTGTGCCCGGAATGGTAAATTAATTTATTATTGATGTTTATGAATTCACCACTTAGGCAGGTAAATATCGTGTTTTGGTGATTGGAAGGTTCATTGGTGCTGTGCTCGTTCGATATTCGAGCAGTTGTTTGGTTGATCTGGCAGGTCACGCCTTTTTTTACCGCCGTTAAAACAAGCGAACAGATTTCTGCCCATGACCAAGGAACACAAGTTTTGGGAGACTCAGCCCGTTGCGATCAACGCATCTAACGAGAGCATTGCAGTGCTAAAGAACGTACGGAAGACGCCTTTCGAACTTCCTTTCGGCCTAAGATTCGTTTGTGCGCGGCCTGACGAGTACAAGGATATTTACGAGTTTCTGTACAGCAATTACATCGAGGATGGCACCGATTCGTTCCGTCTCGTTTATTCATACGACTTTCTCTGCTGGGAGTTCCGAGGAAAGCGCACGTGTGCGGATTACTGCGTTCTGGTCAAGGACGATGAAAAAATCGTAGGATTTATATTTGCGAAGGAACATGACGTAGTTATCAATGGCAACAAGCTTGTGATAGTATCGGTAAATTACCTGTGTATACATAAAACGCTAAGGGGAAAGAATTTGGCGCCTGTGATGATCAAGGAGATACAGCGACGCGTCAATCTGAAAGGGATTAGTAGCGCAATTTTCACGGGAGCTATGAATCTGCCGTTCTCGATCTGCAGGGTGCAGTACTGGCACAAAATACTTGATTGTGAGTACTTGATGAGCTGCAACTACGTGAACTACTTCGTGAGCTATGAGCGGTGCATCAGCAAAAGATGTCGGCGGGCACATTCCGGTGATCTTGCCGAGATAGAAAGGCTGAATGGTGAGTTATCCTCGTTCGCGCTGTTTGAAAAGTTTGATAGCGATTTACTTGCGTGCGATGAAAGTATCATGCAGTTTTATGTGCTTGAGGACTGTGACACGGGCGGTACGCGTCAGAACACGCTGCAAGCGTTCGGCTCATTCTATTTTCTGAACTCGCTTGCCACTAAGAGTGGGAAGGAAATGAAAGCGGTGTGTCTCATGCACCTTGTAGGTCCTGCAAAAGAGGTACTGCTCAGAGAAATGATAGATATAGCGTACGAGCAGGGTGCACATGTGTTCAATGCGCTGGGAGTTGCAGGCAGAGAGAGCATGTTTGATGATTTAGGATTTCTCCGCGGAACCGGGTGGCTCAACTACTATCTCTTCAATTACAGTACGCTGCCGATGGTTGGTAGCGAGGTCAGCCTGATACTTTTCTGAGAGCGGACGGAAAAGATTCAGAGGAAAGCGGATGATTTGAATTTGATCGGTGTGCATGGCACGTTCACGCGTGTTACGCAAGCATTTGAATGCCGAGTACCTCGTTTTTGAATCTTTTTAGTTAAAAGACTGTTTTGCGCCACTCATCTAGCGGTCTATTTTCGCTTCTCTTGCGGTTTGACCGCCTGGTACGCATTTATGCGCTGCCGAAAGGGTAAATACGCTTTACACGTGTTGAACACATCAAGCAGTTCATCGCCAAAAGTTCGGTGATATGCTTCAGTCACTCGATTCGTAGTTAGCGGTAGTTATAGGCGTAGAGGTTGTTTTGCATTGCGTATGGCCTATGCCTGCTGAGTGACAATTTGTTCGTGGCAGTGAATATTAAAGCGAAGTTTCATCAATTTACTGTGATATAAAGCGTTTGATATGATTCTATCCTGAAAGAAACATTAATCCTGGTCACGGTCATTCACTTACCGTGTTTTATATCTCTTTGTTGCATCACCACGATCTTCCATCCATTCTAGTTCTACTAAGCATAACAACCCCATAACCTATGTAATTCAACAAATAATTCTCTACAATCACACCAATTGCAACCATCTGTTGGGCATGATTCGTTGCCTTGCTTGCTAATCGTTCGCTGTGAAGGCACTAAAGGAAAAAAGCTTTCAGCCACAATTAATTTCAGCCACAATTAATTTTAGCCACGAACAATTTTAGCCACGAACAATTTCAGCCACGAACAATTTCAGCCACGAACAGTTCTTGAACTCTTATCACCTGTTCAACGGCATTTACACTGACACACGTGCTGTGAACACGGAAGTGTGTTAGAGGCGTTTAATTACGTTTATGAACTTGCGGATGGTTCATGACAGCTCAAAATACGTTTTTAAATTTCTCGTTGCCCCTCTACGATGTACACCAAGAGGAAAAGAAAGTTTTTTCAAAAGGAGGAGATAGCATTTGATGAGGCATCGCGCCAGGCATTCCTCAACACCTACAGAGGATCAAAGAAGAAGAAAGCAGGGAAGGCTGGAAACAGAAACAAGATTGACAAGAGGAAAAGACGGGTAGAAAAAAGGAGGGAGCTGCTGGACAAAATGGACACAATGCGTGGGTAGTGATAGCACAGTTTATCTATGTTCGTTTTGTTGCACGTTCTACACGCTTAGCCAGCACTATTCTACACGCTGTTTGCACCGATTTTCTGCTTGAGCGGCACTTTTATATAAAACTTGCTTAAAATGACGATTATGTCTCCTTCAATTGCATCTGCCTCGTACTCTGTTATGATGTGGAACCTGAATTTGAGCTTTACGGTCTTCTCGCCCGCAATTTTCCTGCCTTTGAACCGGCTATCACCATAGATAGCCTCGGTCAATTCAACAACGTTCAAGTTCATCCGCAGATCGTTCAAAAACACGTCAAAGGGTGTGTCGTTGCTGACGGTCATCCGTGTTTCTAGGTACCCGTCCACGATGTCCATTGCCGTAATCTCGATTGCAACGTTTTTCAGGAGATACAACATAAAACCTACCAAGTACAAGAACACGAGCAGTGAGAGCGCTATGGCAATTTTTAGAAGCTTTTTGTGGTTCTTGAAGAGAAGCAGTAAGAATAGCATCGTGTATCGGCAGTTGTTTGTTTTTAACAGATTAATTCGTGAGATGATAAATACGATCACGAATGCATCAAAGATCTTGCGCTCTGTTCAAGAAATAAGAGTAGTCAAGATTATTGCCACTGCATGTGAACGTTAGCAAGGATCTCTCCGGCAGCGGAATGTACAATTTTTGAATGTCACTTCATATTTTCAACAATGTTTAGTGCGCTTTTTATCTTGGCACTTTTTGCACGTGGACCCGCCATTATCAGAACACCCGTCTTCTGATACGCAGCTGCTTCTTCGTTAAAATTACGTTTTTTAGTCCGTACTTATTCATTTGCTCGTCATGTTTCACCGTAGCAATTGTTGTGCATGAAAATATAATGAAACGTATTTACAGCGAAAAAGGCGGTTGATGCCCACGATTTAGCCATTACACATCGTTTACCGAGGGCACAATACCAGTACAAAATGCACGGTGCATCTCTTCAAGAACAATAACATTTTAATTTATAGCATCGTCTATCTCATCCTATATGACAGGTCGTGGCACATGTTCATACCAAATGCGGTTCGTTATTCGGAAGGATTGCTGTGACACGGCGGCGCAATATGACGGAGGAGCGAAAGGCATATAAGCTAATGAAGCGCAGCTCACTCGTAATTCCTTGAGAAATTCTTTCAACCCCATGGAGAAGTTTTCAAATTTTAACGATCCAATCACAGGGCAAAATCCTTTCGCTCCTTTGCCATTCAAAAGACCGGTGCTGTCTCGTCTACTACACCTTGTTTACCGTGTGCCGCTGCTTCTTCTGTTTTTAATCGGTATAAACACCGTGCCCCTGCTCATCAAGATCAAGTGTCACGGGAAACCGGCTAAAAAAATGGTATCAAACTCAGTAACGGTGTTCGACGCGTTCGTTCTCCGCTACTTGTTTCCCGGCCATGCACAGTTCCACGACGTGAACGCGTTTATGGTCTACGAAGGAGCGGCCATCCTTTTCATCGAAGAATGCGCCAGCAATGGAAGAATGGTAACCAGGTTCAAGGCCGATGTGTCGTGCAATGGTGCCATTTACATGAAGTACTGCAACGAGTGCGTGTATGTCCTGGGAAGCAAATCGGTATTTTACTGGCGATTCTTGATGTGCAAAGGTTCCCTCACCGTAAATGTTTATGAACTGAGACATAGCGGTGAGTATGCAAGGATTACAGGCGTGGCGAGAAGCGTGCTCGGCGCACAGGATAAAAAGAAGTTTGGGGTGGCGATGAACAGAAAGAGGAGAAGCTTAATAAAGCAGTGTAGATGAGGAAATGGCATTGGCAGGACAGCGATGGCTGTCAAATACATTTTTTCTCGTTTGTGTTCCCATATCATGCTTTTTAGGTCCAAATGAGCAATTTCTGGTTTGTTCGTGTTTAAGATTACACATCAGCACGTCGTGTCGTGTAGATCACACCTATCATGTGGAGTAGCGCATCATTTTTGCACCTCAAGATTTAGCGCTTGCATTTCCAAGACATAACTGATGTGCTACGGATGGTCATTTTGCGCTGATAAAGTAGGAAATCGAGGCAAACTCGCCAAATGAACGAACAACGCTTTAGCAATCATGCTGGGAGACATGCTTGTTAAACGCACTCCCCTTCAATCCTATGTACCAGGTATGTATCCATGCATCATTTATTCACGCCGAAAAAGACATTCACATTCCAGCTTTCCCATCAAAACCGCACCATGCACAGCATCGTGTCCCGAAATGACAATCACAGGCAAAATTTGGCGCAAACTCGAACAGCGTGGTAATACGGAAAACCGTGTAAGAGCCCGTGGTAGAAAGCACCAAATGCAAAAACTGACAAATAATTTTACTTTACCGTTTCTAACGCCGCTGCTGCCTCCTTAGAGAAAGTTGCCATGGCCCTGCACGCTCTTCTGATAACTTCTGACACTCCCTTTCCGCCTACATATCCTTTCATCTCCTCCTTCACAAGGTTAGCCTCCTGGTTAAACTCTGTCTTCAAGTTGTCTAGATCTTCATTTCCAGGGCTCTTTTTCTTGTACATTTTCTCTAAATCGTACCTGAGATTGAGGACATTTGCACGCTTCTCATCAATCGTTCTACTGCTGTCCTGCAACTCCTTGATTTGCTTTATGATCTCCTCGTACTCTTCGTTCATTTTGATTTTTGCATCTTCCACAGCGCTAAATGCGTCCGAGTATTTCTCGGCGAGTGACTTGAGACTGTCGTTGCTCTGCACCTTCGCAATCTCCCGGCCAGTGAGCTCTGTCTCCTTATAAAAACTGCGCACCTCGAACGAGTCTTTTTTGACACGCCGACCCACCACTTCAATCGCACGCATTGCCGTTTTGTAAGCACGTCCGCCGTGCTCGTACGTCATGAAATGCAGGAAAGTGTTCTTCAAATTCTCCATCTTGTTTTTAACTATCCGGTAATCCTCCTCTGTTTTTTCGTATCCAGCGGGAAAATCCGCGTTTACGTAGTCGATCCGGTCAACTTTTCTGAGAAGATTCTTGAAACGAGACTGCATTTGAACCGTAGGGGTAATTTTTTTGCAATTTTGTAGTTTTTTTACCGCGAACCTATCAGAAAAAAAGGGTTGTGGGTTAAATCGTGGACTACAAAATACCTGATTGGACAGCACAAAGAAAATAAATGGCAGAGCGGCTCGCTTTTATAGTGGAACAGAAGGAGTAGCTGAGAGGGGAAAGAAAGCCGCAATGGCGTATGTATCGGATGAAACTCATTCTTGGTCTGTCAACTACACCGAACGATAGGCTTTATTGCCTCATGTTAGGGGTTCAATCATGTGGTTGTGTATTATTGGCCATGGCATATTTTCACAGCGTCTGAAGGCTGGCACGCTAGTTTTTATTTAGCAGGTCACGATAAGTTAAAACGTACTGCTAGATATGCTTGTTCCGCGATTGCTGCTCTGATAAAAGTTGTTTGACTTAGGGTGTTCAACAAATGAAGGCGTTGCGGTGATAACACAAGAATGAAGTGTAAAGCAGAAGAACATGCGGAGACACTCCTCGTTTGTGGGCCAAAACATCTATTGATGCGGAGGCACTCCTCGTTTGTGGGACAAAACATCTATTGATGCGGAGGCACTCCTCGTTTGTGGGCCAAAACATCTATTGATGCGGAGGCACTCCTCGTTTGTGGGCCAAAACATCTATTGATGCGGAGGCACTCCTCGTTTGTGGGCCAAAACATCTATTGATGCGGAGGCACTCCTCGTTTGTGGGACAAAACATCTATTGATGCGGAGGCACTCCTCGTTTGTGGGCCAAAACATCTATTGATGTGGAGGCACTCCTCGTTTGTGGGCCAAAACATCTATTGATGTGGAGGCACTCCTCGTTTGTGGGCCAAAACATCTATTGATGCGGAGGCACTCCTACCACGTGGGCCGATAATGATCTTCTGATTATTGATCGGGATAAATTGCGCAACATGTCTTGATAAGTGATAGAAAGTTTTGGTGCAATAACGAACAGAAAGGCATTTATGGTAAATTGAACCAAATTAGTAGTTCGCCACTTTGGAGCCACTCAGCACAACCGTAAATCCTGTTCTCCCTTCATCATACAGCACTGTCACGGCTCTCATTCATTAAGTACGCTTAACAAAATACAAATGTTTCAGTCTAACTTTATCCGGTAAATGCTATTTAACATTAGTAGCGCTACTTCCGTTTATAGATCGAGACGCAGACTTGATCATCTCTCCAACGAGAATCAATGCTTCTCCTGATTTATTATTTTATTGATCGGTACGAGCTAAAGAATTGATTTGCAGCTGATAATCACGTTTTTTGATGCTTGTGTAGATGAAAGCTGAATTTAGACGGGACTCAAAATGAAATACCGTAAATTTCTCATTGCAGACAAATATGTGGTTTTTACCGTTTGATAAATTAACTTCGTTTGACATTGTGTAGATAATTGTAGTAAGAATTTCCTATCACGGCATAAAAATTTTTAACTTGTTGTTGCACGCAAGAATGCGTAAAAAACGTCTTTTTTTCTGTTGACCAGTTTTCACTTGCTTTTTATCACGTTAAAGCAACGAAAGCATACGCTTGGAACTAGGAAAACTGGTGAACACAAAAAGGTGTTTACAGTTTGATCCATGAACAGGGGGTACAAATCAGAACATGTTGCGGCCAATCCTCATTTCCCGGTAACAGCTCAAGGTAAACCAGTTTATGTCATAGTTAATTTAATTAGATATCCAGAAAAACTTTTAGAACAAAGTAGGACATTTTGTTACTGTTTATGATCCAACAGGGGCTTCAAGAGATTTTCGCTGAGTAACTGGTGTTCCAATGCATTTCCATCTTTAGCACAGCAAAGTAGAGGGTGGATGTCTACCGGAAAGCCTACACATTGGGAAACTGCAGAATATAGCGTTATCCGATCATTCTTATGTTCGAAAATTTTTTAACATCTTGGTTTCGTTGACGAACGAAACATGGAACACAAAGGCTGCGTATTTTACGAGATGCATCGTATTACCATCTAGTAACACAATAATGTCATGGTGATACGGTAGCGAGTGCACATAAATGTCGTTCTCCAAACTAACCGATTGGGATTAATCATTGTTTCCCATTATCAGATTACCTCTTTCATCCAACATCTCTATTTGGCGGTAATGCCGTCTGATGAGCGCAAAAGTACTAGATTTATATATTTCTTGTCGATCACAACAAGTGCATCGTTTTGCACACCTTGTTATCGCGTATTATTCAATATTTGTGCAGGATTGCTTCCACAGCTTCAATTACTTATACGACATAAGATAAACACAATAAATGGATGTTTGTGTCTTGCTTTTCGCTTTATCGTGGGTAAAGATGGTTCTCCATCAATCTATCCCTTTTTGAATTCGCTTCTTTTTTTGAGAAAAGAGCCCAAAACTGCAGTGGACCGCGATAAAAGTGCTGATTATTTATTGTTCTACACGTAAATTGAATCTATGTGTTTTTAAATGTGTAAATAAATCTGTTCAGAGTACTAGATGTACTTTATGCATGGAAGTCCATAAAAATATGGTTAGATGCTAACTAATGTGTCCCGTAATATAGCAACTATGAAGCTTGCATACAGTTCACATACCAATATCGTATTTGATATTAACTAAATTCATCAATTATTTCATAAAAGTATTTTACTAAATTAATATTAATTTTTCACAACCAAGCACGTGCCGAACTCACCGGCTAGAATTTATCTGAATGCAAAAGCATTTTGCTGCACTCTTACTAAATTAAGATCTTTTCTTCCTCACCCAATACTTTGATCTAATATCCTACTGCATAGCATTTGACACAAATAGAAATCAAGTTTTCGTATTTTCCGCGGTCCTACGAAATCGTTTGAAGTATCTACACCCATTTCTAATGAACTAATATCACCAAAAATGTATTTTTTTGTATTTATTTATGGTAACTGCTATATGAAGAAACATGTAAAATTCAAAACTATATAAACGGCCACAATCACGAAAATTCATGATGAAATTATTGTTAATTGAGCTTTTATCCTTTGCTACAGTGGTTATGTGTGCATACGGCGGACGCTCTTATTCTCCGACAATGTGTTATCAAGTACAACAAGAACAGAAAGCACTTGCTGAAATGTTCAAAGAGCACAATGAAAAGGCGATGAATGCGGTTATCTCGCCGTATAAAATTTTTTTGCAGAAGATAGACACGATCATGACTGATTTAAAACGAAGACATGAATCTATGGAACAACATCAGAGAATCATAGATATACATCGTCAGATGATGAATTCTGTATCTCAATCGCATGCGCGATTGAGATACAATTACGTTTATTTCATGGTTGATGCTTTGCTTCCTGTATTAGCACATCTTGAAAGATCGGAACATTACGTTAGCGTGGCTAGAGATTTGAAAGAAGCAATCCAAGAGTTGCAAGTAAAAGTGGATGATTTAGGTCATGAGTGCCAGAAAGTAGGTGTGAGCTATAATCCAAGACTATATAAAGAGTTTGTTGATACGATTGCAGTTCCAGATATAGGTAAATATTCCATTAAGGTATGGGAGCGGTATTTTGATGAGCAATACAGGTGCTTCGTGCAGAATATAGTACAATCGTCTGAAGAAACGTTGAATAATGTGGAAGCTTTCAACATGTATGCCAACCTAGCGTTAATGGTAAGATATAAAGTATATTTGAAATATATTGAACAGCTAAATGAGGAGGTCAAAAAGGAATGTAGCGCTGAGGTATTAGGTAAAAAGTACAGCTGGTTTGAAATATCAGGAAGTGATTTGAGTGTAGTCGTTGAACGGGCTAACAAACCAAGTAGTGATTGGACCAAGAAATACGAGGCTCTATGTGCAGAAGCATACAGGATGGTTTGTTCGCGTTTGGAACTGGAAAATGAGCCTACCAGTGGATTAATTAGGTATGCGAAGGTTTGCAATTACGCATGTTATCTAGGTGCTAATGCATCTATGCCACTTTGGGATGCTTGTTTGGAAATTTTCAGTGAGCATACTATGCAATCTACTCCGCTGAGCGAAATCTATGAATCGTACCAAGAATATATTGAGATGGCACAGGATGTCGCGAATAAAAATGAAGAGAGAAAGATGGCAAGTGTGAAATATCAAATATCAAGACTATATCAAGAAGAACTGCGAGATTCACGCCATAGATATACTCAGCTCGAAGGTCGTAATGAGCTTTTGACTGAGGAATTGAATAAGGCAAGGTTTGATCTGTCTCGTTCCGCAAAACAACAACAAGCTATGGAAGAACAGTTGAATAAGGCAAGGTTTGATCTGTCTCGTTCCGCAAAACAACAACAAGCTATGGAAGAACAGTTGAGAAAGACAATGATTGAATTGTCTCGTTCCGCAGAACAACGACAAGTTATGGAAGAGGAGTTGAATAAGGCAAGGCTTGAAATGTCTCGTTCCGCACAACAACAACGACAAGCTACGAAAGAAGAGTTGGATCAGGCAAGGCTTGATCTGTCTCGTTCCGCACAACAACAACGACAAGCTACGAAAGAAGAGTTGGATCAGGCAAGGCTTGATCTGTCTCGTTCCGCACAACAACAACGACAAGCTGCGAAAGAAGAGTTGGATCAGGCAAGGCTTGAAATGTCTCGTTCCGCACAACAACAACGACAAGCTATGCAAGAAGAGTCAGATAGGGTAATGTCGCAGTATGCTGAGGCCGGAGAGCAACGCACAGAGGCAGCTAAGCAATTAGATGATTTCCTAAAACGAGAACAAGGAGTGCCAACGAGATCTCCTCAGCAATTCAATCCACGAATTCTACATTCATCGGACAATGATTCTTAATTAAATCGACTTACCACATTTTTTAATTTTATGTGTGTAGTTTATTTTTATATACTATCTTACCATTCATTGTGATGTGTGTCAGCGTTTCTATCATGCCGTGAATGCAAGTTATAGCTAACGATGCGTTAATGGGCATCGTGTCGAGTCACGTTATCAGCGATCCAATACATCGCTGATAATAGTGTTCAATTTGTATATCAATGGGTTATAGATTTAACGTTAAAAGGCATGATGTTCTGTGGCTTATGCAACTAGGTTCTAGGTCACACAAAATATACAACTAGGAAATACCCAGATTAAGAGGTCTCCTGGGATGGAGATGACACACGAGTCATCGCAGAGTTTTTAGCGCATCTTCCTACTATGATGTGGATACGAGCATGGCGTTGCGTTATGCAGCGCACATATTTCTCAGAAAGCTATTATGGACATGATTGATCCCAGCAATGCTGTAAGAGATAAATAAACGTACTTTTAATAAAGAAAGGGTAAATAACTTTTTGAAAAGCATTAAATTCAACATTATCATTCATTTCATATAAATAAAAAGATAACTCTGAAGCTGATTGGTCAGTTCTGTGAAATGAATTATTTGACCCTTCGAGAAAAATACAAAATGCTTATTTCATGTATTTGCACTGAATAAAGGGCCTAAAGTTGTTGTACAACTCACTCTTTCTGAAACACCCTCAATTGTTTTCTACTAACAACATCAAAATTACACGATCACCGAATAGTAATTAATTAACCCCTACCATAAGATCTTAAACAATAAAAAAAAACATAATACGACATATGAAAGGAAGAAAGTATCATTGCATGGATAGAGCACTTTTTTCGCTTTATAATCGGAAACAGCACAGCTAGTGGCACTATAAAAATCTTATTTAATCAAATGTATAACACATTCCATGATCTACTCGTCATTCTCATTGCTTACTAACATTTCCAACCGCCTCACAACGATCTCATCACTTAGACCGAGCTCCAAGGCAGTGTTGGCTATTCCCCTGGCATGGACAAGCTGCACAAGTCGCTCGTCATCCTTCTTCTTCCATCCCCTTGGCAGACCAACTGTGCGCTTGACCTCCTCGACTTCAAGAGTTTTGAGCGCATCGATGAGCACGATGCGCTTGTACAGACTCTCGAAATTGCTTTTCCTTCTCTTCTGGTTCATGACAATATCCACTTTTTTATTCACTTCTTCGATATTCTCTGCAATATCGTTCTCGTTAAGCGCAGTAACACGTCCGTAGTTCATCACGATGCTTTCAACCTCCATTTCCCTCTCTCTATCTTCCCTATTTTCCTTTATCTTGTTCAGCGATAAAATGATCTTGCGCACGCGCGCATTCAGATCGTTGCGATCCTTTCCCCTAAATAGGCTTTTTTCTCGCCCTATGCCCGTAGGCCAGTTGTCGTATCCGTTGCTGATTACCCAGTTAACGATTCGCCTGTCCTCCTCTACACTGCCACCTTTCATGTGCTCAAGCGACTCAATCCTGTACAGATACTTCAAAATGCTTACGACCTGCAAACGCAGCAGAAATTTCTCCGCGAGCTTCTTAACAATGTAGTGGTCGATGGCCTGCTGCTTTTCATCTTTGAAATACGCCTCAAGGTGTAACTTAAAATCTTCCTTGTTTTTGTCTGTGAGTGTTTCGTAGCAGTAGCGCACGAGGATGCCGATTTTCTCCTTCACATCGGACATGTTCTCAATGATGCCGTTCACACCTTTCTTGAAAATTATGAGGAATACCCTGACCATCTCATCGTCTGTGCTCTCAAGCACTTGATCGATCTCCTCATAGTCTGTCGGAGTTTCCCTGCCAAGCCGTCTGATCAGTCGCTTGATCTTCATCTCGTTCTCTGCATCCTTACGTTTGGTGAGCAGATTCTGCCAGAAATCAGGGTCGTCAAACTCTTCTTCGACTTGGAACGAAGCCCTGCTGAACACATTTTGGCTCGCTTCCTGGTTGTGCCGCACAACGTGCGTGCGTCTCTCCAGGATCATGTCAATGTCTTCTTCACAAAATTTCTGAGCGGCTTCGTCGTTCTCCATCAGCACACCGTATGCCCCTTTCTTCAGCAGATTCTCAATGTGTTCCTTCTTACGCACGCTTTTATTCTTCTGTAGAATGGCCTGATCGAGTCCAAGCTTAAGGCCAGCCTTGTCAAACATTTCTCGCTCGTAAGTGTTACGTGTGATAAGTCGATAAATCTTTACACTTTTGGTTTGCCCGATACGGTGACACCGTGCCTGCGCTTGTAGATCGTTCTGTGGATTCCAATCACTGTCAAAAATCACCACTGTGTCCGCACTCGTAAGATTGATGCCCATTCCACCGGCACGCGTACACAGCAGGAAAACGAAGCTGTCACTCTCAGCCGAACTGAACCGGTCAATCGCTGCCTGTCTGCACTCGCCGCGTACACCTCCATCAATGCGCTCGTACTTGTAGTGCTTGTATTGCAGATAATCACTGAGCAGATCGAGACACCGTGTCATCTGCGAGAAAATGAGCACCTTGTGCTCGCCCTTTAGTTTGGCGAGCAGTTTGTCCAACAGTACCAGCTTTCCACTGCTCTGTATCAAAATCTTGTAGTATTCATCCACAGTGAGCTCGTTCGTTGGCGTCTCTCTTCTCCATGCTATTCCCTCTGCATCATCGTCCTCAGCGCATGGCACACGCACGCTACCATTCAGGTGTTTCTCTGTGTTCCTATTTACATCATCGGCATCACCTGCCAATGTCTGTCCTAAGGTGCCCTTCTCTGTATCAGCTGCTATTGCTGTGTCGGTTGCATCTTCCTCCGTAGTATTTTGCTCCATGAGATGCTCCCTCCTCACTTCCATTTCAGCGCCACGCACCGTTCTCGATTCACCCCTGATCTGATCACCGACTCGCGATTCTGCATCATCACTAAGCATTTTCCGCTGCTTGATAAACTCAATCCTTCTTCGTATTTTATAATCATTTATGATCTTCTCCTCTGCTCCTCTCACCAGATAAGGGTGAATGCAACACTTCCTCAGCTCCATCATCACGTTAAGTAAATTCGGGCTTTCCTTCTCGAAAATACTTAGGTTCTTTTCGATAATCGCTCTGTAGAACTGCTTTTGTATCATGGTCAGCTCCACCTCCACAATCGTTTCCTCTTTTATCGGTATCTTCTCCACATCATCTTTCATTCTCCTAAGCATAACCGGTTTGAGCAATGTCTTAAGCCGATCCACATCCTCGCTCTTCTCAAGCTTGTAGCTCTCCAAAAAGTAATTAAGCGATTCGTTCTTGATTGGATCAAGGAAATGGAGCAACGACCAAAGCTCAGTCAAATTGTTCTGCAGCGGGGTGCCAGAAAGAAGAATCTTGTGATTGAACGACAGTGAAATGAGTGTCTGAAACGCCTTTGAATGGCTGTTTTTGAGACGATGTGCCTCGTCAAACACACCGACGCCGAAGTTAAATGAAAGATGTTTCACGCCGCTCATCACCATTTCGTACGTCGTGATAAGCACGTCGAACAGCAAACCATCGTTGTAGAATTCGTAGTCGTAGATCAGATCGCGCGCTACGTTGTTGCCGTGATACAGCAGAATGCGCAGATCGGTCCATGTCTTAAACTCTCTCTCCCAGTGTATGAGTGTACTCAGAGGAGCAACGATCAATACGGGGTGCTGGTACCCTGTTTCAAAGATTTTATTCACGAAGCACACCGTCTGCACGGTTTTGCCCAGCCCCATCTCATCGGCCATGATACACCCCTGCTTGTAGTACCAGCGGTTCAGAAGCCAGTTCAACCCCTCCATCTGGTAGTCTCGTAGCGTGTTCTCGTTCTTAAATGACTTGTTAATCACCAGCGCATCCTTTGGCGGTCTGTAATCAATAGGAAATACCGTCTTCTTCACAACATTTCGCGTCTTATACTCTTTAAGTTCTTCTTCAAAGCCTTCGAGGTTGCGCACGTCCTCGATCTTCTCAAACGTGCTCAGCTCGTACGCGAGTTTCTTCCATTTCACGAGGATAAGATTGTCAACGCTGATCACGCGGTCAATTTTGATATATTCCGGGTCAAAAGGTGGGACACCACCGAAATCACTTGCTATGATTTGCTGAATGTTCTTACCCTCTTCAAACGATGCATTATGTTTGTCCTCCTTGTGCCGTGAAAGGAAACGCTTCGCTTTGATTGCTCCTGCACGTGTCTTTGTGATTTCCTCCTGTGACACCCATCCGCAGTGTATGTAGCTCATGTTTCTGAATTTTACGAAGAACATCTCGTTTCTGTAATCAAGCAGCTTTTCGTGCTTGTCCTCCTCAACCTCTTCCATCTCGTCACTCTCAAAAAGCTCGTGCTGCGGTTGCTCGTCGGGGCGTGGTGACGGCTTCTTTCTCTTTTTCAGCTTTTCCTGCCGCTGCCGCTCCCTATCGACACGCATCGGCGGTGTGTATTTCTGAGCAGGTGGGGGCGCCTGGTGCACAGGTTGTGCGTAAAAGTTGTAAAAAGGCGGAGGCTGCTTGTATGGCGCATTGTACTGCGGAGGTGGCTGCTGATAGCTCGGTTGCTGGTACCCTTGCGGTGGATACGCCTGCCTGTATTGCGGATAGTTGTAGTACGAGAACTGCGAGGAAACGTTACCGATAAATGACGGATTGCTCGGTCCAAGTTGTGACGGGTACCCCATCGACCTGTAGCTGCTCGGTATCCCGGGATTGTACATATAATTATTCCTCTGCGGGTTTATATTTCTGTACAGCATGTTACTTTGCTGAAACGGCATTTGCGAGGGGTTCTGGTAGTAATTTCCGAGTGGGCCCGAAAAATTCATCTTGCTCACGCCGTTCATCATTTTGCGCGGCCTGCCCCTCTTGACCATCTGCTTATCAAGCTCATCACTCGAACTGACATTCTCTGATTCACTCTCATCTGTAATATTGCTCAAACTCTCAGTACTACCGGAGTCCTCTTGCTCTCTTCTTTTCGGCATGTTAAGGGTAAATTTTTTTGTTTAAATATTTGCGAATTGCAAAAATCGTGTTTATTTCGTCTTGAGAACGTTCTGTGCATGCTATAGCTCATTCTCCTGTAATAAATAGCTTCAAGGGGTAAGATTTTGATATATTTGAAATTTTACTGATAAGGAAAAAAATAACAATAAAGTGAAACATCAAAGCATTAATTGATGTGTATGTGTGTTTTAGATGCGTGCTTTTATACAAAACTGTCATTCAAAAATTAATAACTTTTGGTTGTTGCAATGGCCAAGAAAGCATGTTATACAACGTTATTCTCCAATAACGGCACCTGTTTCACTTTTGTGTGCGTAATTAATGAGCTGCCCATTTGTTAACAGTGTTTTTCATTATAACCCGTGAATTAACGTTTTTTCTCGCTTTATCTCGTTTAATTATTTGTTCTGTATGTGCCACTTTTTTTCCTATTTGCGCCTCTAATCAACGCTGTTTTTCATCGTTTTCTCAGAAATTTGTTTATTCATTCCCCCTCGTATCAACTTCATTTTTGGCAAAGAACATAAAAATTTTGAAGGTAAATAAACTAAATGTCAATCGAATGGGCACTACAACCCAAACTTGACAGAGATAAATTGAATGATCTCGATACGTGGAGGGCTAAAGATTTTGAATTGAGGACTCGTCCGATAATCGCTTCGTATTTCGGTGGTGCTATCTTTCCTCCGCTATAAGAGGTTCAAGCCCCTATAAGGTGCGGCTACACCTTTCATGCTGTGTTATTATTGCTGACTTGCTCTTACATATTTGATAGATCAAACTAGACTAACAAACAAACGCATTGTAATTTATGTGCCATGGCACATACAAAAATCATCCATAAAAATACCTGCATCTCAAAAAATCGATCGGCGGCATATTCTTCGTAACCGTTACATACACGCTTCAGCACTTTACCTACGAATCGCTGCTCCGAGAAAAACACAAAATATGCTGTGATGTACAGATTATTGGTAGGGATGTGAATCGTTTTGTGCCCACAACTGTGCACAAGTCGTGTCACGTGTCCCTTACCGCAAGGTAATCTATTTCTTTTACCATTTTTACTGCGTCCATACCAGTCTTGGTTAGAATCAATCTTTAACAGCATCAATACTGTTGCCCAAAGAGGTTCTGCTTGTTAACATGATGGGAAGATATTGTAAACTAGCTGCGCTATTCCCGTTATAAAACTGAACAGCGAACTGAGAAGAACACATTGTGCTGGTTGTGATTAAAAACTGCATATTTAGCATTGATAGCAGATTCTAAAGAGCATGTGAGTTTTCTTCATCTGTCGCAAGAATATAAAGAAGGATTATCGAATTAAAATAGCATCCAGTAAAAACCATTTGACTTTAAATTTGAACGTTTAAATATTGGTGCAGCCACTGTTGTATGCTTCTTTTGGCTGCATAATGCAATCGTGTTATGCTTATCCAAACGGAGCTATTTCTAAGCAGCAGCATTTCATCCTTTACACACGAAGAAATTGCTGCGATAAACATTCGTGCCTTTAATAATGGGAAAGCCAGAATTATCACGATGAGTATGCTTCAATGGATGCTCGAGAATGACTGATAAATGGTTAGTAGCAGATTAAGCGAAGAAGAAAAAAGGGCGAAACTAATTGGACAATACACAGGTAGAAAATGGTTTAATTTTATTCTAAGGTTTAATTCATACCCATCGACACTCTGTAGGCACCGATTTAATGCGGAAAAACACTTTGTGAAATGTGGAGTTCTCCTGTTTATGATTTGTAGTTATCACCTGGAGGACTTTCATTTAATAATATTCTGGCTCTGCATGTAGATGGTGTGACCGTGCTCCTTACACCTTGTGTTAACCACAAGTAGTACATAGGAGTGCTGAGATAACTCTGACGTAGTTTAAACACTAATTAGTTCGTGTGGTTTGTCCGCCGAAGAGTTATTTGCATTTCTCCTTACTATGCACAGCATCTGTGTCTACCATTATAGTTAATTATGGAATTCTGATAAATTGCGGTTATGCAGCTTTACCGTAAATAATGTTTTTGTTGATGTGTACACCGAGAATGGTATGTTTTGCGATTACATTTTTGAGTCCGATCAATAATTTGGAAAATGAGATCATATTTACGAGATTATTAGCGTGTATTTCTTCGCATCTAGTTGTTGTGACATTTTCTTAATCTTCACACCAAGAAGAAGTTTCCATTGTCCCACATTTTTACATTTTCTTAATATACACACCAAGAAGAAGTTTCCATTGTCCCACATGGATTTTTGAACATCGAATTCTCGATTTTAAATCACGAGTGACATTCTGACAAATTGCTAAAACAACGCTTGGGTCCGTGTTAAGAGAAATACACCGAAGATGATGTGGTGTTGTCGTTCACAAAAATTTTATTACTGCAAATCTTGGCGTGTTACATGCAGTAAATGGTGTGAAATGGCCTGTGAGCGGGAAGAAGCTGAGCATTTATAATTTTCTTCCTCCGAAAGTAAAAGACAACGCTCACAGCACCATATGTGTAGAAAATACTTAATAGTATTATCACTGAGACAGCACAAGCAAAGCATGGTGATATTCTCCCATGCCAAACGATAAACATAAAGTGCTAACCAAACCGACAGCGCACGAAAAAACGAGTAAAAAAATATTTTATCTAAAAATGTGAAGTGCCTACGACACATGGCAATAATCACACCGCATGCTTCCTAATCACTTAGTTGCTCTCGGAAATGTTCATCACTCGCTGTAATCAACTACGAGTACTGTTTTATTCCAAGGGTACAAAATTTTTTTGATTATATTGTGCTTGTCCGTAGGGATGCGCACATACAGTAGAACACAGCGAACCACGAAGTATATTTAGCTATCGGAGTCTAAATACACACCTATATTATTAATTAGCGATATATTCGTCACAATTTTTAAATAATTTGGATTGGAATTCGGTGTGTGCAATGATCACGGAACAAATTAGTACAAAACATTTTTATGGGAATAGAAGCAGTGACCGAAAAGAATTTTCAAGACCATTAGTTGTCGATGCTAGGTATATTGTGTTCTCAAAAGTGCGTTACATTAAGAGTTCTGTTTTTTAGAAAGTTATTCGACGTGTGATCATGAACTGAGGATAGTGGCCATGGTCGAGTTCAGCAAACCAGAAAGTATGTTTATTGTAGTGTTGACGTATGAGGAGATGAGTAAAAGACCTTCATTGATAGAGTATCAAACGTTTAAAGTATAACGCCAAGATATCAGGAATTATAAACTTGATGGCATTTCTCAGGTTTCCGTGTACAAAATTGCATTTTTATTTGTAATGACATTAAGATGTCTCAACTTCGAACAACGGCGATCCCATAACCACTTCATAAGCGCTAATACATATTACTTCAATGTTTATGGTGTTCTAAACACAGGCAGCGCTATAACATACGTGATGCATTTCTTCATTCTAGAACACAGTTTTTGATTTGACAAGCTATAGTTTGTGCACCATTCGAAAATTTAATGAATTGATACCGTTTTTTTCTATCATAAGTCTACCAATTATCCCTGATACATATGTTCACTGGATACTTAGATCAAGCCGTCACTTCGCAAAGACTATCCCAACTTTTTACCGACAAAGGTATTCGTTCATTTAATATTAATAAACTAGAAATGTAAATATAGTAAGTGCGTCACACAGCCCACCATGGAAGCAGCCAACAACAGTGTTACAGACATACAATTACATAGCAATAACATAAGTGAATCAAATATCTCACATCATATACCATCGTGGACTAGCGGAATAGGTTCGAGTCTGGAGAGCTCAACTGTAAGTCGTATACTCAATGTTGTAAAGAAAAGAATATCCTATACAAATTATTCTTTCACAATGTTCGGTGCAACTCTGATAATCTTAGGGTTTATGCTTGCACTGATGGCCGTGGTTATAACTTGTATAAACTCCTGCTGGAAAAAAAGAAAAGCATCTACGAGAAAGCACTCAGCAGAAAAAACATAGAAGTCTTCAAACGATGAATTACACGAGTTAAACATGATTAAGCCTATCATTACGATAAGAATTGATGGAGATGAAACTATGACTGTCAAAAGAGAGACACTCACTAAAATGTCAAACGATGAAAACAGAGGTAAAACAACGGGGATAGATGCTGATCAAGGTAAAACTATTGCAGCAACGAACGGAAGTAGAGGACCGTATGATCAAAATAGAAATAATTTGTTAACTAGGGAATTAGAGGATGTATTGAAGAGCTTGATAAGATGTACAGGGCAAGAAGAATTCAAAAACGCGAGAGCATATGCAACACAGTGTAAATTAGAATACAAAAGGAATTCTAAGGAAGAAACGAGTTACGAACTGACAAAGATGAGTACCAGTTCGTCTAGCATTATCGAAGTTGATGTGCATTGCAGCGAGTTCGATAGGCAAAAACATACTTTGTTGAACTGTGAGGATGAAAAGATGTGTAATGTGGACGATTCCTCTTCTGTTCTTACAACCAACAATTCTGCTAACTATGATATGTGTTCTCAGACCGGTATGAACAAAAACATGCTGAGCATAAGCAAATACATGGTGAGTTTGAGAATGTTCTCAGCGATATTAAGAAGAGCATCGACAGTTTGGCACTAATGGAATCGGAATGCGAAGAAATAACGAGCCAAAATAAGAACAACGGAGCAAATTAGTTGTTATGTGCTGCAGAAACACCTGATCGAGAGAAGGATAACTTCTCAGAACAGCTTTAGCTATTCGCCATGTAGAAAAACCAAGCTGTAATATCCAATTTGGACGATAAATATGATGAACTGCAGGGCTGAACATAATAACAACTATACGCTTGATG